AGTGGTGTATTGTGAATTTGTGCTTGGTTGTGGAACATGTCTAGTAGGTGTTTGACATCGCAATAGAAACGCCATGCGCTAAGTCCTCTTTCATTGCCCAACACCCAAACTCCGAGTAGCAAAAGGGGAGAGATAGGACAAAAGCAAAATCAAATAGAAAGGAAGCAAAACAAAGTCTAATGTTTGAGGTTAGAGACTGAAATACTTGGGGCATCCAGTCCACCAATCTCTTCCAGCACGATCGCCAATTCAACCACAATCCAGTCTAATTCCAATTACCCCTGCGTATCGACGATTAATTAGATAAAAAGTTAGATGAAACCGAGCCGGCGCTTTGCTCGCGCCACGCTTTATCGATTGCACACTCTGCCAGTCTTTTCAGTTCAACCACAAAGTCGGCCACCAACTTGAACTGGGCCACTTCGTTCTCCGGCAGTTTTCGGGTAAAAATGCGTCTCATCATCACTGTTGCCACCCTCAGAAGACCCATATCATCACGAGAGCGAGGATCGAGCGGATTCTGAAGAATGCTGCAGAAAATCGTAAGAAGAGCAGACATGGGGTAGAATATGAGCGTCCTAAACAAGGTTCGATTAGCTAGTGGCTCCCCACTGCAGTTCGCAGGGTGAGTTGAAAACATACCAAAAGACTCCATCAACTAGAACATGTTCTGCGGATTCCAAGTAGCATAGAGTCGACCGACTAGCCTCAACGGATAACGTGAGACTAGAACTAATCCCATCAACCAGTCCCCCGCTCCCATTCACCCAGGACTTGCACCGACTACTCGCCTGGTGAATAATGGACATGCAAAGATAATAGTTCATCCGCAGCATGACCGAGTGCATGCTGACATTTGGATCGGAAGCATCCTGTGCAAAGGACATAGTCGGGCGCCAATGCGCTGGAACCGCCGCACGCCATTTCTCCAGCTCGTCGTCCAATTCTCGTATTGACTTCAATAACTCTGCGTCGGATTTTTTCAGAGAGCTCACTGAGTACAATGTGCTATGTGCGCGGGATTTTATCACGCTAAGCCTCAAATCGAATGGGAAGATTGGTTCAACGTTGGTCGAGTCTTCGCTCTCTGGGTCCATGAAGGCTCGCTCTGTGTATCCTGGTGGAAGAGTCAAGTCGCAATTCTCGTCGGCAATTGTAGGTGGTTGACCTGGTGAAGAAGGGTTAAAATCGAAGTTAAGGTGTTGATATGGACGGGAGGAGCCCACCCGTTCGCATGCAAATATCTTTATCGAGAGTGTAGCAAATCCAGAACAGATTGCGCAGAGCCCGATATCTTTTTTCGGCGCGAATACTTTGATTACCCTGTGGAGGATCGCCAAGATTGGCACCGAGCATGAATAAAAAGCGTGCGGCGATCGCAGCAAAGTAGTTGGTCGCCCGCATGTTTCCGGACGACAGCTCGAAGAGGGTCTTCAAAATTGGTCAGTTATGATCTCAAGACTCTTTGATCTGAGATTTCCGATACTCACCAAAATAGTAACTGCCTGGGCCCCTTCCAAGCTTGCAGGCTCTTGTAGTACCTGTGTAAGAAAGAATTGGGCCTTGATAGCCAGGGCATCATAGTCTACTTCTCCCAGCGGAGAGTTCATCACGAACTCCTTGATGGGGGGAAGACGAGCGACAAAAGCCAGAAAAGCGATAACACATGCGCGGCTACTGGCCTGTCCGTGACTGAAAGAAGAGTGTGGCTGTTTGTAGGCCGATGTGATCGTTTCCTCGAACAGATCTGGGTCCACGATAGGGAATAGACGTTGCATCACGAATGATTTCTTGTAAGCCTCGAGGTATAGCCGCACGACTCGCCAATCGGGGAGTTCGAACATATTTTGGTTCGAGAGATTATTGAAAAGGTTGTTAGTGCTTTGCCCGCGCTCCTTTTCCCACGGTGCTCGGGCTGGACTGAGGTTATCCCGCGAGATGGTCTGGCCTGTGCGGGCCTGGACCCATTCTTGGCCTTCTGGTAGAAGGAAGGGAATACCTGTGAGCAGACTAATTGCGCCCAGTTCGCGTCCAGCGAAATGGACACCCACTGTAGATGTGACAGTGGATGGAAGATGGCTGCTAGTTGTACTAGGTGAGCTGCTCGCAGTTGTATTTTCATCCAGCGTTTGCATCTGGGAGAAATCCAGAGTTGCTAATTTGAATTAGATACACCACCGCCATTTCTGTAGAGTGCTTCATACCTGCATCTAATTCCGGGAAGCTGTTGGCCAAAGCCTGCTCGATACGACTGATTCGTTCCGAGAGGCGCGAGGCCTTGGGTTGGGCACTATCGACATGGTTAGTAATTCCGCGAAGAGAAAGAAAAGAAGAAAAAATGACATACCTATCATCATCCCGAGTCTTTCGTTTCCGAGTTACCACTCTATCGTAGGTGCAAGGCAAGTTATGGTGGCTACACCATTCGCATTGCGGTTGGGCCGCGTCGCATTTGATCTGTAAGCAAGACAAATTAGCGCTTACTTACTAAAGTATCAGAACCATTGGAATTCAAAGGCAAGAAAGGAGTATAATGGTGCAAATTAGAGCAAAGAAAATAAGCCACTAGGATCAAAAACCGCCAATGACATGAATTCAGGCCCCGCGTACTAGCTTTACTAGCGACAAGTACGCTACCAAGTGCAAAGGGGTCAAGTCACCCACCTTTTGTCGATAACAAGAGTCGCAGGCGCGTGCCGTGCGCTTGCGAGGCTCGTCGTCAGAATGCATGAAGATGGTACAGTATAGGAGGAATAATGGATGATCGTCACGAGCTGGCTTCATGCGCTGAGTAAGCGGAAGAGTTTGATCCGTGGATCGACAGGCTTAAATGATGACATCTTAACTTTACGACCTTAGCTTTGCATCAGATAGCAGACTAATGGCAGATAATCATTAAAGGATTGAATAATAGTAGTTCATATCTTTTAGTCAAATGATATAGCTCAAGATATTTTGGTGGCCGCTTTGAATTCACAATCCACCCATGGGAGCAAACGATTGTAGCAATCATTAGAACAGTTTACCCTTCGCTATGGTTCGGAAGGCAGAAGAAGCTTCCATTGAGGCGTTACAAGGTTACAGGATTGGGAGAAATTCCACGACTGAGCTCGATCAACCTATCCGATTGCACCACATGCACAAGAATTTGCCGATGGACTTGGCACCAGCTCATATTGCTCGATGGCCGGCGATAAGGTGATGATCGTTTAAGCGGGGCGATGGCATCGTTCCTTTTTTCGAAGGGCAGACAGCCATGGGTAGATGCAGCTTAAAGTTATGCAGGCACAAGTCAATCATTTGTACTAGTCGCAACTAAGTGACCGAGAGAAGATGATTGTCTTGGCTGGAAGATAAGACCAGGAAGCTAAAAGCTCACAGAGGCATGTGTCGAAGGAGACGTCACGGCGAGGCTGCTGCCGGAGACCGCCAAAGCGTTGGGAATGTTATCGCTAGTTAGTCTGTGCATGTATCTCGAGTGGCATTCCAGGCATTATCTCGCTTGCACACTTTGCCAGTGCTTTGGACATACACTGGAGAAGCCATCGTGGTGGGTATTCGCAGGGCGACCCAGTGGACATATCCATGTTGTCGGACAGTCTAGCTTAGGCCAATTCCGCCTGTTAGCCAGAGTCTAGCTTGGATTCCGTCCTTTTGCTGAGCGTTGGTGGCACCATGGATGATTGGAAAGATAGAGTTGCTGAAAGGATGGCGTTTCACTTCAAATCTCCTTGTCTAAGATATCCCACACTTGTCGAACATCTTGCAGGCCCTGCTGGGTATCTCTGTTTGCGGACGAATCTTTCTCAGCGGGTGTATCGGCCGAGCCGATTTTTCCAGCCTGGGCCTGAATTTGTTCCAGAGCGGTCTCAATCTCGGCCTTAACCTTGTCCATTTGTTCAATTTCTTCTTTGCTACGTTGAAGCTGTTCTTCCATCATCATGATCAAGGACTCGCGAGCTTGGTGTGGGCGGTAGAGGTTGAGAAGGTGGTGCGCGTTGATAAAGAGGTTGCGAAGATCGTTGACCTTGGATTCGAACTGCTCGGGAGAGACGGAGAGAGCTCCGACGAACTCAAGGAAGTTAAGCAGAAGAGATTTGCTAATTTTTAGGAGGTAATAGGCGTGATTCAGGTTGGAGGCAGATTGCGACGCGTCTTTATCTTGGGTGGCAGCAGGTTCAGGGTAGAGTTGCTCGATGCCTTGTTCTTTGAGTGAGGGGAGAATTGTGGACCGCTAAGCAATAGAAGAAGTAGATTGTGAGCTAAGTGTGATCAAGGGACCTTTAGATTTACTCACAGTCTGTAGTTCACCAAAGACCGAGTACTCCCCCGTGGGGATTTCCGGCGGCACCAGGCATCGCAGCTCTGCAGGTACATCCAAAGCGCGTAGTTCCGCGGGCGACCATTTCTTATCGCGTGCAGATTCTCCATTGGTCCCCTCAGTTGCTTTTTTTTTGATCTCCTCCAATTTGTTGCGGTTCTCGCGAGTGAAGTGTTTCCATAAGGGCGGCGGGGGCGCAAAGGCAGCGTTGACAGCTGGCTGCTGGGGGTCGTCCATGATAGATGAGAGTAGGGTAATTCAGTCGATTGTCTCAGTACCAAAGAGGAGGAAGGTAATGTCAGTGTCGTGGAGAAGGAGAAGAAGAGTGGGGGAAGAGTGGATGAGGTGGAGGAGTGACGGAGTGAAAGAGCGGAGGTCACGCTTCGTGCTTCCCTTTCCGCCTTTTGTCTTTGCCTTTCGAGGCCGCGCAACTCCTCCACTTTTCCATTTCCACTGCTCGCCTTCTTTTCTTTTTTCTTTTGCTTCTTCATGAGAATTGACGAACGAGAAATTCCTCTACAGTCTTGGAGGTTTGCAATTCCCCCTGATCTTACCATGCCAGGGCTGAGCAGCGGTGATTTGATTTGATATGATATGCCCTAGGGTGCTCTCAATAACACTTTAATCTCCCCTGGGAAACCTTCACCACTTAACGCCGTGCTCTTGCGAATCGACTATAATGCCTCATAGTCGATCATCAACCGGGTCAACTCCCATCCTAAACCGGGTCGGGTTTGCCGGCGCCGCGGCTCGCTTCACCCAGCGCTCCTACGCCGCGGACTATGTGGCATTGGGCCTTGTAGTCGCAGGATGGCTATTGGTTTGTTCATTGTCCTTTCTAGACCAGAATGATGTGTAATACTAACCTTTTGGTCGACGTATTATAGATTCAAATCTTCGTCTCTCCGTTCCACCGCATGTTTTTCCTCGATAACAAGTCCATTCAATACCCTTTCGCTGTCCAAGAACGGGTCCCCGTCAGTATGCGCTCCTTCAATCGCGCCTCTCTTCCGACTTTATACTGATGAATTTGGCTAGTTTGGGCTGTGTTTTATGCTGGAGTTATCCCTTTCTTTATAATAGTAGCCTGGTCAGCTGTGCTCCACCCCGGCGCGCAAAGGACCCAAGTGACCATACTCGGCCTCCTGGTGGCTTTGATGCTCACTTCCCTCTTGACGGATATTATAAAAAATGCCGTCGGAAGGCCTCGTCCAGACTTGCTTTCACGATGCAAGCCATCTCGGGGCACCCCAGACAATGCGCTGGTCGCATGGACTGTCTGCACTGAGGCAAACCAACATATCCTCCAAGAGGGATGGCGCAGCTTCCCTAGCGGACATAGTAGCTTCTCCTTTGGTGGCTTAGGATATTTGTCCCTGTGAGTGATCAGCGTCAATGCGCCGCAATAGTTTCGCTAACATATTGAGATATAGCTTCTTTTGCGGTCAAATGCACGTCTTTCGTCCACGGACAGATCTCGGTAGATGCTTATTGGCATTTATTCCACTCTTATGTGCGCTTTTGATCGCCATATCTCGCCTAGATGATTATCGCCATGACGTCTGGGACGTGACAATTGGGTCTCTGCTTGGCATGCTGATCGCATGGTTCTCTTACCGTCGCTACTATCCAGCCCTGCAGTCGACACGCTGTGATATCTCATATGACAAGGGCGATCAAACAGATGGATTCGGTAGACTTGATGACGAGGAGCAGGGACTATCGCAATCCATGTTACAAAGCGATGGCCCTGGGCATGGGGAGTCATATCCATTGGAAGAGATGGGATCTCCTCGGTAACTGCTATCACTCTGGCACTCAACCTCTGGAAAGTTGGGTGATTGATTCGCCTATTGAAAACAAAAAAACAATCTCCGCCATACGGTACAAAGCACCCTGTATTACTAAACGATTCACATGTCATATCTCTATGGAGGAATATCTTTCTGCGGTGCACAATGCATACTATCCCAAATACAAACAGACAGCGCAGGTAAATAAAACATGAAAGCAACTTGTTCTGACCGGTGCTGCAATAACAAAACGGAAATAACTTTTACAAACCGATCGCATGCTACCTACATCTCGCAAACGCAACATGCTTCAAGTTTTAAGTTGAGAAATGTATCTTCACCTTCCCGACATATCAAGTTTACTTCAAGTTCTTGCTTTGAGCAATCCCTCTTTCGAAGAAGCTCCAAACGAAAACAGCATTTGCCAAGCAAATCGAAGCTGAAGGATGATCAGCAAAGCACAGCAGTAACGGCTTAGTTTCCTGAGACTTACCCAAAGTTAGGCTCATACTGAAATAACCAACAGCTTCAGAAAGCATGCCAGACAATAAAGGACCCAGCATAAGTCCGGCATTGAAAGCTACCTCGTTGATGGCAAAGACTCTCGACATACCGCCATTTGGCCCGAATATATAAGGTCGTCTCGATTCGATATCCTTCAAAATCGCTTTGAGAAAAATTGGGTCAGTATACAAGTATGTCCTGAACGCAAGATAAGGTGATTCAACGTGGGACTCCCGGGATGCCTCTACTTACTGATCGTGTGCAACACGCCCGCTCCCTGGACCAGAGTCGTGACAAATCCAGTGCAAGTGAGGCACGTAATGTAGAATGCCTTCCCATGGTTTTCTGGACCAGTGGGAATTGCCAGACAGAGCATCAAAGGCGCTAAGAGAGCCCAGCCTATTGTGGTAGGATATCGGAGTCCAATGTGATCGCGGGCCCAGCCCATAAGAGGGCCAAGTATAATGGCAGGAACTCGTAGAAGAAGGAACATTATTCCCACATCAGAAGGCCCCCAATTGAAGATAGTTCGAAGATGCACGGGCAAGGTGGTGTTAAACCCTGCGATGAGGATGGAGAACAGTATCGTGGTTGAGATGCTGGATAGGATGCGACAGTCTCCGAGCATCTCATAGTAAAAAGATACTTCGGCGTTTTGAGGGTCATCTTTATCTTCGCATGGTGCGTCGTGAGCGTTGGCTGATTGCGATAGGAGGGGTGATGTTTCTGCAGTTTCAACGTCTCTTTCTCCTGACAGATCCTGCCCATCTGTCGATATTCCACTTCGAGAAGGAGGGGTCGATATGGCGGATGGCTTTGGTAGATCCTTGGTGACAATCCGCGCGACGATGTTAATTAGAATAAGTCCAATAGGTACTGACCAGGCTGGCCAATATCCCGCCCATTGCAACAGTCCTCCTGCAACGCTTGGTCCTCCGACTGTCCCTGATAGGACGACTGACATGCTAATTCCCATCATTCTTCCCACTTGTCCCTCTTTGGCGGAGTCTGTCAACATCGCCAGACAAATAATCCAGGCTGCAGAGCCCGAAACACCTTGAAGAATTCGCCCGACATAGATAGACCATACTAAGTGACGGTCAGTATGTAAGCTGTTGTGAGACGATGTCCATGTGCAGACTTACAATTAGGAGTCAGTGCAACTAGGATAGTTCCTCCCAAGCAGACAATAAGAGCAATGATAAGAGGAGTTTTGCGACTTGGTGTCTTATCAGCGGCAATGGCGACAAGCGGCGTGAGAATAAGGGTTGCAAATCCATGAACACTGAGCAGACCAGAGGTGGTGCGCTGGGTTAAATCTGGGTCTTGGTTCAAGCGAGTTTCTAGCATATAAGGTAGAATGGGGACCAAGAAGCCGTAGAGAAGGGTTTCTGAAAGAAAGAGTTAGACTGAAAGGAACTTCTTCCAAGCCTTGAATGAGAGAATACCCGTGAACAAGGTCAGACAAGCCGTCCCGATGATCAAATATCTCGAAGAACGCCATCCGTGTACAAGACGAAGCTCGTCTGATTCTGTCATTTCGCCGAGTGGGATGAAATGGAAGGCATGGTCGGATTGATCCAAGGCTTTGAGGGGTTCGCATGAGTCAGGTCGATCTAATGCACGCCTTGCAGCTAATCACGAGCTGGATGCCCGAAAACTAGATGTGAACCCTTGCGTGGCTAAACTTTCTGGAAAAGGATCTTCAAAATGCATGGTTTGATCGGACAAGAATAATTGATGTGTCAAAATATCTGCTTTTGCCTACACGAGGCCGTTAGAATGAATATTCGCAAATCCTTTTATTTTAACGAATTAACTCACTATGGAAATTAACTTGGGCGGAAAAAGAAACAATTTTCTTTTTTTCCCCGCCGGTCTGACTTGAGGACTCGGAATGAATTGAAGTCTTCCACTTGAAGGTCCAAGATGCTAAATTGTATTCAGGTGGAGTAAGTAATACTTGCTATGTCTGTCGCCACCATCGGCTCATCCGAACTTGAATGATCTGCAACACCTGGGCATTTTTTCTTCTAAAGCATCCCGATTCAGAGTCCCCGAGCATCAATCTCGAACCTAAAATTCAAAAATCAGATAAAAAGTAAGAGTACTATCGGTTTAAGTTTTTGTTACAACCCAGTTTATTCGAGGAAGAGAACTACTCTTTGCCATCGTAGGTAGCCCGGACTGAGCTTTCCGGAGACCGACATACCGTCGGACTTCGGGGATGAGATCGAACATTGTGAGTAATTAGCTTCCGCTATTCTCACGGAAGAGACACGTCGACTGCGACATGTGCTGAGCAATTTCCTCAAGTGTTCTTATGAAATATCATGTCCTTTTGATTCAGACTTGATTTGTCAGAAGGACGCAAATGACGATCTTTTGTCCGACAGTGAAGTGCATACCTAAGATAGGCCATTCGGCCTAAGGGCATTTAACTCCGTGCGCATCTGTCATCACAGCCACCATTCACTATATCAACTGAAAACCATCAATGAGCGATCCGTAACTATTTAAGTCGCATCTCTGGCTTTCTCTATTCATTTCCTTCAAAGTATCCACCCCTTGCCTTTGGATAAGCTTATCCCTAGTTCTCCACCCCGCAACAATGTCTTTGCCATCTTCCTACAAGCGCGCCGTGTTTCGAGAGGCCGGGGGTCCCCTGCATGTTGAGGAGACCAAGCTGACGATGCCTGCACCTGGGGAGGTTCTCGTGAAGGTAGAGGCATGTGGTGTTTGCTTTTCTGATCATATCCCACAAGCATATGGGGCCAAGGGAAAATTGTAAGTTCTTCAAGTCGCTTCTAACAAATCTTGTTCATGTTTTTCTTACTGGACTGGTGATACTAGCCCCGTCGTTCCTGGCCACGAAGTAATTGGCAATGTTGCTGCGATTGGAGACAACGTTTCGCAATGGAAGATTGGCGATCGCATCGGTGGGCCATGGCATGGAGGCCACGACGGTAGGCTTTGAATGAAGAGAGATCAAATCTCAGTGTGGTAGTCATGACTGAAATAAACAAATAGGTACATGTCTTGCTTGTCGCAAGGGCAACTTTCAGATGTGTGACCAGGGGATTATCAATGGAGTCACAAAAGATGGCGGCTGTAAGATTCAGCCATCAAGCTATCATACTATTCGGACTAATCGACTTTCCCCACAGATGCCCAATATTGCCTTCTGCGCGCTGAGGCTGGGGTTCGCATTCCAACGCATGTACCCGCTGCCGAGTATGCTCCAATCTTGTGTGCTGGAGTGACCGTCTTCAACTCTATGCGACGCCTCAATATTCAGCCCGGATCAGTCGTTGCTATTCAAGGCCTGGGTGGATTGGGTCATCTTGCTATTCAATATGCGAACCGATTCGGATTTCGAGTGGTAGCAATCTCTCGGGACGCTCAAAAGGAAAAGTTTGTACGAGAATTAGGGGCTCATGAATACATCGATAGCAGTAAGGAAGATCCTTCCGAGGCACTACAGAAACTCGGTGGTGCGGCACTTGTCGTCGCGACAGCGCCGAACGCCAAAGCCATTACGCCGCTGATGAAGGGTCTTGGACCTCTTGGAAAGTTACTTCTCCTCGCTAGTGAGTCTACCGAAGCACCTTATCAAAGCACACTATAACTAGGTACTAAGAATCTCTAGCTGCGGGAGAGGTTCCATTTGACTCTTTGGCAATGGTAGGTTCCTAGGTTTCGGATTTAGATCCAGCTTATTTCAATAGCTGTTGGTCACTAACACTTCTTCACGAACAGATTTCGAAAGGCCTTTCTGTCCATGGATGGCCTAGTGGACATGCTCTTGACTCGGAGGAGACTATTCAATTTACCGAACTCGAGGGTGTCAAATGTCTGATCGAAACATTCCCTCTAGAAAAGGCTAATGAAGCTTTCGGTAAGTCACTTACTCAAGATGCCGAAGTATTGACCTGACCAATGTGCAGAGGCCATGAAAAATGGAACTGTACGGTTCCGTGCGGTGATCACGATGGATTGATTAGGCAATAACGAGAGTGATGGAAGTGATTCAAGTATGGCGTTGAGAGCGAAACCCGGGTCTGAAAGCGTGGGGCCGCGCAAAAACCGATGATTGGGCACGATGGCGACACAGGAGCATTTAGGTCAATATTGAGGGGAAAGGGTAGAGATAAATTGAAGACGGGCTAGATGTTACGGATGGACTTTCTATTCGTAGTAAATGTGTATCGTGCTAATACTACTAGTAGTATACCCAGTCTACTACTAGGTATTTGCTAGACTTCTTTGAAGGAGACTCGGACTTCGCTGACATACAGACCGAAATGAAGATAAATAGCGACTGCCCCGCACTTTTTACTATGAATCATCAGTATCCCGGTCAATAAATCGAACCAACTTTTCTTAATCACAACACAATGGCAGTCGAAGATTGGAAATTGCTTGTTGAGAAGAAGCAGGCTGAAGTTTCAGCCCAAATCCCTTCGTCCTGGCGTCTGGCAGCTGAGTATACCGATATATCGGAAACTGCCAGCAAGAATGTGCTTGATATTCCCCGCCTTTGCGGGATTATGACCCCCAAGCAGTTGAATATAACCGAGAATCACGACGCAACATCACTCCTGCGGAAAATTCATCGACAAGAGCTGTCGGCCTTTGAGGTGACTGAGGCCTTTTGCATTCGAGCAGCGATCGCGCAGCAAGTGGTATGTCCCTTCACGATATTCGGAATAACTTCCTATTGGAAACAGTTTTTGACAGGTAACAGACACGATGCTTGACCGAGATGTTTTTTGACCAGGCTCTCGAGCGTGCAAAGGAGTTAGATGAGCATCTTTGTCGGACAGGCCAGCCGGTCGGACCGCTGCATGGACTGCCAATCAGCTTCAAGGTAAGAATGCAGTGATGATATTGAGACGAGGCATTGCTAATAATTCATCTCAGGACTGTTTCAATGTCAAAGGCGTCTGCTCCACGATTGGATTTACTTCTTTCATCAAGAATGGCCCTGTTGAATCCAACTCGGCCGCCGTCGAGATCATCGTCAGGCTTGGCGGCATCCCTTATGTGAAGACCAATATTCCACAGACCATGATGGTGAGCTGACAATGAATAAATGTACCATGATCGAAGCTGACTTGCAAAGGCCGCTGACTCACACAATTACGTGTTCGGTCGTGCGCTCAATCCGCATCGATCAAACCTCAATGCAGGTGGATCATCAGGCGGAGAGGGAGCATTGATTGCTATGCGAGGCTCGGTACTTGGCATTGGAACCGACATTGCTGGATCAATTAGAATTCCAGCTATCTGCAACGGCACTTTCGCGCTACGCCCATCGGTAGACCGAATTCCGTATGGTGGTCAGACCAGCTCTTCTCGAAAGGGTCTGCTTGGAATCAGGGCATGTGCTGGTCCTTTGGCCACCTCCGTTCGTGACTTGGAACTGGTCATGAAATGCATGACAAATTACGACCCGTGGAGTTTTGACTCGACGGCCATATATTCACCATGGCGCGAGGTGAAGCCTAAAGAGACCCTGAGATTTGGTCTTATCCAAGAAGACCCGCATTTCCCTCTTCATCCCCCTGTTTTGCGAACGCTCAAAGAAACCAGCGAAAAGCTGAGTCTTGCAGGTCATGAGATAATTAAGTTAGAAACTCCATCCATCAAAGATGCTTGCGCGCTGGCATTCCGCATGTTTGCAATGGATCCATCCGGCACTGCATTCCAGCACATTGCTGCCAGTGGCGAGCCAACTATACCAGCATTAAAATCGACTTCGCTGTCCCATGAATACATGCAGTATGAATATGCACCGTTGACACTGGATGGTCTATATGATTTGAATCAGCAACGTAATCAACTCAAGGAAGAATTCCGGGAGATCTTGGTGAAGTCGAAAGTGGATGCAATTATCATGCCTGGGTACCAGGGAACTGCCCAACCCCATGATGTATTTGGATTCGTACCATATACTGTACTTTGGAACGTTTTAGATGTGAGTCCACTTTGATTATAGTACGATACATCTTTTCACTAACTTTATTTCAGTACCCAGCGGCGATTATCCCACATGGGAAGGCGAACAAGCTTGCTGATGCCTCCTTCGTGCGAGACGTAGAGTACAAGCCGCCATGTGAGTGACTCTAGATCCACTAGGAGACTTACTCTGACCTTATTATAATCTTTCAGACAAAGCGGATGCAGTGGAAGGCGCTCCTTGTTGCATACAAGTTGTTGGTAGACATATGCGTGAAGAAGAGCTTGTTAAAGCCACGGAAATTGTGGCTATGGTTCTTGCAGAACAGTCTGTCTAGGCATATACTATGCATTATTTAGTGCCTGGTTAGCGACTCGATCTAACAGATTGGCCAAGAATCAGATCCATGGAATATATCAAATACTACTGGCGTCCGTGACTTCAACTAGTTCACTTGCAAGTGGCGGTTGGTGGTTATACTAGTGTGAAACATGGTGCGCCTTCGGCTTAAATCAGCCCGCGTTTGCTGTTATAATCGACAAAGTCGAAATTCTTCGGTATAATAGCTTGCGAGATTCAAGTACTCTGCATCTCGAGTAGTGACCCTAGTTGTGCTACCCCGCATATTGCCCGCTTTCGGAATCCGGATCGTCACGGCGTATATTATAATTCTCCCGTTGGTGGAACTTTTTCGCTTTTCTCACATATAAAATCTACGATTGCACTGTTTCCAAGATTTGATCTAGATATATATTACTGCAATCATCTGAAAATTAGAAGCTTGATCAAATTGAGAGTTCAAACGACATGAAATCTATCTTTTGCTCTCTGCTCTTGCTCATCCCACACGTGGTCGGGGCACCTTTTAATGCTCGAATGGCTTCGAAATCATCTAAGCCTCCGTTTTTTATCCTGGCAGGTGATAGCACAACTGCAAAGCAGAGCTCGAATGGCGGAGGATGGGGAGACGGATTTCTGAACACAACATTGTTCAATGGAGCATCTGGTCAAAACTATGGTCATAACGGGGCCACCACAGTCAGCTTTCGCGCTGGCGGAGACTGGGATAATGTTTTGGCTACGGTCAAAAATACAAGGACTGAATATCATCCTTTTGTGACAATTCAATTTGGACATAATGATCAGAAGCCGGCAGCCAATATTTCGATCGCTCAGTATACGGAGAATCTGGAAAGGTTTGTGGCAGAGGCTAGCGCCGCGGGGGCCACGCCAATTCTTGTCACGCCATTGTCTCGTCGCAATTATGATAGTTCTACCGGGACTCCTAAGATTATTGAGAGTCTTTCCAACCAAACAACAGCCACAATAACTGCCGCGCATAATAGTAGGGTCAACTTTATCAATCTAAATAAGGCTAGCACCGACTACCTCAATGCCATCGGACCAACAAACGCTTATACCTACAATCTGAATGCGGCCGACTATACGCATCTGAATGCTAAAGGATCGGTTGTGTTTGGAGGTATAGTGGCGGAGCTGATTGAGCGTGAATATCCTAACCTGAAACATGATGGATTCCTACACGTGAAAAACGAGCTGAAAGATGACGTGGAGAGGGGCATCTATTACTGGCCAGCATGAGATAAGCCCTGATATTAAATTGGGATATGCATACTAGTTGAATTCAGTTGAAACTACCAAAAACTTTCTCCTCCGAATAACCAATATATGAGATGACATATGGAAATGAGGTCGAACTTGATCATATCCTCGCGATAAATCAATTTAGAACGTTAACACAAAGCAAAAAGTGAACTGACTGCACATATTCTGTGACCACGACAATCTTCTTCTGCATTAATTGCGCTTTTCTTCCTCGTGCTCATGCTTCTGAAGGAATAGAGCCCTCATAGATGGATAAGTGCGCACTTCGATATCATCTGCAAGTACGGCAGTTCCGTTCTCATCACCGAGGCTATATGATATCGTCTTGGGAACGGCATTTTTCACTCTCTTGGCAAACCAAATAGCGTGAACCCAGTCAATCCATACCTCATAGCCCTCTCCTTGGTCATGTATCAAAATTGTTGCTCCTTCTTCACTTGCTCGGAAGCGATGATCCAAATTGATACGTTCTTCTTCTCCCCAAGAGCCCTTGACCTTAGCATTAAATATGATCTGACCTTGGCCCCGTCGGATTGAAATATGAAAAACTGTGTTTCCGGCATCATCCGAGATAGAAATCTGGGTCATGTCAACGCCTACTGCAGGCTTATCCAGGTCGACAGAATCGGATTCCAGGAGAATGACGCTGTCAGGCTTAAGCTGCTTTTGGAATACCAGGCTGCTGTGAAGAGGAAGATTGGCCTTGAGTCGCACGGGTCTGTGATAAGAATGTTAGTAACTATCCCATGGGGCTTCGAAACATTGTATTGGATATATACCGGGGTGGCGGGATTGGAATGGCAGGCTGCTTTAGCTCCGGATCAAGAGCGCCTTCAGCACCACCACTGATGGTGGGTTCCTCTTTGAAATTATCAAATCCCGGTGGTAGAGCAGGGTTTTCGAAGAACTTCGTGTCGTTGGTACTTCCGATTATCTCCAAGTCGAGCTTTTCAACATCATAGCGTGGTAATTCCTTGCCGTGCTAGTAATGAATTAGAACCTCAGCTCCGAGTATTCAAGTCAGTGCAATGTTATACCTTTATCACTCTCCAGTATGCACGCTTCCTCAAGAAGGCTAGTACCTCATCGCGAGTGAGTGTCTTCAACTTCCGACCAGTCTTCAGCAGTTTATAAAGAACTGGTGTGATGGGAATATACGCAGTAGATTTGATTTTGATTGCCTGACCACCCTTGCAATTGCCACAGACAGTTGAGCCATCTAACTCTGGTTTTTGACTGAAGTTATACACTTCTGCAATCAAGTCTGTGAGAGGTGTCTGCATGCCTTCTTCCTGGGCAAGGTATAGTTTGATCCAGAAGGGCTGACCACCAAATGCATACCTGACAGGTATTTATCAGTTTCAATCCCATAGTACAAACGTATTTCTGGGGAACCTACTTCAAGAACCGGATGCTGAATCCAAAGTCAGTGATTTTAAGACCGCCATCAATCTGCTCTACGCCCTCTGGAACGGGCGCTTTTGGATCCAAGACCAGTGACCTGGAGACACCATATAGTGTGTTGATTTGAGCTGTCAGATCTTCCACGTAGAGAGTCTCATTGAAAGATTTATCTTCTTGGGAGTATTTAGAGTCCCATCGCTGGAGCTCAGGATATGTATACCCCAAATTAACAGTGTGCCGAACGCCATCAGGAGTCCAATACCTCCCTTGAGGATCGTTTCGGAAGGGTTGTAGTGGCGTGTCCTTGTTGACATCATGCTCCTGAGCATGCGAGTCTGTGATCTTGGCATTATCAGGAGGAATTTTGTCGAGAAACTTATCGGGGTTTAGAGCCTGCCAAAGAGCAAAAATACGGTCAATGTTGCTATTATTGAGAGATAATATAATCAGTATCATATGAAGGATCAAATGAAAGAAAGAAACCTGCGGTATCTCACCAGTGGTGCAACCAGAATAATGGATCAAAAGAGGCGACAGGCACATTCCCCATATGGCCGGCATCTCCAGTCCAGCCGTGAATGTTGTTGTGTATCTGGAATAGAGTCAGCTACCAGTAGCAATTCTGCTCAAAAAAGACAATTAAACTCACATATTCGATGTTCAGATCTTCATCCACCTTTTGGTCCTTAGTCGTAGGGTTCGTACTAGCAAAAGTAGTGAAGTCCATTGGGATCGTAAGAAGACGGTATACCATCTCCGCAGATGCGCCATGGTTCTTGTCATTATACCCCATGTGCGAATTGAAAGCATCGGCCACTTTACGGTTATTGACCACACCATGTCTCCAGCCTTCACTTGTCGGCTTTTGATCGTCCTCGTCGGGCCACCGACTTGTTCCTATAGCATTTCCGAACTGTTATAGTTAGTTCACTTCCTGTTATAATTTTTCCTCTTGGGGAGCTGCTTGTGCCAACATTTTTATACTCCTCCTGTTCTGCGTCATCGGCCCAAGTATTTTCGGTACCCACGCCTTCACTTCGCATGGGCTTGTCAGTCGGCATGCGAAATTGAAACAACGGGTTATTGATTCGCTTCACTCCTCCCTTGGGGTTCGGGACCGTGATGGTAGGGTATTTGGCCAAATCTGGCACACGACCATTTTTCGCCCAGTCCCAGAACGGAAGACGCCAGGAGTCGGCGAGTTCACGCCAGCCAGCCTCTTCCTCCTTCGGAAATTGCGGGATCACATCCCGAATCATAATATCGTATACCACTTGCTACTTACATTATCAGTGATTTCGTAATTTAAGAAGTTCTCCCGGTAGAAGCTCACCTCGAAGAGAAGCACATATGGCCGATGCCATATAGGGAACAAAATGTGTGCGTGGAAACAGTAGCCGTGTTCCATCGGCTCGCGGCTGTTGTCATCCCAGCGAACAAACGGCTGGCCATGAATACCTGGAAAGGTTAATAGATTGACTCTATATCCAACATAGTGGACATACCGGCGATCTGGAAATACGAAATCTTATCCTTGGGATCCAACTTCTGGAATTTCTCCATGGCCATGATGAATAAATCCACCTGCCGTTTGTTTGATTTCTTGCCACTCCATTCGTCTATGTTCTGGCGAACATACACCCTACGATTTAGTCCATCGTCAGGATTAGAATCCTTCTCTGGGTACCGAGCCCATGTCAGATAAAAGAAAGGGCCAACTTCTTGGATGTTAACCATGCTGCCAAGAGACTCGACGGATGAATGGATCTGCTTGTTGGATGATTTCCGGGAAAGCCGACCGAAGAGGTGCATTCGCGCTGTGGTTTATAAGAAACCTGATTCTTGTAGCGGCCTTTGGTTGAATTTTACCTCTTATAAGTACTTGCATTTCCAAGAAGTGACTCACCTGCAACCAGGTCAAGCGCTACTTAGTCGCTCTGATGAATGGGAGAATTGAAAGAATTCCGGCATATGCCACTAGTACCACACTTGAAGCAAGCCTCAAAGGATTCAGTTTTCTGTTGTTAGTGAAGACCCGCCCTGTTGCTCCTGATCTGGCGAAGGGAAATATTTGGCGACAAGCTGAACGGCACTAGAAGCTGTCGATCCATTGTAAAGCTAGAGGAATCACGGTAGCCCGCTTTAAAATTGACCAATAGCAGCTGCATTGAATCTCGAGTGGCCCGGGGTGAACTGGTGCATGCAGTCAGCCCGTTCAAGAGAAGAGCTCGTTCGTTGTCACCTCCGGGGCTGCATGATGGCTGAGTGGTGGGCACGAACAGGTTCATGGCACGAGCTCCTCCTATTCAAAGCCAGCCACACATTCTTGGAGGTCTTCCCCTCACTGGCAGCTCTAGTTTTCGGCACTGTCTCGGAAAATTCTGCATGATACGTAGGACAGAAACTGTTGACAGGGATACATGTTTGCTTTGTAAAATGTATGTTCGAGTCTCCTAACCAAGAACTTGAAGTTGTCTAGGCTCAACTAGCCAAGGAAAGAGAGTCACGTATGCGAAGAAATCAGTGATTCGCGCAGTCTCAGAATCTTTACATAGTCTACCAGGGACTAGAATTAGCCAAAGCTCGTTTTCACATGCTAATAATCACCAGAATTGCAAGGTCGTCGTTCACAGAAACTGGGAGATGACTGTGAGATGTCCGTTTGTACATTAGATGATTCTATTGAGACGCATTTTTTCTATCTCTTGCTTTGTGAAGCCAAGTTCACTCAGGGTATCTTCTGTATGCTCGCCTAATCCAGGTGGTGCAGTTCGAACCTGGGGTCTTGTTTCGCTAAATTTAACGGGAAAACCTTTGGCGAACGTCAGTAATCATACTAGATGCACCAAATAGCCTTGGTGGTAAATAGTAACACAAAGAATATGGAGTACAACGAACCAAGAACCTTAATCTGCCCAGAAGATGCTGCACTGTAGGGTATATTGTGAACCATTTCTCTAGCGTCTGTCTGGGGGTGGGAGAACACCTTCTCCACAGTGTTTATTGGCCCGTATGGCATCCCGCTGCCCTCGAGAACTTCAAGCCATTGGTCTGTTGACCTTTGCCTTATGATGGCTTTCAGAATTTTCATCAGCTCATCCCGGTTTTCCACTCGAGCGTCGTTGCTGGTGAAGCGAGGATCTTCTGCTAAATCGTGTCGGTCGATCAATTGACAAAGGACCTGATATTGGCGATCATTGGTAGCACCGAGGACGATGTACGAATTTTTGGTTTGAAAGGCCTGGTATGGAACGATGCTAGGATGTTCTGTACCCCAGCGCTGAGCTTCCACTCCTCCGTTCAACCAAGACATTGCAACATTGGACAGCAAAGATACTTGGCTTTCATATAGAGATGCATCGATCTTTTGCCCTTTGCCATTTTTCTGGCGAGCAAACAACGCAGCCAGAATTGCACCATGGAGATATAGCCCGGTGCTCATGTCTGTAAGACCTAAACCTGGCCGCGTCGGAGGACCGTCCTTTTCACCAGTGATGTGCAGCAAGCCCGCCTCTGCTGCAGCTATCGCATCGTACCCCGCGCGATGGGCGTACGGGCCGCTTGCTCCGTAACCTGTCATACTCTTAGCTCAAAGTCAAAGGCAAATTTAGGCCAACAAACCGGAGACGCTAGCATGGATGATTGAGGGGTTGATTGAACGAAGTTTTTCGTATCCCATCCCCAGTTCCTCCATTTTTCCTGGCACGAAATTGTCGACTCTTGACACAGTCAGAAGGAACGTAAGGAGATATTCATAGGAATTTGACACACAAGACATCCGCATTTTTTACAAGTCGGAACAAAACTTTGCGGCCCTGCGCTTCCTTGAAATTCAGAGTGATCGAACGTTTGTTGCGGTTCACACCGCAGAAGTAAGCTGAAATATCATTCGCGGTGGATTTCCAAATGTCTTTTTCTGCGGCGGTTTTCCACCTTCGCGTATCATCCTAGAATTTATTAATCTCATATCCTAATCAGCGATATAATGCTCAATGAACGCACCCCTCCCTTCGGATTTTCAACCTTCAACACGTCGGCGCCGTAATCAGCGAGGATCTGAGTACAGAATGGCCCCTTAATTAAGTTAGCTCATAATTATGGGAATTGTTGTTCTCAAGACAAACTGCCAAAACCCGAGTCAGGTCCAGAATACGAACGCCAGTCAGAGGACCTCTGCTCGGGGGAATGTTATGGGACCATCGTTGCTGACTCGGAACTGTGATTGCAGGCGGGGTGATGCGGAATCCTGCATTCCTCATTGCGCGCGAGAATTGTTTGACAAAACCGATGCGATTTGGTGATCCATTTAGACTAGCCATATTGCGAGAAATACTAGAATTTATTTTCCACCTGTTGGTTTGAGTTGAATGGAAGTTTTCGTAGTAGTAGTAATGACTCGGAGAGCAGTGGGATGTGGTAATCCGGGGCCCCCCCCCCCCACCCCGCATAAAGCCGATCTGTTGGATTTCACGCTGCCATCAGTGCCGCGGTAAGTTTGCGAGACTGTCGATCCATAACTCCGAAATTCACCGAATATATGGCTTTCTAAAAAGTTGTTGAGAGAAATGCGCTAATTGGCTATCGCAGCCTGCCTCTTGTATGCTAGAGTTGAGAGTGCTCCTTTTGAATAATGAGATCGTCTTACAACCAATTTAATCGTCTTCATTCAAGTTTTCTTATTATTTTTCAAGTTTGCTTTCACTCTATCCACGATATCGAAATCTAGTATGATCTAGGTAGCCCAAGCACCCTCTCCCCAATATAGTTGAAAATCATTTCTCGGCTCACGGGGGCAATACGAGGAATGAAGACCTCACGGAGGTACCTCTCTACATGATACTCTTTAGCATAACCCATGCCCCCATGAGCAAGTATCGCCCTCTCACAGGCCTCAAATGCAGCTTCAGCAGCCAAATACTTTCCGGCGTTGGCATACTCCCCACCCTGGTACCCTTCGTCGTATAACCGAGCCGCTTGGTAAATCATCATACGGGCAGCCTCTAGTTTCATCCAACTTTCCGCAAGGGGATGTTGAACGCCCTGGTTCTGTCCTATAGGGCGGCCAAATACATGTCTTTCACCAGCATATAATGCCGCTCGACGTATAGCAGCAAAGCCTAAGCCGAGTGCTTCGGCGCCAATTAAGATCCTCTCAGCGTTCATTCCATGGATTATCATTTTGAAGCCTTCATTCTCTGGACCCACACGGTCGACCTTGGGCACATGCCACTCATCAAAGAAGAGAGTATTGGTGTCGACAGCAGCGCGGCCCATCTTAGGTATTTCCGTGATCTCAACTTCAGGAACTTGAAGATCAGTGTAGAACAGCGATAATCCCTGCGATGGCTTTTGTACCTGATCAAGTGGTGTTGTGCGGACCAGGATTAAGATCTTATCTGCCTGTTTGGCAGTTGAGATCCAGATCTTTTGCCCTGAGAGTATGTATCCATCACCACTCCGACGCGCTGTAGATTGTAGTTTCAGTGTATCAAGTCCAGTGTTAGGCTCTGTGACTCCAAAACAGGCTCGCTCGCGACCGGCAATCAAGGGTCGTAGCCACCTCTCCTTCTGCTCTTCTGTCCCGAATTTCGCAACTGGCTCCAGACCGAAGATGTTCATGTGGATAGATGAAGCACCCGTCATACCGGCGCCCGATTCTGAAATCCTCTGCATCATCACTGCTGCCTCGGAGATTCCGAGCTCGGATCCCCCATAACGTTGCGGCAAACAGATTCCCAGCCAGCCCTGGCTTGCTAACGCGTCATAAAGCTCCGTTGGAAACTTCTTCGACTCGTCGACTCGGGCCCAGTACTCATCGGGGAAGTCCGAGCAGATTTTACCGATGGCCTCGCGTACAGTGCGTTGGGAATCAGAGAGATCTGGGTCTTGATTCTGTAGGAACTCCGTAGCACGCGAATGCATAGCACGCGTCAATTTTGGCCGACAAGACCGGAGCCTGAGGGGATAGGGGGGCTCCCAGATATTTTCTTCTGGCCTATAGCTAGTGAGTATACGCGCAGAGAGTTGTGTGCGGAATTTGAACTAACCAATCTCAATAGAGTCGTCATTGTGATCAAGCTATGTTGCCTCAAATGATAGTAATCAATGTTTTTCCTCTACTATCATCGCTCTTTGGGTTTATTGATAGATCCAGCTTCCTGCTGTGCGAGTATGTAGTCATTGGGGTGCATTGCGGAGGAAGTAGATGAGAGAAGCGGGGCACGCCGAGAGGCGCCGAGGATTAATTTGGAAGATTATACAGTACTGGTGTTTCCGTCGGAAGTCGCATAATCCATTCGCCTACATGCCAGTGAGAGTACAAACTACTGCCACTGGTCTCGAAGCTTATCAATACTGTCCGCATAATACATAGAGATAAAATTTGTATTTATTTATGGATTGTGTTTCCAACTTGAAGGGGACAAAATTTATAATAGAACATCTACCAGAGGGCGACAGCCGAAGTACTGGCTTGCTTATAATCGAGCATTACTATCCAAATAAAAAAGATTCCTCCTTTGTCCCTTTTCTCCAGCGGAATCAGGTACCACTCTGCCTATCTTCCCAATCGGTTCTTCGCTCCTAGAGGCGAGTCGATGGAGAGTTTCCTCATCACCATGGTTGGCCAAAAATCGATGGTTACTCCCTGACAGACGGCCCACAATATGCGCAAGAGTCGGACGCCCATCACGACCGAATTCAACGGTATATGTCTGTTCAATGTTAGAATTAAAACTAACGCCAGACCAAAATTCAGGTTGAAACAGGATGTACTTACCTCTATCTGGGACTTTCCTTCTGCCTCAAGATCCATAGGCGGGATTGGATCGGGGATCGTAGTGTTGAAAATACTGCTGTCTGGGTATTGGCTGCCGTCTCTTCGCGGCCTGTTCGATATACAAATTGCATGCTGATAAGACAAGAAGCCGCCGTTGGCTAAAATAAGGCCATTCCGGGCGGAACCTGCGCGAAGTTGGCGAGCCATTTCGGTGATGGCCTTCCAAGTTAGCATTCTCTCGATAGAAACATAAGTGATAAGCCTTACATGCATAGAATAGTTATTTCCAGCTCCTCCAAATGAGGTCAAACCGCCGAGAACGGTGATTGGCTTCTCTGGTTTAGTAATTGAAAGTCCGAGGTGATGGCATGCTAGTTTTGGAACAATCGGGAAACACGAATACATGTCGTAGATATCAATATCTGCTGATTTCAACGAGCTGAGCTCTAGGCATTTATCAAGCGACTGCGATATGGCGGAGCTTTCAAAGTAGTTTGGTCGTTCCCAGACTATCAGTAGTCAGTAAATATCGAATTGCGACAGACATTCTCGAATATCAGCAAAGAAGATACTCACAAAGATCGCGTTCTCTAAATCCAGCGCCACCAACTAGGACCAATCTATTAGCCAGAAATCTAGTCCAAAGACCCGTTTGACTTACGAGGATATATCCATTTATCTTCCGGGATCTCAAGTTGCTTCGCAAACTCGGTTGAAGTGACAATACAAGCTGCACCCAAATTGACCGTATTGAATGCGTTCATCAAGAGAGGATCTATAGTTAGTTGGAAGTTAAGTTAGCCAAACGAACAATGTCCTTCAATCTGGAAGATAGGAAGCGAACATGGAAAACAAATCATTCGATTTTTCTTTGAGATCGTCCCAATCGAATTCGCCGTTTCAGGTTTCAGGCCATGGTTCCACGCATACTGATTCGACGCCGCGACCTCACTGAAATTGCCGTAAAGAATGGCCGACTCTTCATGATTCTCTTCGATAGATTGACCACGATGAGCTCGGAACCCATTTTCGTATAGTGGGTAGATGTGAATTGGGGCTCCCACTGAGTGAATGCCTCCGATATCTAGATTTAGTCAGGAGGGTTGTTTTTTTAGCGTCAAGATTGGTGATGACCTACTCTTCTTGAGCTCTCGTCCAGTAGGAGTAAAAACATCCGTAACTGACTCGGTCTCTGGCCCTGGAGTCCACCCGGGAGGTGGCATTTTACCTTCCTTGACACAGCAGGCCACTAAATATTGTCAGAGAATAAAAGTCCCATGCTGAATAAAGCCACTTACATGATGCAAGAGCTTCTGCGCCCGTCAAAACAGCAACGTGGCTCTCTCCAGTTGCGATACGCCTCGCAGCGTCGTCCAAAAGCTTCGCCGGTTGATTTCCGCCATGATCAGTGTAGCTTTTGTGTCTTGGTCGCACATCCAGTTTCTGAGCTAGAAATTCAGGTAAATCGGAATATGGCCAGGTCCATGTCTTCACGACGTCGATGCTGTCGATACTGGAGCGTAACTTTGCCCCAGTTGCTGATGATTTGGTTGCATCGTTAATGGCTGCATTGATAGACTCCAGCATCAAAGTCGCCGGTTCTTTGGCATCCTCAGGCTTGGCAGATCGGTTTTTGATGTCGGCAACGCCGATGATAACTGGAATCATAGTTGCAGTGGTGACTGATTATTGTTGATTAACTGTATCGATAGGCTGTGCTTGAGTCTCATCCATTGCTTTTGATCCCGCATTTCAGACACAGGGGTGTGGGGATCGACACATCCTCGGCCCGAGCAAAAGTTATGAATTGAGCATATGGCAGGGGTGGGGGGGTACGTACCCATGGCAGCGAATCTGGGGTTACAATGGCTAGAAAGTGCTCAGAATGATTTCAAAAAGAGTAGTATAGCTTAGAACATTCCACATCTGCGCTTATATTAAATTCATTTCTAACTGGCCACGATAACTAGATCACAGGCCCATTTAATCACAGACCCATTTCTCTTCTCCGGTGATACTCCGTACATAAACCCCATCTACGTCATAGACGCGATGGGACCCATTCGGGCTTCTTCTTCATCGCAAACGCCTCAACGCCAATCTTAAAATTGTCACCTGCAACAAGCTTATTGACATATTCATGTCTCGTCCGTGTAGTTGCATGTTCCACACTCGGATTATCCCAAGCCTCCCGCAATCCCTGCCGAGTAACTATGATCCCATCTGGTGAGAAGCTCGTGATGCGGACTGCCATTTCGATGCATTCTTCCACGACAGATCGTGGGGACTTCGAGATTCGATTGATCAATCGGTAGTCTAGTGCTTCTTGGGCGGAGAGTCGCCGACCGGTCATTGCGATCTCGGAAGCGAGTTGTAGTCCCACGATTCGCATCAGTCGAGGGAGACCGCCTGCTGCGGCATACAGGCCCACAGCAACTTCTGGTAACCCGAATTGAGCTTCTGGAGATGCGACGATGATATCGCTACAACAGCTCTCGTTAGTATCTTTCACTCTCACACCTGGGGAGCAACATGCCGATCGCGAGAATATTTCTTACCAATTAAGACATATTTCAAATCCCCCACCGAGCGCAAAGCCATTGACGGCTGCCAGAACAGGTTTTCTCCCTCTTCGCTGGCTGAGACCCATAAAGCCGCTGGGAGGATGGTTCATGACGGCTTGCTGGGCTGCAGTTTTGGGTCCGCGACGTGATGTAGCTTGCTCGGTCAAATCTTGACCGGCACAGAATGATTTCTCGCCTGCGCCGGTGACCACTGCGACGAGCAAGGATGGTTCTTCATCGAACCATGAGAATAATGCATGGCCTTCCCAGTGTGCTTCTGCGGGCAGAGAATTTCGCTGTTTTTCTCGGTCGATGGTCACTAGAATAATCCCAGGTTTGGGGTAAGATAGCTGGTAGAAGGTTGTTGGTGGAGGTTGTGTTTGTAATGAATCGGCCATCTTTGCGTTATGGACTGTGGAATGACCTAAAGATGGAGAAGCAGAAAAGGTACACGTATCAAGTTGGCTGGGGTGCGATGAGTGGTGAAAGTGCTTGAGAATAAAAGGACTGATATAGCCTTTATGGCAAGGAAAAATTTATGCACGGTACAAGAAGGTGATTGACTGTTGCAGGTGAGACGTGAAATGCGGGGAGAGCAGTTTTGCCTCGGAGCTCTCGGCTATCACAGCCCACTTTATTTAGTTACATCAATACCCCGGATTGCAGATCATTCATTGTTTTCTTTCACAAGCACGAGCCATCGAATATAGCCATGGCGCAGACTTCATCTGGAAATGCGTACGTGCTGGGTGTGGGGTTGACCCAGTTCCTCAAGCCACGCCGCACGCGTGAATACCCCGAGTTGGGCTATGAAGCAGGAGTCAAGGCGATGCTGGATGCGAAGATAGACTATGATTCTGTCGAAGCGGGAATTGCGTGCTATTGCTATGGAGATACCACGTCTGGTAAGTTGATCGTGGATTTGATCCTGAGGATGCGACGTCGTTCCACTCTGACCATTATGCGGTATAGGTCAAAGGATATTCTACCAATTTGGCATGACTGGAATCGAGATCTACAACTTGAACAATGCCTGTGCGACCGGTTCAACAGGTTTGCATCTTGCGCGCAAGATGGTCAAGGGTGGGCTCGCGGATTGTGTTCTGGTGATCGGCTTCGAGCAGATGCGCCCAGGTTCCATCAAGAGCGTATGGGACGATCGCCCTAGCCCCCTTGGCCCTTCTACAAAGATGATGGAGGATGAATTCGGCAAACATGACTCACCTCGCAATGCACAATATTTTGGAAATGCCGGACAGGAGTACATGTCAAGGTAGGCCACTTCAGCAACCATCGTCAAGGAATGTAACTAAATGCCTGAATCGACAGATATGGCGCCAAAGCCGAGGACTTTGCCGAAATCGCTCGAATCTCTCATGAGCACTCACAGAAAAACCCATATGCTCAGTTTCGGACTGCCTACTCCCTTGATGAGATCGTCAACTCCACACCGGTGTATGGCCCCCCTTACCAAGCTTCAATGCTCTCCGACTAGTGACGGCGCAGCTGCAGCTGTGATAGTCTCCCAAAAGTTCCTCGACGCACGTCCGCATCTGCGCTCACAGGCAATCTTGATGGCAGGTCAGAAGATGCTCACCGATGGGCCAGAGGTATACTCTCGAAGCGCCATTGATCTTGTCGGGTTCAACATGTCCCGTGATGCTGCCAAATTGGCTATGCAGGAGGCCCAGGTTCAAACAAAAGATATTAAAGTCTGTGAGCTCCATGACTGCTTCTCTACAAATGAGATGTTGTTGCTTGATGGGCTTGGCTTTTCGGAGCCTGGAAAAGCACATGAGATGGTCCGTCGTGGGGATATCACATACGGCGGTCGGGGTCCTGTCATCAACCCGTCCGGTGGGTTAATATCCAAAGGCCATCCACTTGGGGCTACAGGATTGGCACAGTGTGCCGAACTTACTTGGCAACTTCGAGGTTGGGCGAACAATCGATTGGTTGATGAAGTAGATGTTGCATTGCAGCACAACCTGGGACTGGGTGGAGCAGTGGTCGTGACTATTTACAAGCGGGCAGATGGTCAGAAAGGCAGAGCAGTTTCCGATGCTGACGTTGCAAGGGCATCCGGTGTTGGCTATAATCCCGCTGTAGAAGCCCGATATGTGACCCCACAAGAAGGCGAACGAGTGCGAAGCAAGGCCAAGCGCCACGATTATGTCCTGCACGAGACAGTAAGGAAGCTGTCGTCGCGAATTTGAAACAACTTTCCATTCTCGAAATGAAATAGGATAATAGATCAATCCGGATTTGAAGAACAGACGCTACTCATCTATCATGTGGCGAGACATTGCGTTCCAAAAAGAGCCAATCTTTGTTCATGGGCATAATTCCCTGGATTTTCGGATCAGTTTTACATTGACCTTGATAACAGTCTGTATATGATCAATTATGGAATCCTTTGCTTGAGTAGCAAGTAGCTTTCTTTGGCCAGTAGAGATATCAGTAGGCACTAAAGCCTATTTCTAACGCTGTATATCTGAAGAAACCCCACGTGGTTGACACAAGTGACTTCCTGGGATTGGGGCTCATAATAAAGTTCTTTTCCCATTGGGCGAGACCTGATCTGAGAGTCCGAAACTCCACTTCGCATTTGGCTCGCTGTTTCTCTTTCGAAAGATACCGGCTTGCTGAGAAAGAATCGGCTTCACACGGGTTGAAAGGCCATGAACATTGACATTTGCTGCATTCTCGAAGAAACGGCAGGTAGTGTTTGGTGGCGTGAGGTCGTCAATTTCGGATGTTAGGACACTTCCAATCACCAAGGCAGGTGAAGATGAGCGTTGACGAGCTACGGGTATAGCAGTGTATACTCAGCGGCCTAGTTGATTATTCTGCGTGGATTTGTTGCTTCTCGATGACGCTTGTACATCGGGCGTATACTATCAAGCAACTAGCATGGTTCCCAGGTTCACTCTCCGCTTGTCTTTGAATTCTGGGTGTCAGAAATATGGAGTTTGTGAAGTTTCTCTTTGACATTATCTTTGGCATTATCCTTGACAATGTCTAGCTTGTCATGTGCACTGTGTAGTTTCTTCTTCGTAAGGGTGTATCCCTCGATGCCGGCCAAGATCGCATAGGATTTGCTAATGGAAACGCGAGATAGATCGACGCCTCGCTCTTGGAGGGAATGATGGAAAGCTCGGAAGTTGGCTAGATGAGGGCGATAGTGTCCGCTGTGAGGGTTATCAGTATCATAAACCGCTGTATCGATGGGATGTTTTGGAGAGAGGCTTACCTTAATGGAGCTAGACTGCGTAGTTGACCGTTCTTAATTTTGAGCATACCGGCTGCCGAAATCCTTCCACCGCGGAGAAAGGAGGAGTGTTGAAAGGCACCGGGCTCTTTGATGCCGATATAGATTCGGAATGAAGTATCAGCAACCTGCATGCTAACGTTAGCCATGTTCATATCAATGTGAAAAGGATAATCACAAATATCCACATGTCGTCTTTTGTCGAAAAGCTGCCAGTAAAGTGATCATAAATGGCAGTGGGCTTAACTCGCGAGAATTTGCTGACGGCTTTGTTCAGCTCATAATCCTCCCGCGTCGATAGTTGCGGGCCATCGTTTTCCTTGTCATCAACAGGCGTTGGGGAAGAAGTTCCTGGTGGAGATGGGGAAGGAGATGACGAAGGGGACTGTGGACTCGATGCCTCTCCATTCCCTCTGTATTGTATAGTACCATCTTGCACATGAACAACCCCTTGCATGCTATCCTTAAATCGCTTGCTGTTCGTTTGAACAAGTTCATCATTTTTCGCCCAGCGAAACATTCCGGCGTCATCCACCTTGACCAGATACTTCAGTCTCTCCTCTGGGGATAGATAGCGGACCTGGTCTCTCTCAAGCTTTTCCCTGGAGCATCGTGGAACTTCCACATCTTTCCCTTCGCCATAGTCAAGCCAGTAGAAGAAGTTCTCACTTGAAGGGGATTCCTTCCAGACTGCATGGTAGGCACGGAGGTGGCTCCCATGCCTGTGTTTTCCATCGACCATTTCGAGAAAATATGGCAAGTCCATTATTTTTGTCACTCCCCGCTTTCCCTTTTGTTGGTTGGATTGATCAGCTTTCATCGGGGGAACAGAGGATGTAGAGTCGCCGGTGGCTCCAGCTTGGATGGCTACGCTGACCGCTCGTTGCCAATTTTTGCGCGCTGGACTTGGAGTGGTTTCGCACTCTGTGGGTGCTGAATTCTCGGGATATGGGATGGATGGTTGTTGATGTGTGTTCTGCGATATGGTTCAATATGAGTCAGCCTTATCATCACGATGAAGTATATTGGCACAAAAGAGAGGGAAGTTTTCTCACCTCCATCCACCGACTGGTGGCTGTGATATTGTTGCCTTGCAATTCCCTCCGAGTTCGATAACCCCGATATACGCGCTATGCGACCAAAGCATCAAAAAATGGCCATTTATATCGATTGTACCGCAAATCGCGTACCTGGATGGTGCCCGCGGCCTGGACTTCTTGGTGACGAGTGACGTCATTTTGTGTTTGCTGGGGTGCTGGCGGTGGTTCTCGAGAGCGTCTCATTTTGAAGAGAAATGAAGAGAGAAGAGGAGAAATATAGAAGAAGGTAGAAAAGAAGGAAGAGAAGAGAAGATAAGATGATTCAACCGGATGTTGAGGCCAGGAGGAGGTGGTGCGCAGGTTGTTCCTTCCTTTTCTCCCGCCTTGTTTTGGTCTTCAAAGGGAAGGAACCCCCACGTGAATCCCCCGCGGTGCCGATAAGATAAGAGAAGCGTCGCTCTTTCCCAAGGCTCCTTTCCTGCCATCGTGCCTGCCATTTCCACCATTCCAGCCTTATTCTTCAGGCTTCAGTTCTCCTCTCTTCTCCTCTCCTCTCAGACTTCTTCTCCATTGGACCCGAGTCACATTTTCCACCAAGGTTGGGCCTTGAGAGGACCTTCGGGGCACCCTCACTTGTCTATAAAGCATTTAATCGCCGAGTCGCGCATTTTCATTTTGTGCTTGACTCGTTATTCGCCGTCGTTCTTCTCCCTCCTCGCCATGGATGCGGAAGATTCAACGTCTATCGAATTTCGCAAAATGCCTCCGATCTGGTCCCGTCCCCGGCGCGGGTTTTAGGTCCAGAAATTCCCTCGCCGGTCATGATATTCTCATTGCGTCCTGCCTAGTCTAGATTCTTCCGGACTTCACGCGCAACGATGACCCGCCCCAGACAGGATCCCAATCATTCACAAGGCATGGCACCATATAGACAAGCCCCCAATTGGAGTATCACCTGCCTCCCCTCATCCTTGAGGATTCCCTTACTCGATTTAGAGCCCGCCCCGCAACGGGCGGGATCACGCCAGCGCCGAAATCGTGGGGAGGTCGAGAACATCGGGAATGTATCCGCGTTATCAGCGACCCTGCTCCAATCCAATCCATCGGACAACCCGGTTCATCCCCACCACGGAGCCGTGCCCGCGGGTTCCCCTCATGAGGGGGTATGGAGATACCCTGCACTTCACTGCATGTCATCTTCGTATCCAAATTAATTGAAGAGATATCCTTTGTTGATATATATACCCCTACACGCGCAATTCGATTCCACTTCTCCAGTTCTCATTTTCCAAACTTGAAAAACACCATCTCTCACATAATGGCCTCCATCCACCCTCTCATCGACAACGGCCTCACCAAGGGTGACCCCAACTTCCCCGGTGGAACTCTCCAATGTCGGTGCTCCTCCAACCAAGTCGTCGTCGCCCTGAAGAGCAACGTCGCCCACAACCACGCCTGCGGTTGCTCTAAATGCTGGAAGCCCGCCGGCGCCCTCTTCTCCGTCGTCGGTGTCATCCCCCGCGATAACCTCTCCGTCGAGGCCAACGCCTCCAAGCTCAAGATCGTCGACCCCTCCGCCGTCATCCAGCGCCACGCCTGCTCCGACTGCGGCGTCCATATGTACGGCCGCATCGAGTCTGCCCACCCCTTCCACGGACTGGACTTCGTCCACGCCGAGCTGTCTCAGCAGAAGGGCTGGCAAGAGCCTCAATTCGCTGGCTTCGTTTCTTCCATCATCGAGCAGGGATATAACCCTGAGGGCATGGATGCCATTCGCGCCAAGTTCAAGGCTAACGGTCTTGATACCTACGATGCTCTCTCTCCCCCTCTAATGGATCTTATTGCTACCTTCACTGCTAAGAAGGCCGGTGTTAAGTTCGCCAACCTTTAAGCGGCCCAGTTCGATTAAAATTGCATGTGCTCTGAAGATGTATTCCATAGACCCGGGGCGATTGTCTAGCAATGCTCGAGGGAAAAGAATTCGAATGATATAATGACTGTTACTATATCCATCGATGTCTGCTGAAATTACAAATCAACCGCGGAATGATAGAAACTTTGGAGCTACTAAGTAAAAATGGGTAATGGTAATTGTAAACTTAACTTTGTGACTACAAGTTTAAACATGCCGGCGTGCGGAATGGATGTAGGATGGGATCCTATCGTGCCCAACCTGTTCTCGGAGATACTAGATATTACCAGGACAACGATTATGAGACTAGTAAAATAACCCTGGAAATAAAAAGAATTGGGTTTGCAAGGAGGGCTTATCTCAGCGACAGCAAGTGGCTCACTTAAATATCAAACGAAATTAAATGCTCTAAATTGTCGAAACTACACATAATAAGCCTGAAATTGGAATCACTAGTTACAACCTGGGAAGGCATTTGAGTCTATTATCAGTTGCAAGTCTATATTCATATTAAATTCACATTAAAGTTAATTTTGCCCTCTCACATCCTCACGAATGTTAAATTCAGTAGTGCAATAGATCCCATTACCACGAGGGCTCTCTATCTCATCACTCGACTTTTCAAATCTCACGGTCGCTTCCTGGACCGCAAGATTCTCGACATCACCACCTCTCTCGTTGCCCTTTCCCCAAACCTGAAGGGGTATATCTGGCCGATCTAAATCACCGGGAAGATCCCCCGTGGACCGATTGATGGCCTCTTGACTGGACCGCCCAGCATTGCTGTGTCCGGTGAGTGATAATTCCTTCGTCCGATGGAAGGCCCGAGTGACCGAAAACGAGCCTCGCCCAGAGTGCGAACCCGCAGTCTTCGATCGGGTATTGTTCTCATCGGTCTTCCGATATGATCTTCGGGGAGTACTGATGTATTGGAAGGCTTTCATGCCAAATAGCTTCCGAAGAAGAGGCCACCAGCACATCATATTCGCGACGAAGATCGCCGTGCTCGCCTCGCGAATATACCATATTTGATAGACGGTGGTCAGGGGGGACGCGAAATTGAAATATTTATTCAAGATGGCCGCGATAATCGTGAACAGTCCCAAGCTCATGACTAGGAGTAACAGGAACTTTCTTCGCCGGGGGAGTTTGGCCTTGACGATGAGCGGGATCGGAATGGCGAACATGAAGGCGTCGGATGAGATATTGAAGACGGCCTGTGTGATTGAGTAGTGCTGGTATGTGGCACATTGCGCGTTCGACACGGGCATCGCCCAATATTGCGAGAATGGCCGACAATAGACGGCGTAGTAGGTGATCATGATTACAGCGAAGCCCAGCGCCACATACACAGACAGAATCTTGACATAGATTCTAGACGGTAGGTTCTGAGTTATCCGCCAGTAAAGAATCAATAGACAGGTTTTAACCCCCCCATGTCGAAAAGAGCATGCATTGTTCCAGCGCAATCACGATCTTACTTCCGAGAATACGATCGTGAACTTGTTTCGGGTCTGCAAGTATTTGGTCGGCTTCGTCGGGACCCATCAAATTGGTCGCATATTTTGCCGATACTTGGATCAATACGAGAAGAGACGTATAGAAAAGCTATGGAGATTGAATTGCGATTAGTCAAAAGCCACAACTCCAACCGCGAAAGCGAACTCACAAAGGTGGCTGTCATAACATAGTCGTCCCCTAGAATGCGCGATGAGATGTGTCAGTCAAGCTCGACCACACGAAAGAAATCAAATTTACGCACATGATATCCCTTGTAATGACATGTTGGTCATCAAGCGCGAAATCCTATTTGTACGGAGTAAAGTTAGCATATTGCTCACATTGAGGCGCATCCTCCGGGACAAAGACTCGGATACATCACACGCACATTCGACCGACGTATAGAACTGTCCCAATACTCCAAAAGATCGCAGCTTCCACCAAAAGCTGGCGTGGAGTCGGTGATACATTTCCCATTTTGACGATAGGACTATTGCTGCCCTCGGTCGCCTACCTCACAGGATCGCAAGGGTCGACTTCAATCTTTTTCATCGGAGGCTCTTGGAGGATGAGAGTCAGAATCAGCACAAGACAAGATATCCTCCACAGGAAAATTAGCTTCGGCGGCGGCGGGAAACTTCCATTCACCCAAGGATCGAGAGGTTCGTTCAGGTCGAGAACCGTACGGATCTCATTGGCTTACGGCTTTGATTAACTTCCATTGGATGCATCGAGTGGTATGAGCCACCTATGAGGGTATTGATCGGCGCGGCCAAGATCCTTTTGGAAGCACTCAAGCCTGACAGGCCTTTCGGACATGGAGAAATAACCGAGCACTCGGAAGGTTTGGGATTTCCCAAGGGTTGACTGACCATGGGAACAGTGAACAATTGGATTTACAAAATAGAGTTGTACGACAACTCAATAGGAACCCAATTTGAGGCATTGCTATACATCCTTGCACTGCACACTTACATGCACGGCACCCCTGGTTCTCTGTGACGTTTCGAATCATCGAAATTTGTTCTTTCGCCTTCTTGCGTATGTTTCGCATCCATTGGGTAAAGATTAATCAACTCAGCGGGCCGTGACCCGCCGATCTTTGACGGCAGTCTCCACACGTGGAGACAACCAGAGAATGTCGCTGGCCCTGGATGAGCTTTCGATCCTTCGTTTGTCATTAGGTGCATTCCAAGCACGCTAAGTCGTGGGGGCTATTCTGCTTCGCCACGGCAGGTCACGGCGAATTCCGACAGCCGCTATGTGACTTTCATTTAATCTATCCCGTGTATCTGTCAATTTTGTGAAGAAACAAGCCACATTTGAATGCAGGGTCAAGTCACTGGCGTCTTTTTCTCGTGACGGAGATCTGGAACCATGAAAAACCATGCGATCGGAACAGGGTCCCGGTTTCACCCAATGTGCCTGAAGGCTAATAAAATGGGTCCATTACCAGACGAGGGTCTGGCTTTGGCTAAACTGGGGCCTAGCGGACCTTTCAGTTTGAGCTGAGTGCAGGCGATGCCCGGGCTGGATACCGGCGAAAACTTTGACTGTTTGAGAATGAATCGCAGTCTCCCGATCGTTCTCCTGCATGTATCCACCTACGTTCGGCGAATAGGAATTCTCGCGCATGGAGTGCACCAAAACTGAATAGGACTCGGGGAATATCCTGGAGCATGAAACTCGCGTGGTAAATGATGGGCCCGTCTATGCCCCGAAATGGGCATTAAAAGAAGTTTGACATCTGTCCGTGCTAGTTAGTGTTAGTGGGGCATGGATGTTTTGCCTGTTGAGTTTCTTTCTTTCGTTTCTCTTTCAACTTGTTCTTTCTAATTTCACCTACCGTTGACTGAAAACATACGTGACACCATGGCTGTCACTGAGAAGAATAGGGCTCAGGCCAGTGAGAATGGGGTCAGAAACAGTACTGAGATAGATACAGTACGCCAGGAAGCTGCTCTGGGTCACAAGCAGGAGCTGTCGCGCAACTTTGGACTATGGAGTGTAACAAGCTTGGGAATTGTTATCGCCAAGTGAGTTCAAGTTAATTTATTCTTTCGTTCAAGTTCTTAGTGATCTCGACTAACATGGAAATGTGCAATTTAGTTCCTGGGCCGCTACTGGTGGTACGATCGTGACTGCGCTTATGAATGGAGGTCCGATGGCCCTGCTCTATGGGTTGATACTCGTCAGTGTTTTCTACACGGCTATTTCAGCCTCGCTGGCTGAATTGGCATCCTCAATGCCCTCCGCGGGCGGAGTATACTACTGGTCCACGGTGCTGAGTGGCAAGCATGGTCGCGCTGCTGGATTCTTCACTGGATATCTCAACGCGTGCGCCTGGCTTCTGTCAGCTTCGTCAATGAGCTCCATGCTGGGAAATGAAGCGGTGGCTATGTATCTGCTCCGTCATACCGACATTACCTGGAATTCCTGGCAGGTATTCATTGTCTTCCAAATCGTCAATTGGACATGCTGTGCAATTGTTTGCCTCGGAAACCGGTTTATTCCTATGATCAATCGCCTGGCACTGATCTTGTCAATGTGCGGACTCTTTGCAACAATTGTGGTACTTGCGGCCATGCCAAAGACACATGCCAGCTCCACCCAAGTATGGAAAACATACTACAATATGACTGGTGGCTGGTCTGACGGGGTCTGCTTCATGACGGGTCTACTCAATGCTGCATTCGCTGTTGGGGTTCCAGACTGTATTAGCCATTTGTCAGAGGAGGGTGAGTTAGATGCTGATTGATTTGTTTGAAACGATCCGATTTCATGGACAAGAAATTCTAACCTTTCCTACCTTTTAGTTCCCAAGCCACAGGTTAAAGTGCCCCAGGGTATCATGCTCCAAATGTTGACAGCCTTCAGCACCTCTTTCATCTATCTTATCGCTTTGTTCTATTCGATCCAAGATATTGATCTTGTTTTCGATAGCAGCTCGGGCTACTTCCCCACTGCTGAGATCTACCGGCAAGCAACAGGAACCACCACCGGTGCCATCGGCCTCATTGCTGTGCTATTCCTGGCTACGTTCCCAACTCTGATCGGTACCTTCGTGACCGGAGGACGCATGTGGTGGAGCTTGGCCCGTGACGGCGCAACACCCTTTTCGGACTACTTTGCTCAGGTTCACCCTACATTGAATTGCCCTGTGCGTGCTACATGCGCCATGAGCGCACTCGTTACATGTCTCGGCTGTATCTACGTCGGCAGCACCACGGCCTTCCAGGCCCTTATCTCGTCCTTTATCGTGCTTAGCACCCTGTCATATTTTGGCGCCATTTTACCCCATGTCTTGACCGGCCGTCGCAACATTGTGCCTGGGCCTTTCTTCATGGGGAGAAAGCTGGGAATGGCCGTCAACATCCTCTCTTTGGCCTATATCATTGTCACCGTGGTTTTCTTCTGCTTTCCCCAGGTGATGCCTGTTACCGCGCAGAACATGAACTATACAAGCGTCATCACTGTCGGCTTGATGACATTGGTTTCGATTTGGTGGTTTATTCGTGGAAGAACTCAGTACCGTGGTCCCCATTTCAGCTTTGAGGCTGCCAAGGACTTGACTTCTGTGCAAACAGGAAAGGGGTATGGCGATGCCCCATTTGAAACTAGAGAAGGGTCTACGGAAGGTTCTGTGAAAGGGAATTGAGCGGGCTGATTGAATTTCTGTTCATGCGACAAACAAAATAGGATGAGAATGAATGCTTTGTATATATGATGTGATTTACTGCAGAGTTGCTTATAGCAATTTAAACCCCTCACTTGATGTGGGCGTAATGAGATATTGATTCATATGACTTCAATTGCTTGTATCAGCTTGAATATTACCTGGTCCCAAATACAAAAAATCCCTCCCCTTCCAACATTCTATTCGTTTATTATCCCAGTTCGTCACAGTTGGGTTGACCTCTGATTATTATACAAATGTTGAAACTCCAATCCCATCGTTTGATAGTTCATTATCCAAATCCATCATGCCTAAAGCATGTAAAGCCGAACGCCTGTATACACTATTACGTCTAATTCGAGGTGGCAGTGGCAGAGGCAGAGGCGCTGCTGCTCAGACGGACAGAGGAAGAGCTCTTGGGGGTGGATGAGGAGGCTGCTGCTGAGCTGGATGTAATGTTCGCTTCCAGGGGACCGATCTGAAGAACACCACATGGGTTCTTCGGTGCAGAGACGCAGTCGCCGAGGTACGCTCCCAGACTACCAGTATCATTTCCTTTCAGAAGGACCTGGCTGGGGGCGTATGCGGGGACCAAAGAGGTGGCATTTGCCTGGAACATGGACGAGTTGACACGGCTACCAATCCAGGTAGCGTGAGCAGAATGTTCAGCGGCGAGGCGAGCAAGCAAAAAGGCGACCTCGGGTGAGTTGGTGTAGCCAGCGGCACCAATGAAAGCACCACTGAGGGTGGACTCAAATTGGTAGGCGTACTTGATGAACGACTGGATGCCGCTGATGGAAGGGTAGGTGTATTGGCATGAGGGCTCCGTGAAGTCGGGAGCCTTGGAGCTGAGCTCTCTCACGGCCTCGGCAGTCAGGTTGTCGGCGTGAACAATTCCTTCGAGGTTCGCGAGAGCCTTTGAGCTGCTGGTGCTGTTGGAAACCAAGGAGGCAACGCTTGAGTTGAGCTGAACGGTTTCGTAGAACGAGTTCAGGAAGCTGGAAAGTGCCCAGGTGTACTCGAGGACGTCTGTGTCACTAGAGGTGAGAGAGCAGTTGGAGCTGCTGGCGGCCGAGGACAGGGCCCCTCCCGCAACAAGAAGCCAGGCGATCTGCGATCCGAAACGCATTTTTTTTTAAAGAATAGAGAGATCTGAGAAAACTAATGTATGTTATTTGCAAGGAAAAAGAAACTCCGTAGTCGATTTCAAGGGACATTACTGATTTATACACTGTGCCTTGAAAATTCGAGAGCGAATTACGTGCCGACATGAGCGACAGCTTGATGCTGGCCATATGCCAGTCAATTTCATCATAAGCTCGCTCTTCTCAGCCGCATGCGGCGATCAGGACTGGGATTCTAAACAATATTTCACAGTTTGCGTACGCGTTCCACGGCGATTCTGGTTTCTTCTTCTGCCACAAAGCTTATTTAGCCGGGGCTCCGGAACGGCTTTGCATATCGCTTACCAAACGACCAATACTGATGCAAGCCGAGAAAAAGATTTTTCTCTCTATGTTTCAGGATGATTCATTGAACTGGAAACGACTCCATCATTTCGTTGACTGGTGTTCATCGGCCTTCACAACTTTTCCACGTCTTCTTGACTTTGGCACACAACCCTGATATCCGCTGACATAATCATTCGTGCTTGCGTCACGACTTTTTACAATCGCCAGAGTTTGATTAAAGTAGTATCAAGCTCATTAATTCTGCGCATGAGAATAATGATTTATTGCTCTAACCTCGATATGCAGGTGCTACCTAGTCAAGGCGCGGTCTAGGCCTTTTTTCGGCACGTGGTGGACTACAATCGTTCTCGTATGTAGTAGCGACAAAAAGGTCAAAGCAACATCGGGAGTGTAGGCAGCATATACTATTTTGTGCAGGAAACCCATGATACCACCATCACAACTTCCTAAGCTGTTTGAAAATACTAGTACTAAAGCTTTGATCAAGTCGGTATCTCGAATTAAGCTAAGGTCATGTTATGATTCTAGGCACGGAAGGCGGAACGGATGTATACGGTGGGTTCTGCATGAAGAGCGACCACCTGGGCAATGGGATTCATTAGTTATAGAAACAGAGCGACATTTTGAAATTTACTGGGTTTAATTTTACACCATCCTCAAAATAAATTGATATTGCTAGGCAATCTTGATTTATATATTCCCGCCTTACTCCCTGAACTATTTTGACGAATACAAAAGCTGAATCCAGTCATTTCTATTGCAGAAATATTGATCTTTCTGCTGCATTTCGATTAGCCAGAAAGGAGATGGTTGAATGCAAATAAACCTTTTAAAGGCTCCGCTGATGTATCTAGATATTCGTATTCTAGACGAGGATGGATAAAAGCGAGCAAATAAGCCTCCGTACTAGGTAAGCAGTGCTTGCTGATCACAATCTTAATTTCAAGCTTTGGAGCTCAACCCGCCCTGGGATTCGGCGCAATCTCTCAGATCACCATTTTAAGTAATCCACACATGGCCTTTAAAGTTTCACACGTTCCTTCAGGGTCCAATGAGGAACCACTGAAGAGGTCGGCGGGCCAAGGCCCAGCCAGCCAGCTTTAGGCAAGCCAGTTTTGTCGCGAGCTGTGGAGGTCCAGAAGAAGAAGGAAACAACACAAACAAAAAAAAAGGAGTTTTGCATCGCTTGAGAAGATCACTTGGCTTGAGCACCAACTCCTCCACTTCTACCCCGGAGCCAAGAAATCGTGTTCACAGTCACTTCGAATAGCACCGCTCATCTAATCTCAATTCGTCGCACTCCCGATAGCCTGTAAATGTTCACCTGGAAGTTCTCAAAGGCTCTCCTTGGTCTTTCTTTGGTTGGACTGATCCAGGAAGCTTACGCGCAAACTGTCCCGTCGAAAGACTGTGCCTCCGGCGTCCATGCCATCATTTCCAGGGGACAGGGTCCTGGTGACGATTTGAGTGTGATGAAGGCCTTGTCTGACAAAATTATCGACCAAATTCCCGGATCAACGACTCTTGGGTTCCCCTTTGACCATGACCCCGAAGACAAGTTCATGGCAGTCCACTCTGGGGCTCTGATGTTGCAGCACTATGTTGCGGATTATGTGAAAAGCTGCCCGAAATCCAAACTGGCTCTTGTCGGATATTCTCTGGTGTGTGCATCGATATGGTGAAAGAGTGCGATTGTTATTGCTTACAATTTAAAATAGGGTGCTGTGCTTACCATGGAAGCGCTTTGCGGAACTAGCTCTCTTCTGTTGATCCCAGTCCCGCCTCTTGACCCATCATACAACACGAGTGGTGAGTTATTGACTAAAAATCGGGATTCACTTCCGTTGCTCTAATTCACCTCTCTAGTTATTGCGAATATTGTTTACGGCGATGAAACATTCGTTCCCTTCCAACCTTGGAATACCGGAAATTGCTCGGTTGGCCTTGGAGTATGTTTATCATCCCTTATAAACTGACCAGAACCGCATTCTAAATAAACTTGATTCATCTAACAGATCTTCCCGCGCCTAAATCCTTCGACATGTGATCCGTTCGCAAGCTCATTGCATAGCTATTGTGACTATGGTGATAACCAGTGTTGGTAAGTCATACGTGTTGATTTTAAACTCGGTTGAGAATCCATTGATAAATGCTGATGTTTTTTTCAGCGCACCACTCCCCGACGATGACAATCTCGCACATCACACCTATATGAGGAAGTACGATCAAGATGTGGTTGATTTCATCAAACGCCGATTAGACTCTTGAAGGTACACGTGCTATAATTTTCATCGGCAAATTTGTTCATACTTTAGCCATGTTTTGGCTTAATCTTTCACAACAAGGACCCGTTATTAGTAGCAATTTGACAATGAAAACCTTTTGCTGTTTTTGTATTGAAGATTTCCATCTGGTATATGGATATTGAATGTGTTGAGAAATTATCATGCTGAAAAATCCCTAACAACTTGAAAGGACTCGAAGAAGTGCAAGGTAAATTCTACTGCGGAAACATCTCCTTCGCATGCTCCTCGACAAATTCTTCGAGGCTGGTCAGTTTGCCCCTTGCTTGTTTTACCGTCCATTCGACCAACTCTTTCGACTGAGGTCCATAGTACCCAGGCTTCTCAATCCAGCACATCATGGCTCCCATTGGGCGTTGGTAGTTGGGAGGAAGGTAGCTAGTCCACTGCTCTTGTGGGATCTGGGCATAGATCGTCTTTCTGCCCGTGATGCGGGTAATAATCTCTGCAGCTTCACGGTACGAATAGAAGCCTGTTGCCGCGGATAATATCGAGTCGACGTATTTATCTGGCGCGGTGAGAATAGCAGCGATGTACTTGCCACTATCCTTGGCTGCTTCGATGAGAGGGAACGGCGCATCTGGGGAGATAAAATTCGCAATGGCGTACGTTAGCTCCCCGCCTTCTTGTCCGGGGATTGGGCGAGGAATTTGGTTGGTTAAAAAGTTCTGCATGAACATTCCTGGCGCGAAGAATGCACTAGCAACCGGGAGTTCGCGGATGTAGCGTTCGATCTCAGCCTTAGAATCGAAGGAGTCGACTGGGTGTCCCCACAGGTGTTCGCATGCTGGGCTTGTGCTGAAGATCAGATATTTAGCACCAGCAGCGACCGATACATCAGCGGCGGCTTTTCCTTGTCGGAATTCGCGGGATTTGAGATGCTCATCGTAGACTGTGGTTGTCACGATGAAAACAGTGTGGGCCTTGGCTAGTGCTGCGTTTAGGGACTGGGAGTCGTCGATGTCGGCAGACACAACCTCCACTCCTCTCTTCTGGAGAGCTTGTCCAGCTGGTTTCGTGGCGTCGCGAGTGATTGCACGTAGCGAATACTCTTTCGAAAGATCGGAGTCGTTTAGAACAAAGTCGATGACGGAACCACCCTGCTGCCCGGTGGCACCGAAGACAACAAGTAGCTTGCTCATGTTGAGGATGTCAAAATGGTGAAATTTTTGCAGTCAAATCGTGGGATTCGTAGACGTGCGAAAAAAAAACACTCATTCGAAGGAGAGGCGTTATGAGGTAGATAAGTCTGTAGTGGTGAATGGTAAGTGCGTCGGAGATAACGAATCAGTCGGATTTAGGCCCCTAAGCCGAACAGTTGTTGATAAAAAGTTCGTAAACCGAGAGAGAGATCGGGATTAATCAATACATCGGCCTATTTCAGTACTCGGCCACTTCTAAGGTCAAAAATTTGTTTGATTTTGATATTTCAGAGACCAGAGTTGAGCAGAAAAGAAATATCTAGGAGTGATGAAGCATCACAGGCGAGCCTGGTGGGGATGGTGGCAAATCCTGCTGCCAGAGTGCGTGGAACCCCAATTCAAATTCCATTACCGTGATTTGCGCCTGTAAATATACGCGTCACAGTTTGGATATCATGAGTTCATCTCCTACACCTAACAAAACGAAGTTAGAAGAAGTACCTTCAATAACCTACGAGTGTGTGGCCTCGGGAGATTTAGCGGGATTTTAGTTTATCGAATCACGAAAGCTCACTACTACTTTTGAATCAAATTAATAGCAAATGTGCATAGAATTAAAGACTGTCTAATAAATGAGTTGTATTCATATCTATTTCTATCATGATTCAATCAAGGTCAACGCGACCGGTATGGATATCAGCCTCAATCGGCTTCACGAAGGCCGGGCGGACAATAATCTTGTGTCCCACATAAAGCAGAGTGAAAAGGATGAGACTGAGATAGTCAATGAAGAAGTCGGTGACACTGAAGCTCGGCACAAAGGCCGTGAATCCCTGCGTAATGATTATCAAGGCATTGAAAAATAGCCCATAGTATGAAAAATATGGTTGGAAGAGAGCTTTGTATGGTAAAATGTCACGCGAGATTCCTTGAGCTTCCAATGCGCGCATGAATGCTAGATGGCAAATGTTGAGTGAGGTCCAGGTGATGAATCCAGCCAGGCCGGCGATCTGCATTAGCCATTCGAATACGGTGCTTCCGGAATTGGATAGGTTCAAGAAGCCCAACAAGCCAAAGAGTGATGTGAACAGCACACTCCAGTAGGGGACGCCCCATTTGGTGGTTTTCACGAACAGCTTGGGTGCGAAGCCCTCATGTGCGAGGCCAACTAGAATTCTGCTTCCGCTGTAGACATTTGAGTTGGCCGCGGACAAAACCACAGTGAGCAGGACTGCGTTGATAATCGATGGCAACACATTCACACCGGCGCGCTTGGCAGCGATAACAAAAGGCGAGGCATTCGCGTTGTTGGCACTGGCTCCACTGCCTTCGCTTGCAGTGAGGCGATCATCAGTTGATGGGACAACGATTCCAATGAAAAATATGGTAAAGATGAAGAAGAATATAATTCGGAAAAACGCTTTTCGGATAGCGGAAGGGATGGTTTTGCGCGGATTTTGCGTCTCACCGGCAGCAATACCAACCAACTCTGTGCCTTGATATGAGAATCCAGCTTTAATCAAGACAGCCCAGAAGCCGAGAAATTTGGCTAGCGCGGGCTTGTCTTCAATGAGGTATCTGTTGAACGGTCCTGGGTCTACCCAGTAGCGAAAGCCAATATATCCTTCTTTGCCGACTCCTGCGTTCATGCAGATGGCGAAAATCATGAACCCAATCACGGTCAAAACTTTGATGCTCGATAGCCAGAATTCGGTCTCGCCGTAAAAGCTGACAGGGAGAAGATTCAACAGGATGATCACCACTAAGAAAACTGCGATGAAGATGGCGATTGGAATGGTATCATTCCAATAGTTTATAATCAACCCTGTCGCTGTCTGCATAGATGGATGAGTTAGCGAAGAGTATCTAATGCCGAAACCGAGCCCTGGCAGTTTACTGAGGGAGAGGGCATAGGAGAAATACCAATTCGAGCGCAAAGGTCGACGCCCAGGAGAACCAATAAATCCAACCCATCGCGAATCCCAGACTTGGATCAACCAATCGTGTAGCATAAGAGGCAAATGCTCCAGGAATAGGTAGGAATGTTGCGACTTCTCCGAGTGCTGTCATGACGGAAAAGACAATGGAGCCAACGAAGATGTAAGCGATGAGTGCTCCGACAGGTCCGGCATATGAAATTGCTGTTCCACTTCCAATGAAGAGACCCGTTCCAATTGTGCCGCCTACTCTGTTGTTAGAAAATCAATCCGGTTATTGGAGAGAGTAGTTGTTACCTATGGCGATCATCTGCAAATGGCGGCTACGAAGCCTGCGCTGCAAGTCAGGCAATTGGCGCTGCTCGCCGACCACCTGCTTCTCTTCGGTATCGAAATCATATTCATTCTCAATCCCACTGATAGGATCTTTAGTTATTGAGTCGTCATTTTGCTTCTTGTCTATTCCGACGTGGTTGTGTGCAGGGATAACCTCGTCATCGGAAACCATATCGGGGCGAAATCAAGTACAATAACAACAAGAATAATTGCGAAGATATCGGAATGAGATTCAAAAGTGGACCTGGGGAATTGCAAATATCAAACAATCCGGGGGAGCAATACCCCATAAAGTATCCAGATCCTCGCGGGGTGCGAATTCTGGGGCCCCAGGTCCCTCCTCTCTCGCCGGGCCGGTACAGCTGTTGGCGGATCCACCGAATGACCAAAGGAGCAAATTCGGGCGATTCCTGGTGGGTCGATACAGCTCACGACCTGCATAAGAAAGGTTGTTTGGATTTAGCGTTCCCGCGACAGCCAGCGAGAGAGGTTCAACCCAAACGGATGTCTCCGACGATGAGAATAAGCGTCGACTAGAGGCTTTATGACGAAGCCTTACCGTGGAATAGGCAGACTCCCGGGCCGGTGAAATCGGATCTGCATGAGATCCGATACACGGAGTAAATCAATTGAGACAGTGAAAAGCCGTAGGTAATACTGATGAAACCAGAGGCCACATCTCCGGAGCGTCCGGGGGCCGATGTCCCACTCGTTGGCCACGGCGACTTTCGCTCTGTTTGAATAATCCTCTTGGTGGTACGATGCTACGATGTCCTTCTAGCTCGAGGAATTCATTAGACAATCGAAATTGCGCTGGTGCGGGGTAGTAGGGCGTGTTGTGGAGATTGAATCCACAGGATTCGTATTGCAGCCTGGAGAAGAGACTGGGCAAGAGTTTGGCTTGAAGATACAATTCACGGTTTCCCACGATTAATTTTCGCATTTGACTGATATGAAAATCAGAACTCAAATCCAAATCGCACATTGATCACTTATTATTCGAAGATGGTCAAAGATGAAGCAATTGGGATCGGTGACACTGGCTGAACCTTCGGCATGCGTTCCCGACGCATGCGATGTAACGGCCGAAACTTTAACCGACCACTAGTTGAATGCCGAGTCGATCGATTGGCCGTTGGCCGACTGATGCTGAGAATGGACTCCATTCACGGCCCAGTGTCTACATATCGCTGTTCATTCCCAGTCACATGTGGGTGGCTTCAGCTCGGGATATTTTCCAGGCCTTCATCCCAACCCCACGTGCTTTCGGCGTTAATTTCGAACTGTTTATGCCAAATTGAAAGCTATCCCTGTATTTGGGCTGGTCAAGATCCATGGATGATCCTCTTTCCTCATTGTAGGTAGATTTTGGTGCTCGTACCTACTATCTAGTATCAAGGTAATATCTGTGCACCCTCGCTCTTCTGCCAACAGTAGGTGATCAATCGTCCTCAGGCTCTCCTTTTGTGGCAAGGACTCGGGAAATTTCAGCTTACATATTTCCCCAAATGGAAATTTATGCTCTTATCTCTGACCACCAACTCCATGCCAAAATGAGGGAAGAGAGTATTTGGTAATCTACACAGCTTAGTGATATCGCTTATTCCAGTTGTCGATGTAGGCAATGGCGGTACGCATCTGGGGTCCGCTTGACCGGATGAAGACTATTTGTAGTAATAGCGCCCTGGTATGTTGCCATCGCTTTACAATCCATACAGTCCGACAACCTTGGAATTCCAAGGTTCTCATGGTGGAAAAACCACTGTATCTAAGAGACAAAAGGAAAAGCGAGACTCATTCCGGGCATCTCAATACTTCCTCAGATTGTGATAGCAAAGAGGGTCAAAATTCAAGCCAAATAGGATAACGGTCATTGCGGTGTTCGCGCTTTTCCCTCTGGGGACGCCGACAGGGGGTCCTTCGGAACAGCGGGTCTTTGGTCCGTTTGAGGTCCGAACTCCGAATGACTCAAGTCAAGTCATTTTTTAACCATTTCAACTTCATCAACTGAGTCGATACAAATACTTGTGAACTACCATCAGTTTCCCGCCCAAGTACCCGATAATTACCGCTAGAGCCGTCAGTGGACAATGGAGCCTCGAATTGAATATGCCGCCGAGGCCGACGGGCCTGGTCTAGCCAATGTGAACATCATCAGCTTCCGGCACCAGGGGTTTCTCCAGAATGTCTTTCCAGAAGCCAGCCCGGAGGCCTTGGCCGCGTACAAGGCAATCTATTCAATGAAACATCTGGCGAACCCGGAGATGCATGTCCTGAAGCTGGTGGACCCGGCGAGTGGAGAGATTATCGGTTACAATCGATGGCAAATCCCCAAGGCCCTCGTTGGGGAGACACTTCCTATTCTCAGTGAGAAAGCACAAGAAGCTGCGCGTAATTTCGCAGCCCTGGCCCCTCGGCCGATGAATGAGGCGATGTATGGGGCCTTTCGACAGCTACTGGAAACTTCGCGCAAGCGATTCACCACCGAGCAAGATATGGGTAAGTCGACTGTTTATTCTTTCCAAGGTTGGGGGTTATTTCACTTCTCTGTCCGTGACTGATTCGCCAATTAGTTCTGGATCTGCTTGCTATTCTCCCTGAATACCAAGGACGAGGCCTATCATCGAAGCTGCTGCGCTGGGGCTGTGACCAGGCAGACCAATTCGGGGTGAGAGTATATCTGGAGGCCACTGGTGATGGATATCCAGTATACATCAAGTATGGTTGGAAGCCCTTGGAGGAGGTGTCTCTTGATTGGTCGTTGTATGGAGGACAAGGCGTGGATCGGTTCACACTGATGATGCGAGATCCACAGCCAGTGAAGAATTAATGAATGACCAGTGAGTGATATCGATAATTGGATTTTTTGGAGCGAATTTATGTGATACGAAGTATAATACTGCCCACCTGGGGTACTAGTATTATAAAACATACAACTTGAATGCAATGCAATGCAATGCACAGCGGAAATGACTATGATAGCGGTGCTGTATAGTCTTAACATCTCCAAAATTTACTGTCTGAACTTGTATGAACTCAACCAGAGACTTGAAGTTTTGTACACTTTTATCACAGATCCTTTCACAATATAGGACTACTGGATTGTGGCTATTCTATAAGATAGGATCACAGGATAGAGTGCAACAGTGAAAAGGATAAGCATTTAGCCGAGGCGCGGGGAAAGCAGCCGCGACCTTCCATCTTCACTTCTACTTAACTTCTACTTCACCTCTACGTCGCATCTACTTCTCCCTCTCTTCCACACCAATTGGCATATCTGGGTAGATCAGCACCGAGCTTCCTGAATCACCTTCAACCCCCACAATGCCCAAGTTCGCTATCCTCGACGACTACCAGGGCATCGCGCCCGCCCACTTCGCCCACCTCCAATCACGCATCGAGATTGTCAGTTTCCCCGAGACGCTCGACCCGCGCGATCCTGTCCAGCATTCAAAGCTGATCGAACGTCTATCGTCCTTCGACGTCGTCCTCGCCATGCGCGAGCGCACCCCAATTTCCGCCAAGACCATCGCCGCCCTCCCCAACCTCAAACTCCTCCTCACAACCGGCACGCGCAACCTCTCCCTCGATCTCCAAGCATGTGCCGACCGTGGTATTCCAGTCGCCGGCACTGAGGGACGACCTCCCGGAGTTAACTCGACCGTCCAACATACCTGGGCCTTGATCCTTGGCTTGGCCCGACACGTCGCGCGTGACGATGCCGCTGTCAAGGCAGGCTCCTGGCAAGGCTCCCTGGGGGTGAACCTCTCTGGCAAAAACCTTGCTCTCCTCGGACTGGGCAAGCTTGGCTCGCAGGTCGGAAAAATTGCTATTCAGGCATTCGGCATGAACGTCCTCGCTTGGTCGACCAATTTGACTCAAGAGAAGGCTGATGAGCAAGCCGAAGCCCAGGGTCTTCCCACCGGCAGCTTTGAGGTGGTCACTTCCAAGACGGACTTCTTCGCTCGCGCTGATGTGGTGAGTCTGCACTATGTTCTCTCCGAGCGTAGCCGAGGAATCGTCGGTGGTCCCGAGCTCACGACCATGCGACCCTCCGCGATGATCGTCAATACATCTCGCGGACCCTTGATCGACGAGGCAGCACTCCTAAAATCCCTGAATACCGGTCAAATCCGGGGAGCTGCGCTGGATGTCTTTGACCCGGAGCCACTCCCTCTTGACAGTCCGTGGAGAACCACTCAGTGGGGTCGCGATGGGCGCAGTGAGGTATTATTGAGTCCGCATATGGGATACGGCGAGGAAGATCTGATCAATGGCTGGTACCGAGAGGTAGCAGAAAATCTCGAGCGCTGGTTAGATGGCAAGGAACTTTTGAAGAAGATGAATTGATCTATATCATGCACAGAATTGACACGAATTGATGAATTGGATGAAGCAAATTAGAATCTCTTTTGCCAACACAGCCTTCTCATTTAAATCACATATCGATGGGTTTTCTGCAAGCTCCGCGCAGTCGCAATATCGACTCCCTCTATCTCCGCAGTCTTTTGCAACCGCTCAAAGTCCTCGTGGCTCAGAGGCACGTCCTCATCTTCTAGTCGGTCCAGACGCTTATTTTCTCGCGTCAGGCTGAAGTACATGAACACGAAGCAGGCAGCTGTAACTACCCACAGAGCAATGTTCAGGCCAAGTGCGGGACGATAATGGGGCTTGTCCTCGTCGCGGTAGGTAAAGGGCGTCCAGATGGAAGCACTGCCTCCAACAGCGTTGATATAGGCATATGCTGCTGCGCGTTTCGCCGGTGGTCGGGGAATACTAGTCGCAATCCACGCGAAGAATGTTCCATTGATAGAGAAGATCATCAACATCAGGAAAAGCGAGAGATATCTCGGCCCGAAGGAGTCAGTGGTCATGAAGATGATCCAGCCGATAATCACGACGGGCATCGGATAAATCAAGAACCAGAATCGTTTGCGCAGTCTGTCGGACGCCCATGAATGCCCGATACTCCAGAGGGCCACGAAGGCGTATGGTGGAGCACAGAGCAGCAAAGATACAGTATTGCTATAGCCAAGAGTACTGGTCAGAGTAGGAAAAAAGAAGGAAAACCCCCCTGCTGCCGATTTGCACATAAAGGCAAATGCCAGAACATGGACTCGTATATCCTTCATTGCCAGAATGAAGCCCTTCACCTGTGACATTCTCTCTCCTTCATCTATATCGGCTTCAGCTGCTTCAATCGCCATTCGACGGTTGGCCACTCGTCTCAACTCTGGCGAAAGACCCTTCCAGGTGTGTGGAAACTCCGGTAAAACGAGTATCACAAGGAACCCAAGAACAACGGTGATGACTCCCTCTATTATGTATAACCATCGCCAGCCGGGGAGCCCGTGTCTGCCAGCCAGGCCGTGAAGAATACCGGCTGCAATCAGACTACCGAGAGCCCCAGCAATCAGAGACCCAATGTAGAAGAGAGACATTCGCATGCTGAGTTCCGCCTTCGTATACCACTTGGATAAGTAGAAGAGCACACCTGGGAAAAACGGAGCCTCCACGAAACCAAGTGCTAACCGACAACCAAGAATTCCACCATAGCTTTGAACCAACGCTGTTAGAGCAGATACAAGGCCCCATGCGATTGTCGTCAGGCCGAGGTAGAGTGACGGGCGACCGGTGTAATTCAATACTTGGTTTGAGGGTACACTACCGAGAATGTATCCAACGAAGAATATTCCCAGCCCTGAGAGACTGTCAGTGGCTGAATGCCATTATTAGGATATGCGGAGATAACTGACCAGCCTGGTATCGCTCAGAGGTAAGATTCAGGTCATCTTCCAGGCCTTGTAATCTGGCTGCAGCGTAGTTGTTCCTATACACCTGTCAGAAAAAGAACCCGCCAATGAATCCTGCTAGCATGGAATGATAGGTCACTCACCGGTCAATGAAATTCATCAGATAAATGACCACGATAAGGGGCATAATGAGTAAATCGATCTTTCGCAGCAATTTCTTCTCCAGGGCAATTTCCTCTTCGCTTGGCTTTGCTTCGACGGCTCCAATACCAGGACCATATTTGGATGTCAGTATTTCCTGGTCCTGAATGACATTTTCCGCGCTCTTCCCCACTCCCATGGCTCTTGACCGAGTCGCTATTGTAAAATAGAAGGTGAATGATCAAATTCTAGCGTGCAGTACTACTATCACCTCGAAACAGACACCTTGTTGAAATCTATATAAGCTATCCGGAAATTTGCAAGCCATCCACAGATTCTAGCCGTAACCTTCTAGGGCTATGGTATTATGTGGATAAAAAATCACGACATCGGCCAGGATTTGGAGGTAATCGGCCTCTTTCCGATACAAGATATTGTGGGTTTCAGCAATACAAACCAAACATCATATAATCTGCCACGGCCTCGTTTGGAGGATCATTTGGCAACGAGTTACTGGTAGAAGCCTCCGATGCCCTGCAAAGCTTGGAGCACCAATAAAAATCACCCTCGAGTTAAAGAAATCAATAGATATTCGCACTATAAACAAAATTCCATGAAATAATCATTTTAAATAAGAATTGTGGGTCCTTCCGCCCAGCGGAGTTCTTTTAGTCGTCGATCCGGGTATTATCATAAAGTATGCCGATTGCATCATCTGCGACAAGTGGCTGCACATCAATAACTAGATTGTTTACACGAATAGTCCGAGTCTCGGACTGCTTCTTGTCACACATAACACTTTTTGGGACTTTTTTTTATCTCTCTCTTTCATATCTAGATTCTGATTTCATGTATGTTGTGGTGAACTTTAGTGTCACAGCTACCGGCCTCGTCGAAGTGTATGCAACCCGATACTGTTCCAATGAATTTCTTGGCATAACAGTTTTCTTATATCTCTTTTCATAAATGGATCGATAATTCCTATCATGAATCAGAGTCCACCTCATCTCAGTTTAATATTTCCAAGCCGTGATCCTTCCAATTCCGGGTTCAGGTTCTGTTTCCAACCTGAAGGTTCTAAGCTGCCCAGGTGTCGTCCCGGCCTTCGTTTGCTTTTTCCTAAAATGGCGAAGTCCTTTGTCTACAAATTTAATATAATTCACTTGTTTTTCAGCTACTTTCTTTCCATCTTCCACCATCAACCCGTAAACTCCGCTATCTTCATCTTCTTCTCAATTTGCTGATTATCATTTCTTCATGGCGCATCCGAATCCATTTACAAATCTCACTATGCCAGATGGTATTATTGAGAGGAGTGCTAATTGAACCCACCCTCCCCCATCCCGCTGTGCCATTTTTGCTACTTGGACCATGGTCTTACCTTGATCCGGATTAGTATGTATTTTCCATATAAATTTGGATACACCACTGCCACGGCCTGGGTACCCCTGAGGCTGCCTCACCTGAAAACCTCTGATCATAGTATACTATGTTCTCTGCCTAGGTGCTATAATCTGTTGAGGACGGGTGCCTGGGTGGCACCTGTACCTCAGGTATCCCAAGGCGTGTACCTGCTATGTCTAGATAGCTTCGTCTCTCTCTCTCCTCCTCATCTTATCGCTAGTTTCATGGACTTAGAAGGTAATGTAGAGAATAACGTAGAGGATACGCCAGATATCGGAGGTACATTAGATAAAGTAGCGGTGTATTTACAACTTCTATGCCCAGGTGGTATATACATATAAGTCTGTATTGGGAAAGACTATGGTCCAAATAAGCCAAGGGGGAAGTTGGTCCGACTAGTAAAAGGTTGGTCCAATGAGCATACCTCATTATTGACGTACCGCGTCGCCTGTTTCTAGAGTGTGAATTCTCTTATATCGAGATTGTTGGTCAAGATGTCACTCTTAAAGCTCATCGGACTATTTTTTGTCCACAATCGAGTTGTTTCAAACCTTAGGAAAATGCATTCTATGGTGGTTTCAAGGTATGATGAAGAAAAATTGATCTATCTCTAGGGCTGTTTCAGTGGCTGATCTTAAGGAATCCATCGAACGATCGATTATTCCATAAATGGAAACCCCAGAGACAATTGAATGCGTGTTTTCTTTCCTCTATCTAGGAAAATATCGAGACGACGGGCATATTGCTGAATTCCAACCTGGGGCAACCGATTCTTTCAAATCTTCTGTCGATGAGATCGGCTCGGGTAATTCACAGGATGCTTCGACTGACTTGGAAAACCCAAAGGAAATCGCTTTGAATAATGTTGGAGTATTTGTCGCGGCTGACAAGTTCGGAATCAGTTCATTGACATCTCTCGCAACTCACAAATTCCGCCAACATTTGGATGCACGTTGGAAATCGCCTTTATTCTCCCAGATTATCCGCGAGTTCATCGAGTTACTCCCTGCTCATGACACGATCTGGAAGAGGTAATGGCCGAGGTAACATCGGAACATCTTCTTGATTTGGTTAAGCATCAGGGTAATCTTTGCCTTTTGGATTCTTTTGGGACACGGGTGATCTTACGCCTAGTTTCGAGCGGAAGTATTAAACGGCCTTTCGAAGACGATCAACTTCAGGCAGTTTCTCAAAAATAGAATGGAGGCAAATAGCAGCTTGCCGACATTGTTCAATAAAGTTCAATGTGGAACTCAAGAATGGAGAATATCAGGCTGGGACTTTTCGTTGCGCTGCTTGCAATACACGACATAAATAGCTAAGCAATCTATGTCTGAACGAAAAACAGATGTAGTATGCAGTGGCCAATTGACTTCTACTTTTTGAGGTCGGCACATATGATTGACTCATCTCCATCAGATCTCCCAACAGGCTGTTTGAGTAGAATCACAGCTCCGTCCATGTATCGGCTATATAATTCACCGGCGCATGTTTTTGGTAGCAAGGGCAATTCCTTCAGTTACCTCAAAGATCATAGACCTAAACCATATGTCAGTAATATAAAATTGAAGTAGGGTTGGGGAATTACCAGGTCAAACCATCCACCACCAGCAAATTGGCAGTGACTGCTCCCACAATTCTTGAATCCTGTGCTCTCATAGAATCGGATTAAGTAGTCGTGAGCAATCAACATGATGCAGTCTGCTAACACCTGTGCATCCTTGATATATTGAATGTATGCCGCAACCAATGCTTTCCCAACCCCCTTGCCTTGGTATTCCGGAGAGATGGCAACAGAGTGGATAGCGATAGACGCGCCATTAGGATCATTTCCAATCACTTCTCCATCTACTTTAAATGCTGCATTGCGGGCGAGAGTCTGCCAATTTTCGGGCATTGACATAGATCCTTCCGTGATACGTCCGCCAGATACCCTGTTTCCAATGACGTGTCCGATAAGTCGGTCATGTCCCCCGTCTTTGATAAAGAGTCCCACACACAGCTCCGGTGTGTGGCTGAGGCGATAGCGAAACTGTGAACTATCAGAATCTCATAAATATCCGGAGGAATCAACTGTGGCTACCTTTTCTTCAGAGCATCTCTCAACCTCTGGAAATGCGGATTCCACCACCACACAAGAGTCGACATCGGCAACCGAGAGAGAGCGAAAGAATGAATCCAATCCTGGTAGGACTGAGCAATAAGTTGCAATGGCCGAATTCATAGTGATAGTTTGAAAACGTGAAAATAACTTGACCAGGATCACCAGCAGCAGGAGATTTTCAAGGTTTTTATCAGTCACTCTTTCAACATCGAGTTCTTATATAGCAGCTACTGGCATGCGAGCCCCGGAGTGAGAAATGTAATTCCGAATTTGACTCACAATCTACGGTAAAGACTTTAGAAAATTATGTTCATGAAAAGGTCCACAATGCACGCCCTGCCCCTTACAAAAAGGCAATCATTAGCAGTAGCTACGTAGAAAGATCCACTCTACACACCCTACACCCTACACCCTAGTTAACTAACCGTACACCCTAACCAGTCACATCTATGGTACGACCCACCTCATCGATTTCAAGTTCTAAAGTTTTTCGCCCACCGAGATCGCAATTCGAGATTTTGGCTCATCTTATGTCCAGAATACCGCAAAGGAGCAAACGAAGTCTAATTTCAAGATTAGGTCGCGGCTTAAGAAACCTTTTCAGTCATGAGGGGGGACTGAGGGACATCGTCTTTACGCAGGCGACCGCAACCCCGAGAGAATATGGGGCCTAACTCGTATTCTTTTCAAGGACCAGGCTTGCTCACTCACCGCAGCACACCGGACAAAGACCGGCTAGTCTTTTAATCAAGCATCCGGCGTCGATTCTAGAATCGAGGCGCGCGTCAGCTTGGATGCCTGGTACACCCGCGACGCATCAGCAGGTCTCCTGCCCGATTACTCAAAGAGCTCAAAAACAACAAAATTGCCACTTCATCACGTACGCTTTTCCTACAGTAAAGTTGGCGCTGGATGTTTTCGAAGCTACCTATCTATTTTCCGCCTCTCGTTGCCTAGCAGTACCGCGTTTGCAGCTCATCACTATCGAAGCCCTGAAGTAGTACTATATAATCCATGATACTCGCTAGAAGAAAGCTCAAATTTCACCATTAATCTTGATTTACTTTGTCACCACAAAAATACACGCTCTATGCGTCTCCTGCTCCTTGCCATTTTCGGCCCCGCATTGTGTCTAAGTGCCTGTCCGTACGCTAGTGACAACAGGCGCATAGAGCGACCAAATGCAAGGCGATCCGAAATTCTTGAAACTGCGAACCCAAACGATTGCAAATCCTATGGATCCCGCACGAAACCAGCTCCGCACGCCTCTGACAAAAAAGGTGTAATGTTGATGAATCGCATCAATCCATCCTCCATGCAGCTCTACATCGCCAACGCAGATGGTAGTGATGAGCGGTTATTATTGGGCAACTCCTCTGTCTTTGAATATCACGCCAGCTTTTCTCCAGACGGTCAATATATTGCTTTCACTAGCGAGCGAAATGGGGATGGCAATTCGGATCTTTACATGACCCATGTCAATGGCAGTGGATTATGGCCCATCGCGACCACCCCCGCAGTGGAGGATGCAGTTTCCATCTCGCCAAACGGGAGATACGCCGTCTACGCATCTACGCGAGATGTCTACACCTCCAATATTTGGTTGACTGATCTGGAGACGGGTTTCACGCGCAATCTCACGAATCAGACCGGTATTACGGGAAATCCTTACTCGCCTAGTGGGTTCTTTGCTCCCAGTTGGTCCCCGGATGGAAACCATATTGTCTTTTCCTCGGATCGTAATACTGCATGGACAGGGCACGATAATGGGACTGGGTGGGAACATACCCAGAATTTGTCAATATACAGTATTACACCTCAAGGGACCAACTTCCGCTTAGTCTACAGTGAGCCGGGGATGACATTCGGCTCGCCTAAATTCTCACCCGATGGTAAGAGAATCGTGTTTTACGGTTTGACCCTGCAGCAAACATACGACTGTCGTTCTTCGTTTCGTGAGGACGATGTGCGTAATCAAATTGTTTCCGTGGACTTTGCAACCGGCACAGACCGTCGTTTGGAGACCAATTCGAACGGGTCTAAAGTCTTCCCGCAATACCTTTCCCACGACAATATCGGCTATTTGCTCAAAACAGGACCTGATGCGGGGCTTCATTATACGGGATCATCTAGCTATGTCTCCGGGAAATTTCGCTCTCCTTCATGGTCTCCAGATGGAAAATATGTGGTTTATGAAAAGACTGGATGGGCATCTCGCTCCTTGCAAAAGAAGCTTTATTCTTGGGACAATGAGTGGGAGTATCGATTTATGGATGTATTCCCCGGCCTTTCGAGGAAGGGGATGCTTGTTTTCACTTCCAAGCAGACGGGAAGTCCTGGTAACTCATCTGTTGCCGTGATGCAACCAAATAATCACAGCTTCACTGTTCCGTTTGGTACTTTTGAGATCAAACCACACCCAATTTCCAAAGCTACCGTTGCAGGAGGCGCAGCTGGCTGTTTCCAACCCTCCTGGTCTGCTGATGAAGAGTGGATAACGTTCGGGCTGGGTAATTGGTTCGAGAGCCGCGCTTCTAAGCCGGGCTGGATATACCGAACTCGCTCCGACGGTTCGTACTATGAGCAACTCACATTCAGCTCATCCAACTCCGGTTCCAATGCAGGCTATCCCAGCTACTCGCCTGACGGTAAGCAGATTGTGTACCGGGTTTATGAGCCGGAATTTGGCCTTCGCCTCTTAGATTTGGAAACGAATATTACCACCAATCTCACAACGGAACGTGACAACCTCCCTTCCTTTTCACCAGATGGCGAATGGGTCCTTTTCACGCGCAATGTAACTGACCCGGCAAGGGGTCATTTTTCGAACTACGAGATTTGCATTATTCGGCCGAACGGTACCGATTACACGGAGCTTACTTCGTCTGCCGCCAACGATGCCCATGCTGTTTGGACTGCCGATAGCCGGATTATGTGGTCGAGTGGAATGTGGGGATTCCAGGCTGAGGCGGCAATTTACGATGATACCTTCCAACCGTATGGACAAATTATGATCATGGATGCGGATGGTTCGAATAAAACTGTTCTTACAGACAGTATGTGGGAGGATTCGATGCCACTTTACGTTCCTAATTCGGAGTATTTCCATTGAGATGGAGAAAGATAGAGCGAACGGCGAAAGTGATTAATTAAACAGTATATTTGAATAGGTTTTTTTTCTTGATTTCTATATCAAATAGAATGCTATGAATATGACCAAGCATGTACTCACTATTAGCTTCATATTAAGCTCAGAAGTGCTCCCGTATAGCTACAACCGCATCCAAGCGCGGCGAATGAGCCCCGCAAAGCAAATCACCTCGGCCCATTTCCAACCAACCGTCCGCACCTCAATAAAAACCTCCGACACAACTCAGTCGCTTAAACAAATGAGCTCATTTGACTAAGCGATGAGTTGATCTCGTCAATATCAATCTATCTACAACATCAACCCAGTTCGCCGAGTCGACCTCTTCAAGCATGGGCTCAACCGGACAGCAATTATATCCCTTGCGCACTTCCGACCCCTACTACGATCTCGGGTCATTGAGTCGCAGGGTGAGCACCGCGTCCGAAGAAGCGCAGACATGGTTCAATCGCGGCCTCATTTGGACATATTGTTTCAACCACGACGAAGCTATAACATGTTACAAGCAAGCCATCGCCCACGATGACACCTGCGCAATGGCATACTGGGGCGTATCTTTCTGCTCAGGCTCCAATTACAACAAAACATGGGCTCTATTCGACAGCGCCGATCGCATAAACGCGATCAAAAATTGCTTCACATATTCCCAAGCAGCTCTTCAGCGTGCGCAAAATACTTCGCCCTGGGAACAAGCTCTCATCAAGGCTCTGGCAATCCGCTATCCAAACGATGACCCCAATCGGGACTTTCTAGCATGCAGCAAGGCCTACACGGACTCTATGCGCGAGGCCTATGAGATCTTCGGCCACGGCGATTTCGACTATATAACGCTCTTCGCTGACGCGCTGATGAACTGTGCTCCGCGCAAATTATACGATGCAGCGACGGGGCTGCCTATCGCATCATCGCCAGTCTTCGAGGTTAAATCTTTACTTGAAAGAGCGCTGAAACTGCCTGGTGTGGACAAACACCCAGGGCCCGCACACATGTATATTCATCTCATGGAAATGTCCGCAACACCCGAGGCTGCTTTGCCTGCCGCGGATATGATTCGCGACTTGATACCCGACACGGGACACACGTACCATATGCCCGCGCACATCGACGTACTTGTCGGCGACTACAGACGTGCGGTAGAATATAATCTGAAAGCCACAATTGCTGACGACAAATACTTTGCGCGGAGTGGTGGCCTGACGTTTTACAGTTACTACCGTCTACATGACTATCACTCACTCATCTACGCGGCGATGTTAGCGGGGAAATCCAAGGCTGCATTCGATGCAACAGACCGCATGGAAGCAACTATCACTGAAGAAATTCTGCGTGTGGAGACGCCCATGCTGGCGAATTGGATGGAATTTTTCAAAGCAGTGCGCGTCCATGTTCTGATTCGCTTTGGGAGGTGGGACGAGCTCAAGGCTCTTGAGCCTCCCGAGGATCGAGAGTTGTACTGTGTAACCAATGTCATGAGGCATTATGGAAAAGCAATTGCCCACGCGGCCACGGGTCAAATACCCGAAGCTGATGAAGAGCGAGTACGCTTTGAAGAGGCGTCACAATTGGTCCCGCCCTCACGATTGGACTTTCCCAATAAGATAACCGACATTCTCAAAGTTGCATCGGCGATGTTAGACGGCGAGATAGAATATCGGCGGGCGAATTTCGAGACTGCGTTTGCTAGACTGCGCGAGGCGATTATCTTTGAAGATGAGTTGCCTTTTGCTGAGCCTTGGGGGTGGATGCTGCCGGCCCGACATGCGTACGCAGCTTTATCCCTGGAGCAGGGGTACATTGAACAGGCGGCCCAGGCTTATGCGGAGGATTTGGGTTTGTATCCAACGCCGAAACGCGCACATCAGCATCCGAATAACGTCTGGGCTTTGCATGGTTATCACGAGTGCCTGGAGAGACTGGGGCGCCTTTCCGAGGCGAATATCATCAAGCAGCAATTGAAACTTGCCCTTGCTGAAGCCGACGTGGCCATTACGTCGTCTTGCTTTTGTAGGCTTGGGGTAGCTGACGGTGGTGAGAAGGGGGGGAGGCATAGGGTGGTGAAAGGAGTTGCGAATGGCATTGCGAATGGGAATTGCTGTTCTTCTACTCCAAGCTTTCAATAACAATGCTTCTTCATGATGAATGAATTCTCTTACTAGTATCAACCGATATTTCAATTCATTCTAACCTTGGAACATGAATGAATGTTTCCCCCTGCTAACCCAATTTACAATCCATGATACTATCTCACAACGCCTCAGAAATACAAATGAACGCTCAAAGCTCAGACATCCACCATTCCACCTATCCAGAAACGTACCTAGGTATATCAAGAAACAGCCTCCACAACCTGCTCAATCATAGACTGCACCTCATCCACAATCCGAAAACAAGGAGTCAGCCTTCTCGACGCAGCATTATGCGGACAAAGATCCAACGGATCGTGGTCAAGCCCATACTCCTCCCTCCGACACCGTCCCTCAACATCCGGACAAGTCTCATGTCCAACCATATGCCGATTCTTCTGCCTCTGCGCAAACAGTCTACCCACAGAAACAAGCCGATCGGCATCATCCCGCAAACCCTGCGTAATAAACTCATAGAACCGCGCCCCATCAATCTTAAAGCCAAGCTCAGACCCGATTTCCAGCCCCGGGATCAGATAGATCGTCTCGCTTTTCCTCTTCTCGTCCAGCGTCGTGCAGTATTCTCGCAGCCATTTGATATACTTGCCGTAGGTGGATGTTATCTCGAACATAAGTCGACCGATTAACAACACGTTTTGAACCGTTATCCGCGGCGGTTTCGAGACATCGTAGCAGAGCGGACAGGTGAGTAATCTCTCCGTGAGACCGACTCCGTCGCGCAGATTGCGGATGACGTTGTGCGACATGGTCGCGCGGCTTAGGGCGCGGACTGAATCCGAGACATCGTCGTCGCATTGGCAAGATTGCGGTGAGAGGGGCGGGGAGATGCAGGCTGTTGTCGCGAGGGACATATCGGATAGACCTTCGTGGTCGAGGTGGGAATTGGATAGTGGGCCGATGGGGAATGTGCTGAAGTCTAGCGAGCCGGAGAAGTCGAGGGAGCAGGATGAGTCTAGACCGCAGGTGTTGGGCATTTCTAGGGGGAGCGGGGTGAAATCGTTGTTGCCCATTAGCATGTTTTCGACTTGGGCTGATTCGAGAGGGTCGTGGATTGGTGGTGAGAGGTTGAAACAGTCTGGTGAGATTGGGTGTGATTGGGATTGGGATTCTCTTGTTGCTAGTTCGCGTTCGCATTCGCGATCTGCTTGCTCGTGGCGGGGTCGTTTTCTTGGACGGCCGGGGGCTCCTTTGTCTTTGAATTTACATTGGAGGGCGAGATTCCGGCATCTTGAGCAGCCATTTCTCTCTCCGGAGCATCGTAGCTTTCTTGCTCCTGGGTTGGAGGTCAGTATTGCAGATCATTTGGGAAGTTCGGGGTGACTGACGACAGGCTTCGCAGGACTGTCGCTTTTGGCGGAGAGTATTCATGTCCATGTTCATGCCTAAGTCCATGTTCATATTCAAGCTTGGATTCATGTTCAATCTAGGGACTGGTTCTGGGTAGGCCAACATGAGGTCTGAAGTTCAGTCGAAGCTGTTTGAAGGTAGCAGTTGGAGTCGAGCGGGGTTGACCGCAGTCCGAGGGCCGATGGAGGTGGAAATGGAGAGATGATAGTATAGGATACACAATACACAACGAGGATAGAGAATAGGAAGATGGCTTCATTCACAGGTATCACAGGTAAAGATCAGAATGACAGAGAAAGAATATAATTGCCGGTATAGTTGAGTGGCAACGCCATGCCGAATCATTCGGCACAAAGACCTCGAGAGGAGAGACCTGGTCAATCACGACATACTGCAGCCATATTTCCCGCTGGAGCTACTCCGACTAGAGTTATCTACACGAACCTTGGAAGATATGCTGTGATTCAGATCAGATACCATATTCTTGCCGAGAAACGTGTTGAGAAGAAGTCAATGATACACAATATAAGTGTTATTTTCATCAATTTTCTTCTCTCTTCAAACTTCCATCATATTTCCAAGATTCTCTCTATCCAAGTTTGAGTGGGAATTTTTCTCGAGAGAAAATATGTACCCACGAGTGTCCCCTCGTTAGCAATTAATAGCGTTGATAGCGCCATCGTGGGGCTTGCATTTCCTATTCAAGCTTGATGGCGGAGGATTTCCGGGGTAAACAAAAACCCTCCGACCGATCAAAAAAAACATCCGAGTGGTTAAACATCAGTTGAACTTAGTGGCTAGTAACTTGGTTATCTGGTTATCTGCTTAGCTCGTTAGCCGATCTTATTTTATCATCCCTGATGCAATAAGCTCATTCATGAAACAGCTCTGGCACATCATTTGACAGCCCAGCCCAGCCTAGCCCAGCCTTACCGAAATGACTCCCAAGTTGATAACGGCCCACGAGCTACGACGCCACTGGCTCAATCGTCTAGAAATTGCCTTGCTGGACGTTCGTGAAGAAGGACCCTTTTCCAAGTCCCACCCGCTCTTCGCACTGAGCGTGCCAGTCTCCGAGATAGAGGAGAAATTACCCCCACTGGTCCCCCGACATGCAACTCCGGTAGTTGTCTACGATAATGGCGAGGGCTACGTTGAGAGAGCTGTAGCTCGTATTGCCGCCTTGGGCTATAGCGACGTCGCTATTCTGGATGGGGGTTTGGTAGGATATACGCGTGTGGGTGAAGTCTATCGCGATGTGAATGTCCCGTCCAAGGCATTTGGGGAATTGGTCGAGTCGATTCGACACACGCCGTCGCTGTCGGCCAAAGAGGCGAAGGATTTTTTAGATCGGGAGAGGAATGTGGTTGTGTTGGATGCGCGGCGCTTTTCAGAATACTCGACCATGAGTATCCCCCGCGGTCGCAGTTGTCCTGGTGGGGAATTGCTATATCGCATTTTCGAAGCCGCGCCGTCGCCGGATACGACGGTTATTGTGAACTGCGCGGGTCGTACGCGGAGTATCGTTGGGACGCAGTCGTTGATCAATGGTGGGATTCCTAATAAAGTCATGGCGTTGCGGAATGGAACTATCGGGTGGACGCTGGACGGTTTGGAGTTGGAGCATCGCAAGGCCGAGCGCATTCCTCTGCCTTCCCCGGAGGCATCTCTCAAAGCCAGACAGCATGCTGAATCCTGGGCTCAACATGTCGGAGTGTCGGTCATTGACGGGGAGAAGTTTCGTCGGTTGGCAGCGGAGGAAGAGCGAACACTCTACCTCCTCGACGTGAGAGACCCGGAGGAATATGCTCATGGTCACCCGAAGGGATTCCAAAATGCCCCGGGAGGTCAACTGGTCCAGGCAACGGATGAATGGGTAGGTGTTCGCGGTGCTCGCATTGTGTTATACGATACAGACGGGGTGCGAGCCCGCATGACGGCCAGTTGGCTGTTGCAGTTAGGATGGGAGGTCTTTGTCCTGGACGAGACCTCCATCACCACCGTCTCGGACAATCTCCCGAGACCAGAGCCTCCCAAATGGAGCGCACCGGTGGATACGGTCGCAATCTCCATCACAGTCGACGAACTCCGAGCCCTCCCCAACGCCAACGTGGTGGATCTCGCCCGCAGTCCGGTCTATCGCCAGGGCCACATTCCCGGTGCATCCTTTGCATCGGGTCCGGAACTGGCTCGCGATTTGCATGGTGTGGATGGTACGGGACCGATTGTATTGACCTCGCCTGATGGGATGGTCGCAGGGATCAATGTGGAATATGCGCGGGAGAGTATTTCGCGCGAGGTGGTCTATCTATCCGGCGGCACCAATGCCTGGATCGCAGCGGGACATGCACTGGAAAATGAGACGAGGTGGCTGTCACAACCCATTGATGTGTATCAACGACCGTACGAGGGGACGGACAATGCGCGAGAAGCGATGCAGGGGTATCTCGACTGGGAGTATGGATTGGTGGGACAATTGGCGAACGATGGAATCTCCTGCTTTCACGTTGTCCGAGAGAGTCGAGAGTCGAGGTGATTCACATGTGAGAGTGAGAGAATTCTGAGATTGGAGACCAAAACACCAGATCGGCCGCTAGAAACCATCGCGTGAGTCTAATCCACTTTAACCCACCACCTCCACTCTAGGGCGGCCGGTGAATGGTCTGGGTCAAGGGGAATGTCGCAGAGATGTCACTTTTAGGGAATCTCTCCGCGGGGGAGAAGAGTGGCGCGTCATTGGGAATGCTAAGACTGCCTCGGTCCCGTCCGAATCGAATCCTCGGTTGAATGGGGTGTGGAAGTGGAAGCAGGATGCCTAGAGGGCATCCTGCAAAAACATTCCCTTAAATACGGCGACTCCTTTCAAAGTACTCTGTTAACTCTCTCTCTCTACACCCAATTGCTCTACTCTTCCTCTAGCACAATTGCTCTCTCTCTCTCTCTCATCATGTCTCCTTCCGTCGTCTCCCTCCCCACTCCAACTCCAACTCCAACTTCGGGATTGAACTCTACACCAACACACCCCGATAGACTCCACGTCAATCGCAGCCCCAAGGCATTCGGCAGCGGTGCAATCTCCCTCGTCGACCTCCCCGCCGGTTCCCTCTTTGCGAAAATCACCGGAGACACCCCCGGCACAAAGGCCTATACCAGCGTGCAAACCGGCCGTGATAGTCACATTGAGCTCAACTCCGACCTGGTCTATTGCAACCACTCCTGCGCCCCATCGCTAGTCTTCGATATGTCGCGCATGGAGGTCCGTGTCGTCGATGACAAGCCATTGAAGAAGGGCGATGCTCTCACCTTCTTTTATCCCAGTACCGAGTGGGAGATGGATCAACCATTCCAATGTATTTGTGGTGCGGGGGAGTGTCGAGGTTGGATCTCGGGTGCAAAGACGATGGAGCCCGAGGTTTTGAGTGAATATTGGTTGAATCCACACATTGCGGGGCTATTGAATGAGAAGAAGTAGGAGAAGTACAGTGATGATGAGATGAATTGAAGTAACTAGTCATAGATTGATACCTAAAATATACTACCTGATAACACATTTATGGCCCTCCTCCAGCAACACCCCCGATCACACAAAGCTGAATCATTCTCCTCCGATCAATCTCCTTCTTCAACATCATTAAACACGTCGCAACAATCACCCCGACATCCAATTGACCCTCCATGGCCCCTTCATCCACCTGCAATTCCCCGCCGTTGCCAGCCGTACACCGGGAGCTTCCGGGCGTCCGAGTCTCCGCTCCACGCACTAATTGCGCGATCTGCCCCTCTTTACTTTTGTCCTTGACATTGCCATTCCCATTCCCATTGACACCCCGAAGAACAAGCAAATTGATCCGATCCCCATCCCTCTGCTCCTTCGCATACCCCCATTCATACTCCCCTCCATCCGGCATCATAAACCGCGTCGTGCGCGACGTCCATTGCCCCGTAACTTTAATTTCATCCGGGAGGACACTCGACGTCTGCAGTAGACGCAGAATAGGCTCGCGATTGGGTCCGAAGAAATAGTCTGTGCGAATAAGGTTTCCCTCCTGTGGGTGTGAAAGGACGCAATTTCCGGACCAGATCTTGTCCCGCGTGGAGGTGTAGGCGATGCTGCCGTTGGGGTTTTGGATGGTGATTTCGGTTTGGCGGGATGGGATGGGGAGTCGGAATGCGCTGATGCCGTGGGCGTTGATGATGAATTTGCGGGTTGGGGTGAAGGTGCTTGGATCGGTGAGTGTGTAGAGTGTGCTGGTGCTGGTGGTGCTTGATATTGAGGCTCGTGGGGCTTTGAGGTCGAGCTGGGTGGTTGTAATTGTAGCCATGGTGGTTGAATACTGGTAACTTGGATTTATTTTGTTTCAATTGTTTGATGAGTTCATCTCGTGGACAGACTATGTATTTAAATACTAAACCATCTCTTTTGTCATGCTGGATGAAGCAGATACGAGGCTTGCCTAATTGGGATTCGTATCCACCGGTCGATCACGGGATTGGATGAAGTCTATTCACATCGCCTCCTTCGTATTCCAAAATTACTCGTATTTCACTGGAACCGGGCAACACTTGTGAGCACTGTGGTAAGGCTGTGCAAATCATCCACTTTGGGAAATCCTCGTACTCGGAGATACTCTGAATGATCTCATCGAGGCGCAGTGGATCAGCTTAAAACATTAAACCCTTGAAATAAGGTAGCCAACACGCAGTCCGATCGCGAGATATACACAATCGCTATTTACAGTCCAGTCCAGCTATTCGCTAGGTCTAATGTACAACTCAACTAACGTCGGGCCTGATTAATGCAGAACCTGGGAGACTCAAGGTCCTATCAAACTGCACCGCCTCAGCACTCAAGTCCATCCCTAGTCGAATACCATGCGTCGTCGCAACTCGCCGCAACGCATCCCGTGCTTTTCTCTCTTGTGCTTTCGTCGCATGACCGCTTTGAGGAACACTGAACAATGGCCACATCAGCGCGAATCCTTGGATCGCTTTGATTCCCGTCTTTCCATGTCTTGATCCAGGCACCGGTCTCCCAAGGATATCCAAGTCGCCCATGCAGAACGGAATGGACTCGCATATTTCACTGATCATCTCGGTCATGATGTTTTCTGGGGTTCGGGGGAGTACAGTCCCCTCCGACGATGTGGTGGAGGGCACGACCGGAGCCAATGTCTCGAGGCGGTGGTGGATCTTTCGGATCGACAGTTGTAAAACTATTCGCGTCCCTCGATAGTAGTTCCACACTCCGGCTGAAGTGTAATCTGGGTAAAGGATGATGGCGTCGCCGGTGGGGGACTGGGTCTTGTATGGTAGCCATATATCCGGGAGACCAGAATGCCAGTGAGAAAATTCCAGATCCAGGTGTTCACCACGTTCAAGTAAGGAAGTTAGGGTACAAAGATCAACCGCGGAGGATGAGTCGTCGGAGAGGATCTGGGAGACGGTGGCACAGAACTTGCTGATGTTTATATTGCCTGCCATCATGTTATAGATCGGGTGTGGGATGGTTAACACCTCCAACAGCCAATCCAGATCGATGCGCATGGGATCGTTCAGCCCGATAAATTGGATAAGCTACATTTGATGTCAGTTGAGGCCCCTTGTGAATTGGAGAGAATACTCTTACCATCTGGGTGAAGGCGAAATGGAATAAGGAGCGCGTTGCAGGGTCCCCCAATTGGCCGGGGCCCCGCAGTTTCAGGAGATGTTGAATCCCCGATACATGGGTGCTCATCAGACTCTTCCGTTCGCTATTGATATCTTCGAAAAGCATGAGCATGACAATAGCCCCCAGCGTCTCATTGCGGACCGCATCGTGTACTGATTCCAAGGCGCGGTTCAATTCATGCAAAGCCTCCCCATATTTCTTTCGAGCTTGGACTGTCAGTGCTGGTACGCGAGCTTGATTGGCGAGGGATGCAAATGCCGCAGCATCTACTGCTGCACGGAGACTGGCTAATGGGGCTCCGCCTGCCGTCGCATTCTCGCACAATGTATAGAGCAGGGGAATCGAGTCGAGCGGGCCGGGGCTACCGTCGGGTTCGGTGGGGAGTGTGAATTGATCGAGGAAATAGCAATGGCTATGATATCCCCAGGATGAGTCGTGTAAGAAAGGAGGGACAGTCAATGCGTCTGGTTGGGGGGCACGCTGGGGACGGACGACTTGACTCTTGTCTTTGTTGGCGATACTCGGCTTGTGTTTGGTACCAGTGGGTGTGGTATGGTGCTTCAGGAAAAGGTTCTCGACCCTTTTATTTTCATTACGGAATATCAGAGGGGCCGTGGAGGTGTATCCTGGACATTGTTGGCCATATGTGGCGCAGTTGCGACAGGAGGGTTTGTTCTGGTCACACTGGAATATATTGTTAGCACTAGGTGGGAGTAGCGATCCCAATGAGGAATAACAGACCCTGATTTTGCGCTTTCTGCATAGGATACAGCCTTGACTCCGCGTGCGACCGATTACCATGGCTATGAGGCATGGCGATTGGTTTGGAGGGGGAAAGGGGATCTGATGATGGGGTAAAGATGGCTATGGTCATGAGGAAGTTGGGGTCCAAATATGTCTAGGTAGGTCTTTTTTGGCTTCCGTAGCCTAAAATGCAGCCATCTTTCATCAAATTGGGCTTGTGGTTTAGTGGTATAATACTCCCTTAGCATGGGAGTGGTCCGGGGTTCGATTCCCCGCGAGTCCATTTTTTGCCGATTCGACATACTCCCCCCATACTCGGTATGCACCTTGATCTTCGCTCACAAGAGCCAATGATTTAATTTTTTTTTCTCATTTTCCAGAGTTATATAAGGGATGTCAGAATACAGATACCTAGGCATCACCTGGGCAGCCTTGAGTACTCACGGATCCTCCATAAACCGAACTAATTCCGCGGAATCGTCATATTCGCCCTCTAAAGCTACTGACGGACCTCGTCTATTGTAGAGCGGCATTTCAAATTTTTCGGGGAAGAATCCAGCATACTCCCAATCGATAATAGCTCTGATCTTCAATGTCTGAGAATCGACAATGATATTATGCTGCGAAAGATCATTGTGACAGAAAACATACCCACCACTAGTGGTTTTGGAAACTTTCTGAGGCCACTCATTTCGATCAGAGATCGACATAACCCGATATGGTGGAATGACTATCCCTGAAGGGCCACCAAGATAATTCGATTTGATGCCACGGAGTGTGGCCAGGTGTTGCTCGACTTCAGTACGGACGGTGTGTTTCTGATCTTCTGATAATTCCGACATGCACACGCCATCAATGTACTCTGTGATTATTGTGAAAGAGCCATCGACGTCAAAAGCACCGTATAAGGTCGGAACGGGGATGTTGCTGACGCGTCGAATAAAACGCAGTACCGCGGCTTCGTTCTGTAGTCGTTCTTTTCCCAGTTTGGGAATATGCTTTGTGCCTCGGAGGGTGGTGATGTACTCGCTCGGTCGAAGGCCACGCTTGATGAAGAAATTACCGCAATGGTAGTAAGCTCTTTCGGCAGTCACCGCGGTAGATGTAGTAACTGAAGCAGCCTCTGGACAATACTCGAGGGATGCAGATGCACTAGGATCAGCAGCGGGGGTCTCTGCCATGGCAGAGAAACTTGAATATCGGTCGATAAGTTGGTCGAAGTTTGATTGTATAAGCTTTTCTGGAGAAGTGAAGATGGAAAAATGAAAGCTACCCCCTGCGATCAATATCAAACCCACGACAAAGAAGACGACGAAGATGGTGCCAGTTGAGGCGGTGGAAGGTGGGATGCAAAGCAACATTGAAGTCTACATACTGGGTACTTAGTCCACCGGGCTGACTTTAAACCCAACTGATTGCTTCGAAATGATAGTGCCTCTTGAATAAGTAAGTTCTAGATACTCACAGTCCCTCTTACTGACACCGAAGCTCACATGGCTGCAATTGTATGCTGTCTAGTCTATTACATGCGAGTATGTTTCTATCAAAATGACCGTATACACACTACAACATCCAGTTCCTCATCTCATCTAATATCAACCAACACCACCACTAGGGCTGGGCACATCTCATCACATCTAACCACACCGAACAAAATCCACCCCATCCCATCTCCTCCCATCCCTCCATCATAACACCTCAAACTGACACCCTCTTCCAGATCCCCCTAGCCGCCAAAAGCGTACTGAGAACCATAGTAGACCCAATAACCAAATCCCCCGTCGGCATCCAATCCAAAAGCTCAGCCGGAATCAACAAATCACACCCATCAATAACCAAAGCCGTCCAAAGCGCCGACGAGTCAAGTTTAGGAGCAACAGCCTTCTCGCTCTTCCGCCCACCCCTCTTCCCCTTCCCCTTGGCCTGACTTTCGCCGGAGAACAGGAGCGCGTAGATTGTTCCTAGTAGTGAGAAGCAAAGGGCATAGAACCAGTATGTGTTTGCTTCGCGCATGATGCGCTCTTCCCAGGGGACAGCGTAGACGCCCATTGCGTGGAGCTGGTCTTGTTAGAAGAGAAGGGAAGAAAGGAAAAGAAAGGGGTGCATAGCCTACAATAGTCAAATCTTCTAGAACAAAGTAGAAACCGAAACAGGTCCATTTGGCCATGTCCAGCCATCCGGATATCGATCCCATGGCATCTCTGTTTAGTAGAGCCGCAACGCGCTGGAAGGACTCGATGAAGCCGAAGAAGCGGAAGAAACGCCGTGCTGAGAATGTTAGTTTCTTGGTTCCGCAATGGAAGATCTGACATTGTTGTGAATTGAGGATCGGAGTGCTTACTCAGTGCCAATTGGAGTTTTGCGGTTGTCAGGCGTACGGCGGTGCTGTTTACGGTGAACACGCTGGCGACCTGGGCTGAGGACTGGATTAGGCGGAGGGTCTTTTCTGAGACCCGCGCCATTGCTGACGAAGCGGTTTATTTGGGAGATCATTGGGTGAAGGTGTTCTGGGGGTTGTGTGGTAGGGGGAGGAGGAGAAGGAAGCAGAGCAGAGCAGAAGGGAAAGGGAATTCCCAAAAGGCAAAAAGCAAATTCCGGGGTCGCGGGGAAAGAAAAAGTGGAGGTTTCCGCGCTTAATCAGCCCGATTGGGTGAATTTGTTGGGACTTTTAGATTAAAGATTCTTGGTTCGCACTTATCGATTGGATGGTACCAGAGATGTAGAGAGACTAGACTGGGCTATGGGATTTTTGTGGAGGTTGGTGCTTATGGTTCGTGTCGGAGAACAGCCGAGATGCACCACGAGAGCACCTTGACAGAACAACAGAAGTGCACACTACATTTACAGAATACAAGTACAGACTACATGGCTGATAGAATCGAAAAACAATTCTTTGATCAAGTAATTCAGGATATAACGCTTCCACCCAAAATCACGCCATGTATCAACGACCCTTACCGCCAGAAATATCCTGTCCCAATCGGTATCCACCGACCTTCTCCCACTCAACCTTCTGCCTAGTAATAGGAAGCTGTCGTCGGAGACCCTTGAAAGTTCCCTCAGCCATGGCCACAAATGCTCGGTTCAATTCTTCCTGGTAATCGCGCTCGGCCGTAGCGATGCGCGAGATGATGGACTCCGCGGAGATGCTGGGTACGGAGAGAGAAATGGGCTTGGTTGTGTTGAGAGCGACGTTGCCGTCTTCGTAGTAGTGCACGTCGACGTGGATCTTGCCGTTGATGGAGGTGGAGGAGGAGACCGGGACTTGGTAGATTGCGCGAAAACGACCGTTCCTATGAGAAGAGGTGGTTAGTTCGTGCTGATCAGAATGCATATGCACTGCACGGTAGACAATAGTATACTGCCCCTTATTCGGAAGAGCTTGGATAACGTACCAGAAGTTATTCGGGGAGTAGCGGTTGGCAACGAGGAGGATTGCGACGGCCGAGTCGTTCTCGGTTGGGTACACGCCGTATGAGCAGTTGGGGTAGTGTTCGCGGGCATGGATGCCCAGTGACTTGATGAGTGATTTACTATTTCCGTCAGCGCTTGTTGATTGCGATGCTCATCCTGAATTCGGAATTTCTTACATCAAATCGGCATTCTGCGATTCCAATGGTGCTGATTGAGCCGCGGAGGCAGTCTGTTCCAATTTATGAGCGGGCATACTGTCGACGGGGCCTGCCTACCATACCTGAGTAATGTGGTCGATCTCGAACGAGGTCTGGCTCTCTGGGTCGAAATAGCGGTTGCCCTCGACCTTATTGAACTCACTGACGATAACCTCCAGCGATGTCAGTAAACTTGGCAGCAGCCGGCTGAAGAGCAGAGATTCCCACCTCCTGGCTGGAGCCCGGTAGCTTCACGGTGGTGAGCTGGGCTTCATTGTATCGTTCGAATGCGGGGGCGAGAGAGGGAATGATATCGCCCTCCTCGGAGGTCAGGGCCTGCACATCTAGAATCGGCGACAGAACTCAGTATCAACACGCGAGGCACGGGGGAAGGCGAAGGCAAAGACGAGGAGGAGGTGAATTACCGGCAACGACGTCGGCGAGCTATAGATTCAGGGTCAATTCCAATCAGCTGAGGTCTTCAAGACATAGGAGGGGCAGCGTAGGGTAGATCGGGTCAGACCCCCTCGTGGCAGGGCGGGGTGAGGACATACCTCGCCGGGCGGAGCGCCCTCGATAAAGGCGGACACGTGTTCAATAGTAGTAGACATGCTGCAGGCTAGAATAGCAGCAAAGTGAAGGATGGACAGGAGGAGTTGGAGTTGAAGCCGAGGAGTGGACAACAATTAGCCCCGAGGGGAGCTCCGGGCGGAGAAGACCCACCGAGGCAACTTACCACAACAGACAATACTAGTAGTACTCTACTGCTGCTGATATACATTGGGCAATAATTATACTACTATTAGGCACCACTAGTACTAGTAGTAAAAAGCGCAGACCCAAATCCTGTAATAGAAAATAAATTCAAACCATACAATTATTAGGTATCTCGCGCATCTCGCTGAAAAAGAGTGTATCTGTGGAGAGAAACCCAACGCCAAAAAGAAACAATGCTAATGCCAGAGATAAAGCGCCTTCCCAGATCATTACCAAGCGCCGTGATCCATCTATTCGATGCTCATATTCATAAATCCATCGCTCGCCTCGGTCATGCCCTGCAGACCGACTCGCTTGGGGGTCCCCGTATGAGGAATGGGGCGATTGCCATTGTCCAGACTCGTGCGCTTGTCTGTGCTGGGCCGTTCAGAGAAAGGGGGACCAAGTTTAGACGGAGGTCCCCAGATACTTGGCCCGGTGTCGACGGTCGACGAGTGGGTCATTACTGGACTGCTCTGGGCGCTCACACTCGGTGACACGGCCCGGCGTTTGAAGAGGTTAGGATCAAAGTCGTCCTCGCGGCGTCGCTTGCGATTGATTTCGTTAATTCCCGCGGTGCCTTGTGCATGCGGGGTGGATGAGCGCGAGCGGGGCTTGAAGTCGGTGGTCGACCCAATTGTTGTGGAGGGAGTCATGTCCATGACCATATCGTCGTCATGGGCGGATGCTCCTGGTGCGCGACTTGGTGGTGGAGTACGATAGCGGCCATCGAAAGAGTTCCAGAACTCGACTCCGCCGGAATTGCGACTCGCCTGCTTGCTGAAGGTGCTTGTGGGTGGGCTGGCCATGTCTGACTTCTCCGAGATTGATTCCATTTCTGGAATTGCCTGGGCGGCCGAATTGGATGGAACGGTAGCGCCGAGGGTTGGCGATGTTTCGGGCTCGGTATCACGGACTTGTCGAACCACTTCGGCTTCTCGTTTCATGTCGCTATCGACTGGGGCTACCTCTTCCATTAAAGCGGCGCGAATTCGAGCGAAGGTCTTAGTTTTGGGCTGTCGAGGATATTAGAATAAAACGGGATGAAAGCCAAAGGCCAAAGAAGTGAAATATAGAATTGAACATACCAACAAACTTCCTCGTCGAGTGACAGCACGGCGGATCACCCCCAGTGGACCTCCGCCTCCCTCAGAATGAGCAGCAGCCGTTGGGCTGCCTGCACGAGCACGATGCTCTCCATCATCACTAAGATCAGAGAGTCGTAGATCATGAGTACCCAGACTCAAGCTCTCACGCCGGCCATGAGCACTCTGTCGTGGAGCAAAGTAGCCACCCACGGAGTTCTCGACACTCTTCATCACTGGTGGAGAGTGCGGGCCAGGACTGGGTTTAGAGCTGTTGCCGCTGGCACTGCTGGAGCTGTGTCGACTGCGTCCTTTATTGCGGAAGCGTGCACGTTGGAAGCTTAATAGGCTGCCCACCGGACCTGAGAATGCGCCCATCCAGTCGTTTCCGGGGCTTTGGATGTTGCCCGTTGTGAAGGGACTGGGCCCACTGGCGATGCGGTTGGCTTGAGGAGTATTCAGCATAGGATCATCGCGGTCCATCATAGCGGCATCATCGTCTTCGCTGCTGCTAGTGTCTGATTCCATCATGTTCACACTTGAGACGGAGCTGGAGATGGCGGTACGGTCGGCCGGTCCTGACGTTGAGAACACCGGCACCGAGGTGGAGTTGAGATTGAGAGAGCCACGGCGCTGAGGGATAGTCATTCCGCGACCTCCAATCGTGGGGGATGAGTCGGGCGACGACTCGGCGAGGGTCGAGTGGTGGAGGTTGGTGCAAGCGCGAGAGAAGTCCAGGCCCCGAGATCGCCGCGGAAGCACGGAGCCCGGGGATCCATAAATCTGGGATGAATCGAGTTGAGGAGAGAGAGGAGCACGGTTGGTGAGAGGCGAGCCAGCGGCCTTGGAGGGAAGGTTGATCAACAGGCTTGGGTTGTGTTGAGGACGACTTGGGGTGGAAGGCAGTGAAGGGATTACACTGTCGTCTTTACTGGGGGGCCGACTCAAGTCACCGGTTGCCGGTTGGGAGTGGGCGAAGGCGGAAGGAGAAGGTTTGGATGCATCGGAAAGGGAGCGCGACTTGGATTTGGGCGAGGAGTGAATGTCAATAGACTCGGAGTGTCTGGGTTGTGATAATTGCTGGCTGAGCTTGCTCTCGAAGTGTTGCGCCGAGGTGCTCCGGCCAGGCGCCGGCGGTCGAGCCGGGTCCATTCGAGCATCTATTGAGGATGAAGGGGATTGTGGGTGTATGAGCACATTGTGCTGGGCGTAATTAGCGATACTCGCGAGTCGAGACGAAGTGATGGGTGAAGTGGTGAGGTGATGTTCGTTCTCTTGCACGTCTACTTTGGCGCTAAACCTGAAACGGGGACCCCGCAGCATTCCGGAGAGTAGAGAGTATACCAGTAGTAGTAAAAGAGTATAGTATATTTAGTTAGAATAGAATAGTATGGTGTTACTGGTACCCTGGTAGACTAGTAATAGGATTAGGTGGAATAATTATTGCATTATACTACGCATAATATTACAGTGACCTCCCAGTCAAGCCAAGCTCATGGCATCACTGATCGGTACCACATACCACTCCCAGTCATTCCCCTCAATCTGTGGTGCCTTAACCAAATCTTGGTCTCGGGTCTGCCACAACTGGACAATCACGGCGCGAGTGCGTGCGATATTTGCAATCGTAGACTCGGCCATAGCAGCCAGCGCCCGCAGAACAATTGCTCGACCAGATACCGGTTTCCCGCTATCGTCCGTCCAAATCTCATCCTGGGCTGGGTCCAACTCGACCGCAGCGACAAAGACGGGCCAAGTGATGCTCGTCAAGGACCCTCGATCTAACAGATCAGACACGATCTGAAGAATCTGTCGGACATAACGGGCGACCAACGGGCTAGTGGGACAGGCACTGTACAACGCGCAGTGCAAGTAAAGCACCGCGGCGAGACGTTTGGCTTCAGCTCCGGATACGAGAACATCATCATCGCCCTCTTCGATTTCCTGGACGAGGTGCTCGAGCTGTCCTTCTAGCGATGCTGCGCGGAGTGCGAAGCTCTTGCGGGAGGAATCAGAGTCCAGAGTGCGTCGGGCTCGACTCATGTCGGTAATAGCACAGAGAAGGGAGACCAACTCCGGACTACATCCCATCCACATGTCAATGTGCCGATCATCTGCTTTCCAGTAGTCACTGCCAAAGGCGACTTCCTTGGCACACGCCGTTCGACCCATGACATCCTGGAAAGCGAAGAAATGCTCCGCAAAGGCGGTGGCTGGGTCAGGGACACGCACCGACGGAGATGATGAAGCTGTAGCTTGTCCTCTCCTCAGGCGAATCAGATCTTTGGCACCGTTCAGGTGGATCGTCCAATGTGGATCACATTTATCGACGATCTCGTATTGGCAGAGTAGCATCATGACGACCAATATCTCGGGGTCGTTGCAGCAGTTGGAGGGGCCCTCGGATGAAAGACGATATCGGAGATCGCGCAGAGTCTCTGATTTCAGGCGTAGTCCCAAAGCACCATACGACGCATCACTACGAGACCGATGGCAGGCTCCTAGGGCTTGGATCGCTTTGAAGAGGGTGGGCGAGGCAGATAAGCTGAAAGGCAGAATCACGGAGGCAAATGGCGAGGAGACGGCCGAGCTAGCTGTCGTGCGGGGGCAGACTTGTTGGAGGTAATAGTCCATCAGGTCACCATGGCCCATCCGAGTCACATCCGGGAAGAGAGACGGGCCAGCTCTCGGGTTCGGATGGAGCGCCGCCGCAAGTCCACCCAGATCACCGAGCGAGTATAGATGGAGAGGCAATTGGCCTAGCGAGGTATTGTCTTGGATAAACGGAACCAGTGTCTGTAGCTCGTTCGACTTGACATCGACTTCGCCGTGGGTTTCGAAGGCGAGTGCCCCGCTATTGACGAACCCCCACGGATGAATGGTGGGCAAAGAGCACCAGTATGTGTCCTCGGCGGTCGAAGTAGCAGGTGTCGAAGGGACGGAGCTCGAGCTCGAGGAGGCACCATCAGGGCGAGGTTTGTTCCAGACACCGGCGCGGCCAAAGGCTACACCTCGGCTGGCGAATTCGGACTCCCATTTCAGGACGAGGGTCGTGGTGCAGGGTAATCCTTTCTCAGAACAGCGGGTACAACGGGGTTTCTTAGTGTCGCATCGCACACGACTGGCACGGCATTCCTTGCATCCGTCGCGAGAGCGGGTCTTCACCGGCCCTGCTCGGTCAGCGGCTTTTCGGCGTGGCATCGGTGGTGATGACCTCCCATGGCCAGGTCAAGTAATCATGAGGGAGAGAATATGGAGAAAAAAAGAACAAAACAAGAGAAGAGGAGAGGAGAGAAGGAAGCCGGAGGGAAATAAGTTCCTCTGTGAAACTGTCAGTGGAAGTGGGACCCGCTTATCGCTTATCAATGACGGTGGGTTCCATCCCAGGGAGGCTACCTTAGTACCTCTTAGTAAAGTAGAGGGTAGCTAGTTATAGGGTAAGGTGCAGTCATGTAACCTTCTTGGGAGGGATTTCGGGCTCAAGCTGTTTCAGGATTCATTCAAATTGTATTTATTCCTCGCGCTGATATTTCATTATTCATTAATATTGAAGCTGTATCTTCCAATATAACATGTTGCGCTTCCAGTCATCGCATCTATCTTCGATCATGCTGTCGTCTTCATCAGAGTCTTCGTCACCCGAGTCTTCGTCAGACGAGTCTGCAGGAGTCCGCTACCGATCGCAAGCTTCCTCCTCCTCAGATGAAGAACGTTGCATAAAGTTAGTATCGTAGTCTTCATCAAAGTTCATGTCCGTATCCTCATCATCTTCACAGTCAGCCATGTCCATTTCCGTATCAGATTCCGCAGTAATAGATATCGCGTTGAAGGTCGAGCCTCCAGCTTTCTCTTCAATCGATCCCGGGAGCGGTACCTCAACGGTAATGGCGTACGAGAACCGAGGTGGGCCACTAACATGGCGGAAAGGAGAGATTTCCGGGGCATTGAGAGTAGACGCAAAGGGGTGAGCGATTGGCGGAGACGAGCCAAGAGAACTATACCGGAGCTCCTCATCAACGACAATAGCGTTCGTTTGGGCGAGGAGTGAATAGTTCGGTGTTAAGTTTCCATTGGTAAAAGGCTGTGCGCACGGCGGAGACGAGTCAAATGGATTGAATTGCGGCTCATCGTCAATGACAATGGCGCTGGACTGCGGACTGCGAACTGCCTAGGAGGGTTTCGGGATTCCGCGAGAAGTCAACCGTGAAAGAAGATGAAGATCTTTCTGAATTTGACAAACGCCGAGTGGCCAGAAGCGATTTCCATGCCCAAGTCGTATGATTACCCTCGCCATGCCACCGTAAGGTACAGTGATCTCGATTCGTGTAGCGGCAGTTGCCGCAAATCCCGCCATGGGAGTCTGGCAACGGGATGCAATTGGGGCGCTCGGGGGTAGGGAGCATCGAGAGAGTATAAGGATGAAGTGAAAGCAGATAATACCGAGCGAGGAGTGACAATGATATTTGTAACAGGATGAGGCGAGTAGGAAGAGGTTGAGGAAGTGTAGTGGAGAGGGGCTAAAAGAGGATGAGGTGAATGGAGGAGGAAGAGTGACAGGAGAAAGACGAAGTGGGTGGAATCGGCTGCCACGTAAATTGATACAAAATCCCAATTGAGGCATTTGGCATAACCCGATTAAATATTTGCCGTGCTAAGTACTCGGCGGTTCAACCACGGCTAATTCACCCCATTGGTGGCTAAGTTCACTTCGAATCCATGCAGTTCGCCATCCAATAAGAGTTTCCACATGCGAAAGAAATTCCAATGAGCCTCTTTGCTCTACCGGGTGCTGTAGACAATATCCAACTGTCAAGGGTTAGCAACTGTCGGATGCAAATGGACAGTGATACAATCCGAGAAAGGCAGAACCAACAGCGATATAGTAGATGGCAGGCAAGAAAGTAGGCATTTTCTACATCTTCATTTGACCAAGATAATCCTACGACGGAAATCACATGGACGGCGATTTTTCTCTGTCGGTCTTGTTAACATAGGAGGAGAGAGATTGCTGAGATCAAAAAGCTTACTTCGGCCAAGCGCCGAGTTCGAGCCAATTCGAATTCCCGCAGGCCTCGCGACCCAGGATCTGACAGGGTGAGAAAGATACATGCCGCGTGGTAATATTGCATTCCCACAACTAGGTGAACCATAAGTAAGGGCATGTAATTGATACTCGAAAGGAAACATACCAGCCGGGGCCGATGTCATCCATATTTCAGGAAAGGGTCGATCCTCATTCACATCAGGGTCTTGATACCGCATCGGCTGCCAGGTAAGAGGCTTGTGTTGGTACCACTCATCGACCGCATCCGCTACCTGGTCCCATGATTGCTCATCAACGGGGTTGTCGGGTAGAACACGGCATAGTTGGACAATGTGCGCGCAGTGGAAGATGGCCATGTTGGCAAAGGCAAAATCATCGTCTCGTTGAAACATCGATGATCGCTCATAATTGTATAGATCCAGTTCCAGATTCTGGTACTGTACAATGGATGAGTAGATAGCCTGGCGCAGGAACTGCCAGCTCACAGCCTCCACAATCCCGCACGATGGCCCCGAGCGCGAACTGAGATTGACGAGGCGGTTGGACCCCGTCAGATGAAACCTCTGGTCTTCGCTATTTTCGAGCTCTTCACAGATTCGAAGGATCACAACGGTTATGAGTAGGTTCTCCTCGAAGTCCTGCTCGAGTCGATCCAAGGCCGGGATAAGCAGTTCTAGGCACTCTCCATGATAGGTGGAGGCCTCCCAGTCACTCTGCCTGGTCAAAATCGCCTCATGACGCGCCGCAAGAGTTAGAACTGCCTTGAGTACCATTGGGACCTGCAAAGCCCGGCGCGGAATAACTGTGGTGAAATGTGATCGAGGATCGCAGATGTCCACCTAAAGGTATCAGATCGAGGACGCTTTCCAGTCAGGAATCCGGGATAAACTCACCCATGGTGCGATTTTGTGTATGAAGCATCTCATCAGGGATGCCTCGCGTAGTGATAATGTGGGGTACTCGTCAGACGGGGGCCGGACTGGACTGCTGGTATTGTAGGGTGGGATATTCTCGAGCGATAATTGGTCTATTTGATGGTCTGGATGTATGGACGGCTCTTCTCGGGTATGGACCTCAGTATTAATCGAGGGCGATTCTTCTAAAGAGAGATTGGTGATGATCGCATCACCACCGGAAATGGCAGTATGCGGTTGCTGAGTTTCGTCGCCTGTATTGGGTCCATCGCAGGTTCCGTTGACAAATGTCACTGCGGTAGAAAGTCAGCTCGGGGTCATCAAGTATAGATTGAGTGGCCAAATGCTCACCGGGCTGCTCCACGTCGACCCAGACCTGCTCATCATCCCAAACCAGATCGAACCGGGCGGCGGAACCATTGCTCTTCTGATACACATGGCGCACGGTCTTGAATTGGAAGCGCGGATCTAGATGACAGACGCGATCCAACCGGGTGCAGGGGGTACAAGCAGAGGCACCGGATGGAATGACACAGCGGATATGGCGATGGCGACACCTTTCACAGCCTTTGCCCACTCTCATAGGGACGGGGGAGAGATTGTAGAGTGGGCAGCATGGTAGAATTGTATAATTGCCCACCTTCAGTGCTATGCTCCCTCCGCAACTTCCCCGCAAATAGCTGACTCAGCTTGGTGCCTTGGTGCCTTGATGATTAATGGTCTTGGCAAGCAATCCACGGGTGCAGCATGGGGAAGTAACCATGAGAAGAAGTATAAACACAAGCCACTTCGGATACCTTCAGTCTACTGATATCAGCGCATAGGTCAATCGAGCTCCATAATAAAAAAAATCCGGATAGCGGCACATTCCCCTCTCGTGGGGCATGCTAATCCTAGTTTACCAAGATCATCCAAGAAATTCCAAGCGAATCGGCAATTCTGCTGCCTACCGCGGATCAGGCGCAAAAATAGAAACAGACACCCTTAATCAAGTGGGGGATTGATGATATTAGTGACATGATATAATGAAGGGTCGTATGGTTGGTATTTGAACGAGTCAGCTTCCTCGTTCAAGTTTCTTTTTGTTGAATGGTCTGAATTGAACATAGTTGGTGGTTGTAATATTGTATTTAGAAAAGAGGATCCTGCCGAACATAAAATTTCGGAGAATAAAAGCTCTGAGTAAAACGAGCAAGTAAACAGCTCAAACGCAGTGGGGAAGTGGGCTGTGCCACTTTCAGGGCTCTGCATGCCCAATCAATCGATTTCCTGCATCGAACCCCAGTGGAGCAGCGGAGATTGGCCCAGGCTCCATGCCATCATTATTGCATCGGGACTGGCCGTTTAAATGCTGAGAACCTGCCATTCTTCCTCCCTCGAAATATCCAGAAAAGCCTCTTGCATTCTGAGACCAAAGGCACATTCTGGAGATGCAAGTTTCGCTTTTTTACCTGCTAGCTGCGCTGTGGCAGACAGCAACGGTGGTTGCCGATGATAATGCTTGTGAGCTTCCATGGACCCACCAACGAGTTTTCTACGCTTTCCAGTCGCGCTGACAATCTCAGGCAAAACCAGTGTCACCATCAATAGTCAGAGCGATGCGAGTAATCTGACCAATTGTGAGACCCTACAGGGGAGCGTCACGATTTCATCCTCGGCCAGTGGAACCATCACCTTGAGCAATGTACAGGAGATCAAGGGTTCGTTTTCGGTGGAGACCGGATCAAGCATCAATACCTTGGTCCTGCCGAAGCTGGAAAAGCTGCAGGGCGCTTTGACGTTGACAAACTTGGAATCGTTGAGATCTCTTACTTTGAATGACCTGTCGCAAGCGTCGTCCATCTCCATCACCGGGAATTCGAACTTGAATTACCTCATGCTTCCACAGCTCGAGGAAGTTAACGGGGAACTGACACTTACTGGATCCTTTTCAAGGTAGGTGACCTTGCCTATAACTTGCAAATGAAGATGATGTTAACTTATCCGAATAGTATATCTTTGCCATCGCTCGACCAAGTTAAAGGGTCCGCCACCATCCAAGGCAGTAGTTCAATGTCCTGCAGCGCATTGGACAAACTAAAATCCGACGGTGTTTTCGAGAGCTCTTATTCATGCTCGTCTAGTTCTTCTGGCAGCTCTCTAAGCGCAGGAGCCAAAGCTGGTATCGCCGTCGCCGTCATCGTGACCGTCGTACTCATCGCCGTAATGGTATGGTTCTTTCTCCGGCGGCGACGACAACAAAGGGCGAAGAACACTAGATCTGTATCTCCGGAATCACCGTCTTCGGAGGCCTCAGCAGAGAAGTCACTGCAGGTACAGGAGCAAGCCGATACCGTTGGAGAACTCAAGCCGCCTTTACCTCGTAAACCTGTGGGTCCACAGGCTGCACAGCTGGATGGCCGCTCGATATATGAAGCATCGAGCCCCATGTCACCAGCTACAGTCTATCATGAAATGGATGCCGGGCCGGTCGTTGGAATGCACCAACGACCAATTCACTCAGAAGTTTGATGCAGATAATGATGGCGAGATGGTGTTTGCTACGAATTTTCATTTTCCTCTCAGATACCCAGTTTTGAATTGCAACCAACCAGATGTTCCACAGTCTAATGAAGTCTCGTAGATATGTGTGGAGATGCGTTATCGTCGATTGACATTGTCTTACTTACGAGGGTTGCGAAGAGCTGGCAAAGGTTGAGCTTTTCCAAGAAAATACTTCAATACGAGATTCCCTAAACTCTAAGCCGGACGGGGTCTTTTCACAACTTGAAGCCATAGTACATGCATACTTCGTATTAATAACCCCTTAAGGCGACTGCGGGTACGAGTATCCACTGGATTTCTAGATCTCTCTGCCAGGCCCATTAGTAAACAATGAGGATCTACGGCCTTCTCATACCATTCGTCTCATTTGCAAGGCAGTCATGAATTAGAATTCTGACCGCGGTAGTTAGATTGGATACTATTAATACTACGACTACTAGTAGTTGAAGCGAGTTTAGTGCATATAGCAATATACATTTATCATTATTCATTGCCTAATTTTCTAACCGACTAAGAGGGTATCCAAACTTTTACAGGATGACCTTGTGGTCGGCGGGCTTCTCTTCCTCCTCGTCGAAGATGTTAATGTTCCAGCGGGGCTTGTCTGTGTAATTGTTAGTGGGAGTCTCTCAAGTGACGAGGGCGGGAGAAACATACTGGCAGTATAAGGAGTGTTGTAGCGGCGACGGTTAGCACCCAGGGCGTCGATCTTGGCGACCTCCTCGGCAGTGAGCTCGACCTCCTTGAAGTTGTCGCGAATGCGCGAGGGAGTCACCGACTTGGGGATGACACTGCCACCCTTGACCTGGGACCAGGCGAGGATGACGTGGGCACCGGTGACCTCAGTGCCGGTACGCTTGGAGACGGACTCGGCGACCTCCTTGACCTCAGGGCGGGTGATCAGGAGAGGGATGTTAAGCATGTTGTTACCGAAAGCCTGTTAAGATTAGCCTTTGCATGAGAGGACGACTGGAGAAAGTGCGAAACATACTGAGTAAGCGGTGACGTGAATGTTCTTCTTCTGGCAGTACTCGATCAGGTCGTTGCTCTGCAGGACAGGGTGACGCTCAATCTGGTTGGCAGCGGGGACAACGCCAGTGCCGTTAATAATGGCCTCGAGCTAGATGGAAGTTAGTATAGGTCTTTGTTGTTTTGCGAATTATCGGGAAACCAACGTGAGGGATAGTGTGGTTGGAGACACCGACGGCGCGGGCCTTGCTCTTGGGGAGCTTGGTCATGGCTACGAAGAATGAAACATTAGAAAATACTCTGAGAAGTAGATGAATAGCCAATCTTACCCTTCCAGGTGTCGACGATGGAGACACCGTCATCAATGATAACATCACCACCCTCGACCTTGCTGCCCTCAACCAGAGGGAAGTAGGACTCGCCCTTCTGGAAAGCGACGGGCCAGTGAACGAGGTAAAGGTCAAGGTAGTCGAGCTCAAGCTCAGCAAGGCAGGCATCCAGAGAGGCCTCAACGACCTCGGGGCGGTGCTGGCTGTTCCACAGCTTGGAGGTCTATGGGTGGCACCAAAGTTAGGGATTTGCAAGGAAAGCGGTTTAAGCATGCAGAATATGCGCCAGATATGGGAAAACTCACGATGAAAAGATCCTCACGCTTCAGTCCGGGGACATCCTGGTAGGCGCGCTTGATACCGGCAGCAACCTCGACCTGGTTCTGGTAGCTATATAAAAAGAAAGACGTTTAGAGATTTGTGATTCAAAATTGGAATCCAGCTGTACCGATTGAGACGTTGACATACATGGTGGCAAGATCCTGCGAGACGTTAGTATTCTGAATTTCCCCGGAATTTCCAATTGAATGCGGGGAGAGTGTGCCAACATACCAGGTGGCGGTAACCGGCCTTCAGGGCCTCGTAGACAGCCTCACCGACCTGACCGGGGGCAGATTGCCAAGTACCGAATCCCAGCTGGCTGTGCGCATGAGTTAGAAAAGTTAAATTTCCCACAAGAATTGTTGTTTTGTGACTTGGAGAACTCACGGGATCTCAGCACCGGTGTTCAGAGTGGCCTTCTTTCCGAGAGACATGTTGAGGGTGATAGGTGTGTGAGTAATGGGAGATTGAGAGAGAATTTGAAGAATGGAGAAAAAAAGAAAGAAAGAACAGAAACTGGGGAAGGGTATCTAATAAGGACATCAACGTGTCTCCGGCGGGGGGAAGGGGGTTCCAAGGATGATGCATATGGTCTCGCCATCCCACGCTGCCCCTCTCTCTCCTCTCCTCTTCTCTTGCTTCTCTCCCGGACTAGTCTCCACCGAGGGGGATCGGCGGGGTTAATGGCGTCCGGGCATGCAAGCTACGATCTGGATTCGTCTACTTGATAACCCCGGTGGCAAGGTCCTCAATCGTTAGTGTCCCTACCAATTGACTACAATTTCTATTCTCAATTGCTTCTCTAGAGCGTCACAACATCATTATGGCCATTTTTAACTCGTTCTGCCCCGCAGAATCCCTCTAACCTTACCTAATTGCTGATGTCATTTTTTATTATCCGCGCTTTACCCGGGTCTTTTACCGATGCGCTAGAAGACGCTAGACAAGGACAGGCAATTTACTACCGACCAAACCGGGGCTCGCTGTCGGGGCGTCGCCAGGGGTTTCTTCCCTTTTCCATAGGCTCAACAAATGAATTTTACTCGGCGCTTAGTTGCCCACACTCTCATGGCCATTCAAATCCTGGTCGGGCACCCAATCCGGTAAGGCACGCGGTGCTCCGACAGTGACAGGTGGCTTTTTTTCCCTCCGTCGCACCGTTGCAGCAATTCTAGCCCTCCTCGGCGCTTGGGGCTTCCTGCGTGGACCTTCTGCCCCTCTCGGAGTTACACCGGTCCCGTCGGCTCGATCGCTACGGGTTGTCGCATTTTCTCCGGGTTCGCCGGCCAACGCCGCGAGAATTTCCCATCTTAGTCGGCCTGCGAATATGCTGAACATTCGGACTGCGCAAGCCGAACTCGGGGTCGTGAGGCATTTGAGATTTGCCGGGAATTCTATTGGACTACAGATCATTTAGTGGTATTTGCATAGATTCAAGTTCCAAACCACCAAATTAGTAGTAATAGTCGAACTTTTCTACATATCTGCCAGTGTGTGAGGAAAGGGAAGTCGCAAGCACCTTGGGAGTTGATTTAGCGCCTAGCCAACTCAGACATACACAATTACCTCTACGGAGTTATACGACGTACTTGACACTTATTCGATGAGACCATGCAAGTCGCATTGCCCCCGGTCAGCTGCTCGATTAAATCTTGCTTTGAAAAAATCCAATCACTCAACCACGATACAGATCTTTCCAATATGCTTGCCAGAAGCAAGAGCGTTGTAAGCGGCAACGATGTCATCCCGAGTGAATGCATACTCCCTCTCAATCTGAAATCTCAATTTCCGCCTTGACACCAAAGTGACCAAATCATCCAGCATGCACTTTGGTCCAATCTGAATACCACGCATAACAGCCTCCTTGCCAAGAGCGAGCAGCAAGACGTTGGGCGTACGCGCAGGGTCAAACTTGGCGAGATATCCAATGATGCTGATCACGCCTCCCTGAGCAATTGCAGCGAGACTCTGCTCGATGGTTCCAATACCGCCGATCTCCAAAATATGGTCCACGCCTTTGCCTCCGGTTAGCTTGACGGCCTCTGAAGCCCAGTCCGGAGTCTTGGTGTAATTGATGCAATAGTCGGGGCTGAACAATTCTTTGACAACCTTGAGTTTTTCGTCGCTTGAGGAGGTCACAATTGTGGTCGCACCAGCTGCTTTGGCTAGAACAAGAGCTGTCATGGATGTGCCTCCGGTTCCTACGTGCCATGTTTGATCAGTATCGGGGTTGAGGAATGAGATCAGATCACGTCAGCTCGACAACTTACCTTGAACGAGAACCGATTGGCCTGCAATCAAGGGATTATTCCCGTACAGAGAGTTCCAAGCAGTGACTCCGGTGCAGACAAGCGACGCCAATTCGCTGTAGGATTGAGGGGAGCCGACAGGAATCTTGACAACGGCCGACGCTGAGCGGGCGATATACTGGGCCATCACGCCGTCAACACCACCCCCCTGTCCGGAAATCACATCATTTGCTGGTCCATATAGCCGCGTATTATCGAAAGACACTACTACTCGGTCTCCTTTGGCGAAACCACGGACGGCGTTACCAACTTCCACAATGTCACCAGCCGCGTCCGATCCTGGAATCACATGGTCTTTGATGAAGAAAGGATACTTAGAGGTGGCAACCTGGGTATCTCTGGAGTTGAGTGAAACAGCTCGTACTTTGATGAGGACTTCGTGGCTAGCTGGGATAGGAATATCTTCCTGGAAGGTAGCCAAGTCTTCAAAGGCATTCCTCGTCGGGAATCGAAAGACGGTTTGTTGTTGCGACATGATGGTGAGAGTTGGGGTGAGAGTAGTCTGTCTGTGAGTTGAATTGGAATAAGAAAATGGAATGCAGAAGATAACTGAGCCCCTTTTTATAAATTGTTAAAAAGTTGAAAAGAAACTCGAAGATCTCCACTTGAAGTATACAACTCACTTCCAATTAATCATCACGGTCCTTCCCGCGATTCCGATTGGTCAAAAACGCAACATTCGGTGGATTCCTTTTTCTTCCTCTCTCAATGCCCCAAATATCTCCCTTCCGGTGATTCTCACTGGCCAAAATATCTAAAAAATGCCCGAAAATACATATTCGCCTTTTCGACGAACGGAACTTACGTCGCGACGTCGAAAAATCGCCAAGGCATGCGGTTTTTGCCGCGAGCATCGAGTGCGGTGCGAGTCTACCACGCCCTGCCCCCCTTGCGTGGCCAATAATGTCGCCTGCCATCGACCTCTTCCATCAGAGACTCCCCAGAAAAGGAGACGAGAACAAGGCAGTGGTAGAACGAGGCGACCGATACCAGACGAACAATCGCTCCATGTCGCGCCGCAGGATGATTCTTCTCGTCCAGTGGGGGAGACTCCAGCCCCAACCCCTTCGCCCGAGGAAAACCTAGCATGGACGTCCCATAAGACCGATTCCATGCTAGGATTCATTGCCCGCATCAATGCTTTCTGCTCAGGAGTCGAGCAACTTTCCCCGGGTCCAACACCATCTGGTACAGACCCATCACTAGAACAGATGTCGACTCCTCTGTCTGAGAATCTTCAGGAAACACATGCTGCAGAATGCGATTTGTCTTCAACACAAACACATCATTTATTGCAGATATTTTGGTCCCGAATTCGTCCTCAAATGCCTATCATCGAGTGGAAAGACATAGTACCTGATGGACAGGCCGACGCAACTCCATCGCCTTTACTTGATGCGATCACTGCACATTCCTTACAATATATTTATCAATCTGGACTCCACAAGAGACTCATCGGTCTCAAATGTCCCAAATTTCAGCGAAGCGATCAGAAAATCGGGATGCCATACTTTCGACGCTGTCTTTCTGCTGTGACTCAGTTGACCACGTTCGCTGCTCCCTCTATATCTGTGATGAAGTGCTACTGTTATCTCGTCTCCTATTTATTAGACGCCGGGGAACATCAGGCAGCGTATAACATGGTCGGTCTTGCGCTACGTATCAGCCAGTCCCTAAATTACATGGATGTGCGAACTGGATACTACCGGGAATGTCAACTTTTTCGGCGAATCTGGTGGACCTTAATACACCTGGACTTTCGATGTTCAAGGCACATTGGAAAACCAGTCACGACTCATGTAGAGGAACTGTTGTGTTTGCGACCTACCAGGGAGCCGGAGGATCTTCAAATATCCAATGGCTTACTCTACCATACCGAGTCTATCCGCCTGACAGCTGCCGCTCTACTCGTGAACGAAGCCATCGATCGCTTTACCTCCGCCTTGAACCAGCATACTAATGCCACTGATATTGAAGCAAGGGCTCAAAACCTTTCCGTCCATCTATTCCATCTCCAGAAATGGCGTGATGAATTACCTATAAAGCAGTCTTTCGCGAATATGCAGCTCGAAGTCCCTGACATACCCCTCGATCGTCCTGAGACCGGGATTCAGCAAGAACCCGGCGAGTCCTCGGAAATAGAAAATCTATTGAGCACTTTATTGATGTTGCAATATCACAACGCCGTGATGAGTCTTCACCGCGTATTCATTCAATTTCCCAGCTACCCTCTTGTTCCCAAATCACGCCCCAAAGCCGATGCCCATGCCGCAACGGCCCTAAACCATGCAATGAGGATGATTGAACTTGCCCACGCGCAGATGAAGATGCATGACACGTTTCACGGCCATTCTGAGTTTTACCAATACCAGTGGAACGCAGTCATTACCATCATCGGCTTTATGCTGGCGTACCCGTACTGCCATCGGTGCCCACGCGCCAGGGATTTTCTCAATCTCGCATTAGAAATTTTTGACTCGATTAACATCGAGAGCGTGATTGCTGTTCGAGCTGCGTCCCTGACTCGACATCTGTGCGGCAAAGTCGATACGTTGGTTCAAACGCTGAATATCAGCCACCCTACCCCCGATTCAACGGCGCCTTCTGGCCAAACGACTGAAAATCATGCTCTTCAAACTTCCGCTTCGATGTTGACTTTGCCGAATTTGCCACGAGATGAGTCTCTACTACAGGGAATTGATGGAGAATCGCTTTGGTCTTGGGCCGATTTGATTAATCTGGATGCTTGGCCGAGCTATTGTTACGAGGTGAATGAGGCGTTTATGGATACGCCGGATTTCTCGATACCAAATTGCTTTTAAAAAATAGTAACATAATGCATAGCGCTGGTTCTTGATATCGAGATTGACGGTAGTATCCTGTGGCGTTTGATTGCAATTGAGAATGCCGCAACCACCCGGAATCCTCAGGTAGATCCACTTTAAAGCATCCTGCAACTCCGATTGGACAACGTACACAACCCGGCACATGGGATCTAACTGGAGCACACACTCTATACATTCGAAGCGTCGAGCGGAAGACTGTTACTGTCAATGACTATACATAGCATTGGCTGTGAACTGTACTTCAAGTCTTGAAATGGCCATATTGTATTTGATCACCGCTTGAAGCAGGCGGGTATACATTACATCTTCCAAGCTTATTATCGCGCCTAAATTGATTTCATTCTCATGTCGAGGTGGTTAGATTTAACCCTTACTAGAGGGATATCATGTTCATTATGCCGTACTAAGTATTTGCAGCGAGAAAAGGGGCATGCCCTGATTGAAAGTAACAGTAGAAAGTATCAGGTGGAATGCACAACCAGACTTTCATAAAACTAGGCCTCCTTCATGAAGACGTCCAACAGAGCAGGGTAGTTGGGTGTTCCAAGTCCAGTAACAGGGTCCCAGCCCGCCGCAGCCTCAAATCCATTGGTGTTACAGCCAGGGTTGTTGCCCTTGGTGATATCGAAGAAAGCCTCAGGGTGCTGGTACAGAACAGGGTTGACAAAACCGACGGTCGACTTGCCAGCCGCGAGACGCTCCTCATTGATGCGAGTTAGAATCGCAGCGAAAACAGGAGCCGAGGCCGAGGTTCCGCCGATAAGTGTGGGTAGAAGCTTGTTGAATATGGCGATTTTGTCGCCAATCGCGGAGACATCAGGGTAACCACGGCCGATGCGATTGTAGATTCCGTCGTTGGCGGCGAAACTGGAGTTGTCGACACTCTCATAGTACTTGTAGGTGGGCTTGGCCGTGGCGAAGTACTGCTCGACTGCCTTATCCTGCCAGTCGGGGCGCTTGTAGATATTGGAGAACCCGCCGCCCGAGCCGAAGCGGTTCGTGGCCACCTCGCCGTGGCTAGTCGAAGATTGACCAAGTGGGAGAACGGTCGATCCAACGGAGGTGATGTAAGGGCAGGAGGCTGGGAAATCCGGGGTGAAGATATCGCCGGCGGGACCAAGGCAACCGGACGCACCAGCGACGCCAGAGTCACCAGATGCGACAACAACAGACACACCTTGCATGCCAAGTTTCATGATTTCACTGCACTGGCGTCGCTGGTAGGAAATTGGCAGATCCGCCTCGTTACCACCATATGAGATCGAGACCACTTTAGGTGGTTGATAGACGCCGCATTGAAGCTTGCCCTTGTAGCCGCCTTCTTGGGGGTCAGGATACGGAGGATCGAGAGGCGAGATGGTATCGCAGTAAGACCCGTCGATGGCATCAAAGAAGGTGTTCAAGAAGCCATTAAAGGTGTAGTTGCTCTGGTAGACGTTGTCATCCGTTTGGAACAGGATAGAATTCTGTGGCCAGATGATAGGGTACGATATCGAGAAATCAAGATCCGATTCCGGCCCTGCGTTGAACACAGATGCAGGTGCAGTGGCACCATCAATAGCCTTCAGGATAGGATGGGTGCCGGCCGGGATATCACTATTCATTCATTGGGTCAGCAGGATGGAAAGCCAGAGCAAAGGGTACTGGATATGACTCACGGAGCGAGAACCTTGAAGAACTCGTCAAGGTCCTCCTGCGCATAAATGTCGCCGATGCTCTCGAAGATGCCAAGCTCGTTGCCCTTGGTGGCCGTCTTGCCGTTGGTAATATTGTAGAGACCTGTTGATTGGTAGTGGTAAGCATATATATTCAATGTGAATTTCCCGAAGTAACCTACTCTTGACGCATTGTGGAGAGATGTACTTGTCACATTTATCCAGGAGGCCGTGAAGCAGCTCTTCAATGGGCTCAAGAATGGGCTCAAGAATAGGAGGCAGGACACCGAATTGAGAGCGTTTCTGGATGTTGCTGCTGGAAGCCTTGTCTACACCGGAAACCTCACGAAGAGTGATACCGGGTGTGATGTAGTCAATGTGCTGGCGGACAGAGTGCGGAACATGGTACCTAAATTCGAGTGTCAACTTCCATGCGAGTCATGTTTCCTCAGGTGTTGAACTTACTCGCGGCAGGTGATGTGAGAACGACCTGTTTCAGAGTGAGAGTAGATGTAATACTCAGTGTTCAGAAGCTCCTCGAGCTCACTGGCGTTAGCGTCAAACTGAATCCACTGCTTATTCTGCGAGTGCGAGATACGTTCCGAGGCGATACCAGACGACTCTAGCCAGGCACGAACGTCGTCGGCGCTCTCTCGGCTGGGTGCAAAAAGATCATGCACCTCAGTTGCACTCATGTGCTTGCCGTAACGAGCTGAGTTAGGATCAGACCTAGCTCACGATGTCAGCACTTCGAGAGAGGAATGGTCATTAGGAGCAACGTGAGGTAAGGAACTTACATTCCCATGAGAAGCTCATGGCCGTGGTCAAGATTGTTCTGTACCAATCCGATTCGGACGGGCAGAAAGGCAGATGCGTCCAGTCTCTTCTCTTCAACCCAGGAGCTTGGGATGAAATCACGACGCTCGTGGACTTCATAGTTGGGGGTTGGAGCAGCGAGAGAACTCGAAGCCAGGGCTCCCACAATCAGGGTAGCAAACTTCATGTTGAGTAGTAGGGGTGGTGAAAGGCGAAAGGGGAAAAGAAAAAGGAAAAGGTGAAGGAGAAAGGCGAGAGACCCAGAGAGGAACTGACAGCGAGCCAGAGAAATACACGCCGAAGTGAATCGAGGTGGCGTGAGGGCTGGCAAAACAACCTAATATTGGCAGGCGACTGGCTTTTTTGGCCGGTTTACAGTAGCTTCCCAGGTGCTCTTCAGTTAACTTACTAGTAAGTTCACCAGGCACCTTCAAGTCAATACCTAGGTAGGTATCTAGTACTTATATGGAATTTATACCCCCCCTGTTCACCCCCGCAACTCTTGTTCCAAGGTCCAGCTAGGCCTTGAGGGTGTTTATCCCCACAGGATCCATTTGACAGTCCAATTAAATAGTACTATCGCACGGCAAAGCAGGATAGTGATAGCATTATGGGGATTCCGCTTGGGAGTGGAACTACGATCTGCGCGTGAGCCCTGGAGGGGTGGGACTGTGATGGGGTAGTTGACTCCTACTAAGACATAATTTTATGGGCCGAGAACCCCTCATTAGGGCAGGATTGTGGAAGATCATGAATGCTTGGACCTAAAGCTAAGAGAGGGGGCGTGGGATCGGTGTAGATAGTTTGGATGAACGTTTCTTGTACGGGGTATGTATGGTATACCGCCATGACTCCGGACCACAAGCCAGATACAGCTAAAAGAAACCGCGGTCAAATCAGCACCACGCAAGTGGGAAGTTTTCTCGTTTGTGGGTTACTCTGGGCTTGTGTCAGACTGAGCTCGGAATCCTTTGTACTCCTGCGAAGCTAGACTTCGGCGACTTAAATGTTGGCGTGATTGTTAGCTCTGCTGGTCAATGGGCCTCCGGGCACGAGCTGATATGATGCAAAGCACTCTGAAAATAGACAGAAAGTACTCCGTACTGTAGACAATTTTCCAGCCGTGTCCAGTCGCCTCGAGAAATTGAATGTTATCCTTTTGAAGTCTGCCACGGTCAACTGGCGCGCAACGCAACTCAAGAGTCTCTGTTTCTGGACCTCGGGCAGTACGGGAACCACGTGAAATCTCGGGCCAAAAGCAGAATTTCATCAACCGCCAGGTGCGGCAGGGGTACGGGCACTGGACAGGGTCCCAGCCAAGATAAAGGGTCCATTCATAGAGGTTGGAGTGGGGGGGGAGGCTCGACGAGGAAAAGCAAAACCGGAATGCCATCATAACCTCCGGTCAAGGTTTCCGGGGTCCACTTGACAGTGGGGGCATTAAAGATGCCGTCTTTTGGTGGCTGTTGATAGGATTTGGCTTCCTTTTACGCGGGGCGAATGGCAGGATGGTTTGTGCCGATCATGATATGCCCCTGAGTATCCCCGCACCCGCTAGGTTCGCAACTGGCGATGCTGGGAAAGAGTGATACAGTCTAGGAACTGGAATATCAGCAGAGGAACGAAATAGCAAGGCAGACCTGTGATTCTGATAGAAGTGACGAAAGTTGAAGGCCGATTCATTTTCGTTCGGGGAATCAAAGGGAAACAAACACCCTGGGGCAGCTCTGGCGTGGATACGGGTCAGCCACTGCGGCTCCACCGTGTTAAAGTCGGCATTCAACTCTACCAGCAGCCAATGGGCGCTCAAACACAATTCTCAATAGATTAAAGAACATTTTTGCTTCTTACTCGGTATGTTCTGGAAAATTTGGACTTTGATTTTCTTTTCTTTTGGCTTTGTTATGCCTTTTGCTGCATTACTGAAGCTATCGAAGAGGTCCTAAAGGATACTCCGGACATGGCAGTAGATGAGTTGACCCATGGCAACTACTCTGTTGATCAGCAGATGAGTAGGCCAGATTTGCTGAAAGCAATCCTCCATGAATTCCATCTCAGGCCTAGACTGGATTAGCTCGCTGTATCTTCATCTCACCGCATGGCTGTGCGATTTCGATCTCCCTCTCTGAGACTTCGTAGTTCGGTGAACGGTCGGCCCCGTCCTTGATTTCAACGTAAACCTGCCCATTCCATCTCATGCTCTTGGATTGAACCCAGTCCGCCCCATTCCATTCCATTCCGTTATCTTTGCGGCCGTCCAGCCACTTCTGTAATTTCGCCCCCTCATGCTTAAAGGGATTGTATTTGCGGGCCGCAATCTCTTCTTTGACCCATTCATAATCCTCTGCCCACCCCAGGTACTCAACCCAGTCGTAATAGAAGGAGTATGCATGGTACAGTTCACCTTGCTCGTTGTCCTGGGTCTGAGTCGCTGTTAGTAAACTATACATTCATCCTGCAGGGAAGAACTTACCAAGTATTGGACGAAATAATCCATCCGTTCCATCTCTTCTTTCATCCAGCTTTCCTGCCTTTCTGAAAGACACTCGGAGAACGTGTGAGCACGATCAAAATCCAGCCAGAGGGCCCTGTCCTGGTTTGTAGTCGGGTCCTTGGAAACCACCATATTCCGTGTTTCTGCATCGCCATGTAAGACCCCGACGGAATGCATTTCTGCGAGGGTTTCTCTCAAGATTTGCATGTTTTGGGGTGAGAAGTTGGAAAGGTCGATCCGATGCATGTTAGGAGCATATTCGATGAGAATGGCGGTTGGTGGAAGCTCATCATCAACAAACTTCCACAGATATGGCCAGTGACTTGGATCGATGTTTTTGATCGTACCATAGAAGTCTGGAATGACTCGTCGCTCGCAGAAACCTTCGGCTTTCAAGCGGCGATACGCGGCGAGCTCACGATGGTAGGTGGACACCTCACAATCGGGAAAAGAAGCCGCAGAGGGATGAAAATTATGGTACTGGAGATAGCATGGTTAGAGGAAGAAAGTTCTGGGTCAGTAGATTTGTGGATTTTTTGCTTGCCACTTTCATCACGCAAGTTGTCCCATGGACAAGCACCTTCAAAACCAAAGAGTTCACGTCTTGAAGCGTCTCGAGAACCTCCACATCCTCGAGTTCAATCTCCATAGCAGCCAGAGTCGTATTTTCTTTGACTTCCGAGTTTGGTTGGAACAGAAATGAGATTGTGATGGTTGGTAATAGTGTTTACGCTGGAAGGTTGAGTGAATCGGGTTATAGTGACGATGCGATGATGGCACGTGACCTGGATATTCTGATTGGCCAGGAAGAGCTAACTACAGTACAAGGGCAACAATTGACAATTGGCATGAAGATACTCAATCATACTACCCAAGTCGCGCTTTCTGCTGAATTGAAACAATCCGTATAAACAGTATGAAGATCCCTTCTCGAATGCGGGCATGAAAGAAAGAATATATCTCTACTATGCACGTGAGTACTATTAACTACTGACTCACCAATTTGAACTCCAGGGCTACAAATTCAAGTTATTTTAGCTGGCTTTGACCAGAAAATCAGCTACAGTGAACAAAAACGTGAGGTGGACCTTTTCAATTGCAATAAATATCAAATGAACCGAAAACACAAATAGTTAGTCAGTAGCAAAAGAGCACGCCCGTGAAGAAGAAGAGGAAGAAGAAAAGAGTAAACAGTAACAAAAATCTAGACCTAGAAACAAGGGAAAACTTTTTGGAATGTTGAAAGCCAGGAATCCAGGAAAGAAGATTGGTGTGAGCACAGTGGGGAATTTTTGAACTGAGAAAGAGAACAAACAACACGCAGAGAAAAGAGCAGGGAGAAAAGGAGAGCGCTTCGGACCAAGAAAAAGACCACCACTCATCCAGGTATCTAGAAGATTCAAGTAAAACACTCCCAACGTCGATTTCCATGCCCATACTTCTTTCCAGACTCCTGTCGAGGTTGCTGCCCTGAGCCACGTCCAGAGTCACGTTGATGTCCTTGATCCTGTGAATGCGCACGGTAGTGCTGAGGAATGGCTGGAACCGGAGGGGGAGGGGGGCGCGGAAGTTTCCAGTCCAGCGGGCCTTGGTCATGAGCCGCTAACATGCCTAGATACCACATAGCAAGAGGAACGGTCAATCGTGGATTTCGGGCTGTACCAGAAGTGGCCCAGGGAATAGGCTCTGAGAGTTCGAGATTGCCCTTGAAATCGAGTCTTCGGACTGCCACCAATGCTTCATCTGTCAGAATGAAGCTATACCGGCTTTCATGCTGCGTCATGTACCAGTTGATCTGTGATAGTGCTTGTCTGAACTCGTGATTCTTTGTGGGGTGGCCATCCATGCGGGGATAGGCCCACTTGTAAGACGGTTTGATATCTCCGGGAACGCGGTTTTTGGCCTTTCCAGCAGGTTGATGGTTTGCATCATAGTATGCAATATCCGGGATGAACTGCTCAATCATTTGAGCCATGTTGCCGGCATCATACAGCACAGTCGTGAGAGGTAGCCGGCGATGGAGGTTAGGGGGGAGCATTGTTGTTATATTGGAATCCGCAGCGAAGGGCTCGTGTCAGTCTGTTGCTCAGATATGTGTCGACTCTTGTACGAAGAACAGTTTCCGAATTCATGTATCGGCGAGGCGACTGGGGATTCAGGGGCTCGTCCGTGATTGTGGCATTGTACAGAATTGTGCCGAATCGCTGCTCGATGGTACCGAGATTGAAGCCCTCCCAGTGTGTAACATCACCAATCTGGCCTGCGTGATATTTGCGGCTAAGGCATGTGGTATTGTTCTCGTTTTGGCCTTGGCGTAAAAGGGTCAGAGGGGGCATGCCATGCTGCAGGTAAGCCATCAGGCTTACCTGTGCCGCCATTTTGAAGTTGGAGATATGTTGTTCAGAACAGCAGAGGAAGACAGGACAGAAGTAAGATATTTGGAGATGGGGATTTACGGCTCCAGAAGAGAAGATGGCATCTGGGCTTTATAGTAATTTGCTACAAACGCCGCCTAGAATTATAGACCTAGAATTATAGAATTGAACAATTGAACACAAGGCCGTACACAAATAAATACACCTTAGCCTAACGTAGAACTGGTCAATAGATCTATATTCGCTTACCATTCAGGGAAGGCAGAGCTTCTTTGTTGGCCATTTGATTAGGAACAGTGGAAGGCAGATCAGTATCTGCCTACTAGGGAGTTGCTAAAAGACAAATTTTTACTATGTATGTAGAACTATGTATGTAGACATCAGGAATTCTGTATGCAAAAGTGAAGGTTCCGGGTGGATAGAATAGCATCATTGGTGATTGAACCTTGGAAGAAAAAAGACATCCTTGCCTTAGAAGGCAGAAGTTGGTTATATACTACTAACTAGTTAGTGAACAATCATATGTTACTAGGTAGGTACTAGGAAATATTCAAATCCAATTTTATTGTGGTAGATAAGTTATAGATCATGGTCCATTATTTGCTAACTGGTTACCCAGGTATGGTGGTATGTAGATCAATAGCATGACCTTGGTAGGCACATGCTGACTCAAATATCTCCTACTATTACTTAACAGATATACTTCTGTTACATAGTAGTACTAGATAACTTTTTGAGAAGATCCTGCAAGTTTATAGTACTAGTACTAAGTACCAGGCTTCAAGTTATTTACAAAAACAATGTTATTTACAAGAATAGTATGAACTCTGTAGAATATCCTTTAGGTCCTTTTCAATGAAGATAATTCTGACTGAATCAGCTAGGCAACTTGTTCAAGTTGTGTACCTAGATATTCACTCTGCTGCTCTTCTTTGAAGAACAACACAGGCCAAAATTTTCTTGGAGGTCTGGCTAATAGGTAGTGAACAGCAATTTAATTGATAGTAGGCCATATTACAGCTAGGTGTATAGATCATATCGTACTTCAATGTGATTTTGCATTATATCAACTTGAAGTGGCTCTTCCTACAGGCATTTAATACATATAAGTTTATCAGAACTTTGATCACTATTGAGTCACCTAGGTAAGGTAAGTCAGCTACCTATCTTGCTTCAAACTTTGGCAAAGTACAATCAGTGTATGGTAAAAAATGCCAGGGATCCCCTATTCTGACAAATAGGAATGTCTAATAATTGTTTCCGAATGTGAGATCTTCTGCAAGACACACAGTGTGAATAAGCCTTCAGTGTCAGCTTTTAATATCCCAATTATTGCTTCATTGTGTAGTTAAGGACTCGGATCAAGATCTGATTAGGTAGTTACTGCGGTAGCTCTTGGTGTGTCTTCTCAAGGAGCTACTACTAGGATATTTTATAAAGGGAAATATAGAATTAACTCCTATTGAATTCAGAACCCTATTAGAAATTCTTTTTAATACTAGTGATATACTCCAAGGTGGACAAAGGTAAATCATAATTTTGGAAGGCTACACCTGGGTTCTCTCCTGGAGTTTGTCAAACACAACCTGTAAACAATTTTTGAGTAGCAGGAAAGCAGTGCCATTATGATATAATACTATATAACTAGGCCCTTCCTTCACATGTATCATTCTGCATTTATAAAAAGTTATATAGACTTGTAGCTACTAGTAACGTGTTTCACCACCGAACCGGCCGCCCATCCAACAAACGCGTCGCGTTTAGCACGTCCCCTTTTTTTAAACCACCACTATGCCACTTATTCGTACCAGAGTAGCTCAAAAAACATGCTGAGCAAGAAAGCAGGATCAAAGTTGCTACACAGTCGCTAAGAAATAAAAACTTAGCTTCTCTCAATAAAGCTGCGCGGGTTTTTGATGTACCCCGCTCAACATTGCAAGAGTGCGCTAGGGGGGTCCGTTATCGACCAACCACCCACACTAATGGCATAAAATTGGATGTAATGAAGGAGGATTCGCTAGAGTCTTGGATATTGGATCTAGATTTATGTGGTAAGGCCCCTATATTTGCTCTTGTAAAGGAGATAGCTAATATACTACTTACGTAATATTTAAATAGCTGGGTGGCACTTTCGCCCAGCCAAGTAAAACCAACTAGGGTTGCTATGAAGCTACGCGAGGTGCAATCATGCCTCTATTTAATATTTTCGGAGTTTTTTTGCTTTATTTTCTTGTATTCACAATGCGATGCTTCCTGCTTCCAGGGTTCTCATCCCAAACGAACACAGGGTATCCATAGTCAGTGGCACATGAGACGAGATAGGAATGACATGCCTATGTATTCTCTCTCGAATCTGGGTGGAAGAATCCGTATCAGGTAATCAGGCCAGTCAGGCATTGGTTTCAGTTGTCGAAATGCTTGAATATATTCCCAGTGTTCCGGGTACCAACCAGCATATTCCCAGTCAAGGATAGCTGTGACACGGCCTCCGTCAACAAGGATATTCCGTGGAGAGAAATCGGAATGTGTAAAAACGATATCATGGTTATCTACCAGTGCATATTTGGTATAATGCCGTAGTAGGTCCGGTGCTGACTTTACGATATCTCCCAGGATAAACTCGTTGAACTGCTGTTCGGAGTCAAATGGACCGCCTTCAATTGACGCAATCTGGCCGATTATAGCCTGACCACGGTCGATCGCTCCGATGTAGTCACCTTTCAAATCGCGAAGTTGATTCATATGAGAATGGAGCTCGTTGGCAATGGAGAGCTTCTGATGAGAGTCTAAAGTATCCCATGCTTCATCGAGTCGCTTGCCAGGTATGTAGTCCATTACAATGGCCACAACTTTCCCATCTTCGTACTGAATATGATGAACTTTGGGCACGGGAATTGTCGTCTTTGATGCAATAAATTGAAGGGTTTGTGCTTCGTGGGCACGAAGATCGCCCGACTTCACAACGAGATCGTTCTTATATCGTATAATCGTGCGACCGCCCAACGAATGAAGAGTCGTTCCTTCTTGATTTTTAAATTGATCCATATTTGAATATGATTATCACTGGCTAGTTATGTACAAAAACTTTTGAATTGTAATGAGCTGAAAAGAGTAGAGCAACGAGTGTGAGTGAAGAAATGCTGGAGACTTTCTTCACGGGGTTCAGCCAAGCATGGGTAGAAAAGTAACGTGACCTTTCACCCACCTTCGGCCAATAATTATTCCGCGATGTCTGCCCATGCTCAATTGCAGCGTGGGTAGAAAGTCTCTACCCATGGTGGGTCTAATTTGTGAGCTTCTATTGGTTGCATAGTATGGCCCTAGTTTTAATTGTCAGAATATACTGCACTTATTTTCTTTTGACTTTTATAACATATGAAAAACATATAGTATTCAGGTATACTTAGTAAATATAGACCATAGGAATTAATTCAATCGATCCTTTCATTTTGACTTGAATGCAAATCCTCCTTGAGTAGTGTAGAACACGCTTTACTACTAGTACTAGTAGTAGGTCCTTTTCAATGCCCAGGTGATCGGATAGTACTACGACTAGTAGTTGTACCTAATTCCAAAATTCTAACTGCCAGCATCAGCTAGACAGCGTTCTCAAACTTTCAAGGTTGAATTTTAGAATGACTCTGATTGGACTCTTGGTCAAAGAAAAGTACCAACCAAATAGTACAGACTGGAACTTTTTTAGAGATCTGCCTATTAGTAGATAGTAATCAAACTCGTAGCAGCTTAATTGATAACAGGTTAGATACGTAGGTACCTATATTCAAGTTGAATATATTACTAGTAAAGATACCTACTAGTAGGGCACAGCTAAAAAAAGCATCTATTTGTGCGTGGGCACTAGAACAAAGAAGAATGGAAAATATAAGAAAAAGCTGAAGGTCATCGTAATCATTATTATTATTTCACGAGCCAAAATGTTTAGCTCGCGTGTAGGCTTTGCACTAGTTATCCCATGGGATGTGCGGGGAGAATACAAGCTCCGAAAATAAGACCGGCAAGTTCCCCATTCTAGCAAAAGGCATCGTCCAGATTGGTGCTAGTTACTGCAAGTACTCTTTGATCACAAGACGCCGGCTACCAACATCCACCCGCAAAAATGATCAATATTGTGCCATATTGGGTTTCTGAGAATGGTGAGGGCCGATGACACAGAGCGAGAGGCTTGGCGTTGATACGAGGGTGCTGTCGTCAAAGCGGGGTGGACGCCACAAGACGTGGTAAACGTCGAGCAAAAGCAATAATATGCATGTCATTCTATTCCACCATAGCGGAGTGGGACTCAGCCTTGAGACCCACACCATTTCCACAACATGTCGATCAGTTGCTGTCGATGGAGTGGCTTCGCAATATAATCGTCCATGCCCTGCGCCAGGTACAACTCTGCGTCGCCCTTGAGTGCATTTCCCGTCAATGCAATGATGGGTACGTCAATCTTCATACCGCGGATTTGCTTGGTTGCTGACATGCCATCCATCACTGGCATGTTAATGTCCATCAAAATCAGGTTGTAGGCCAATGGTTTCTGTTTCACCATGCGCACTGCCTCCAACCCGTCCCACGCGGCATCGATGCGCTCGAAGCCCAGGGTTCCGAGAAGTTTCATCATGATGGTTTGATTGACGTTGTTATCCTCAACCAGGAGGATGTGTTTTTGCGGAGCGATCTTTTTCAAGAGTGGCTCCGGGTCGAAATTGTGCAGGACCGGGGTCGGCGAAATCAAAGGCTTCGATCGAGACGCTTGATGATCATCGATTCGGCTCATCTTGGCTGATATCCAGAAGATGCTACCTGGTCCGTCTGGGTTACTGCGGAACCCGACAACACCTTTCATGAGTTCAGCTAGACTTTTGCATATGGACAGTCCTAGCCCTGTGCCCTGGTATCGCTTGGTGGCGGAATCGGCAAAGCGGGTGAATGGCGTGAAGAGTGTACCAACGGCTTCTTCAGGAACTCCGATTCCAGAATCCACGACTTCAATGGATATGTCGAATGATTGTGGGTTATACGGATCCACCTCATACGATGCCTTTACGCGAACGTGGCCTTTCTCGGTGAATTTGACGGCGTTGCTGACAAGATTCTGCAACACCTGGCGAAATCGCAAAGGGTCGCCCTGGAGGTTCGAAGGAAAGTTCGGTGCGACAAAGCTCACCACCGACAGTTCCGGCTTGGCCGCGGGCTGGCAATTACGGACCACGGCGTTGATCACGCTAGGAATGTTGACGACATCAGTAGTCAAGGAAAAGGATCCCGAAGACAGCTTCGAGTAGTCCAGGACATCGTTGATGACCTGTAGGAGAATGGAGGTTGAGTCTTCCAGAATCGACGCATATTCCCGTTGATCGTCGCTCAGGGCGGTTCTCATCAGCATGGTTAAAGCCAAAAACATCCCGTTCATAGGGGTGCGCAGTTCATGCGACATGTTGGCCAAGAAATCCGTCTTCAGCTTGGCTGACTCTTCAAACGCATCGATCAATCGGGCCTCGGTGGCCTTGCGTTCGGTGAGATCCCGGGTGACTTTGACAAAGCCGACATGTCGGCCCAGTTGGAAGATCGGGGTGATCATGACATTTGCCCAGAATCGGCCGCCATCCTTTCGATAGCGCCAACCCTCATCTTCTACTCTTCCTTCACGTAGGCAGACATCGAGTTCCCGGGCTGGCTTTCGCGCCCGCTGGTCTTCAGCCCCGTAGAAGATAGAGAAATGTTGGCCAATAATTTCATCCCGAGTGTAACCCTTCAGGATGGAAGCGCCCGAGTTCCACGTTGCAATATTGCCGCGGGTGTCGAGCATGAAGATGGCATAATCTTTAACTGTGTCGACGAGGACTTTGTATGTTTCATTCAGGAAAGGTTGCTCGTTCGATCCAGGGTGACCACTCCGCTCGCGCTTGATGCTCTGGGCTTCAAGCAGCACGTAGATGAGGGTACCATCGTCGAATATCGGAGTCACTCGGAGGGCGAAGTCGGAGTCACAACCGGCAACGCGAATTGGTTCGATAGACTGTACGGACCGAGTAGTGAGGGAGGCACCTATTGCACCACTTAACAAGGGGATATCTGGAGCGGGGACGGCCCGTGGCGCTAAATCGTAGATACTGGAGCCTATCAAGTGGGTGCGAGTATGTTTAAAGAGGGCGAGGTGGCTATCGGAGACTTCAATAACTTTGAGGGAACCGTCGAGGACGATGGTGGGCGTAGGGGTGTATCGATAGATGCGGCTCATGGGGTGTTCAAGGTCGGAGGGAATCTTGTCGCGTGATTGTGATTGTGACTGGGACTGGGATTGGGATTGGGATTGAGGTTGGGCATGGGGACCGAGCGCGCCGGTCGCATCTAAGTCATTCTCCGCCGGCGGAGTGACAAGCATGTCGAAGCCGACCGGGCGGCGATCCTCAAGGGAAAGGTGGAGCATCTGCTGGTCCAGAACCATATTTGGATTCAATTTCGGGATTCAAGAGTCCTGCCTCGAGGCAGGACCAGCAGGTGCGGAGAGACTGTACGATCGATTCATCCAAAGGGGGGTAGTAGTATGTTGGTGGGAGGGGATTGATTGTAACGGGCTGATCGGCTCAAGGGGATAAATTCTCTGTAATCGGAGGCTTTTCCTCTTTCTTTTTTTTTTCTTGACTGATGACGGAGTCCTTCAATCTCAGGAATCTCCGAATTTTAGCCGAACCAACACCGTCACCTGAAGGGATGCGCGGTCGCAAAGTGCCTGGTGTTGATCTTTAACTGCCGGCGAGGCAAAGGCAGAGGTAGAGGTAAAGGAAGTTGAAAAGAAAAGGAAGAGATAGATGACCCTGAAAGAGAACATCCATCGGGGGTTGAAGGGTAGGAGGCGAAATGCAATCCAAAACCTGGCAGGAAAGCCGGCGAGTGAAGACGATTGAGTGGACGGCAATGTTGGCCGGCGGGGGGGGGGAAAGCGAAGAAAAAGAAGAATCCCCACGCTTGGCCGCGCTAATCCCACTTGCGAACGCGTGGAGAGTTGAGATGAGTCGAGTCGAGACCAGTCCGGTCGAGTTAGGCACTCAATAGTACTTAAAAAAAGTACTAGAATGATATCACTCAGTGGCAAATCATCCCGTCTTCTCCCCTAGTTTGTATGACAATGAGACATCGGGGAGGGGGAGGGGAAAGATGATAAATAAATAAATCAAGACAATAAAGAGCCAAGTAGCAAAATTCAATGAAAGTCATTGAAAATCAATGGGGATCGTAAAAGACAGTCCTAAAACACCAACACCAACACCAGTAGTACTCCCTAAACAATGACATTCTCTCGCTCAGCTCGTTCCACCATCTTCACCAGCGCGTCGGCAATTCCATACGAAAATGCATAACCCCCGCCACCAAAACCATATGCTGACAGCACTGTGCGTGCTCCATTCTGTGTCGAGTCCAATCGAAATCCCCCCGCGACGAGACGGACGAATCCCAATAATATGACTGACAGTTTCATCTGCAGGGTGTTCCGGCACAATATGAGGCGCCAACCGGTGCGCCCGAGTGATCTCATCCCGCGCGATGTCAAAATCAACTTCCGGTGACCTGGTTCTAGGGTCAGTGGCGGCCCGCTTATCTTTCCCAGGGCCATGGATATGAGATCGGATAGATTGGATGGGGATGGGCACTGACAAGTCATCTTGCTGCTTAACGCCTCCAAGCACCACCCCGCCGGACTGGGGCCGGGGAATCACATAGGTGTACTCTTGACCGTTGCGGAAATACATCATGTGGCACTGGTCGGTGCGGAGGAACACATTCTGACCCCTTTCGGGGAAGCAGCGGTCATCCAAGACGTCCGTCAAGGTCTTGCTGCCGATTCCACTCGCGTTGATAAAGACCCGGGAGTCTGGGAACATCTCGTAAAGCTGCTGAAGTGATTGCACTCGCTGTCGGATGAATCGACCTCCTAGAGACTGAACCTGTCGTCCGAGGTAGGGCATATGACGAGTTGGGTCTGAAACCAAGGTCTCATAAGCCCAGGCACTGTGAAATTTGGCGGGATACTCTGTGCGGTCCATCTCGCGGAACTGTGCAAGGTTAGAAGATATCTTCACATCTCCAGAGGCTATAGCCCAGAGGACAAACCTTGGACACGACCGTCCTTCCCCAGATGGCGGAATCCGGAGATGGCTCTTTCTCCAGGAACTCCCGGGCATCAACAACACTCACGCCGGACTCTGGGTCCTGAGCCATTTGAAGCAAGATGCGATGCGTGACGGCTTGCAAATAACGCTGCTCTGGAGTGATGCCACCCGCTGCATGCCAGGCGGCACCCGCCCATGCGGACGCATAATGAATATTCTGGTCTCCAGGGAGGAACTCTGCCACGAGCTGGACAGAGAAACCTTGCAGGAGGAGCTGTCGAGCGGTAGCACATCCGATGATACCAGCACCGAGGATGATGATGGGTCGTTGGGCGAAAGGAGTAGGAAAGGAGTTGTGTTCAGCACAAACACCAACTTTGCCGGAGTCGCCCATGATCACAGTGATGTGGGTGGTTGGGTATCTTATCCTGCGTTGGTTCAAGTTGAAGTACTACTGCGGGTAGTACCAAGAGTATAGTATACGAACGGTCGTATAGTTAGTTCGTATATAGAGTCAAAGACAGATTCCTTTGCTTCGGTTGTCGATCCAGTTGTCGATCAGGGCTAGACAACAGCACAGACATTTATATTCTGTAGCGCATGATGGGTATGCCGGAGAGAGATAAGTCAAAGGATGTTTTCACAGTGATGGGCTGGTAACATTTTAAATTTTCTGGCTCGCACGTATGGAGGCGCTCCGGTCCGCCTGGTGGAGCACAACCGCTGCGTGTCGGGTCATGCCGACAGAACAAGCCGGGGAGGTTGCTGGATTTGGTGTAGACCACAGATGTGATGGTGTTTGAGATGTAGAGGATCTATGTGTGTGTGTGTTTCGATTATGTGGGGGAGTTGAGGAAGAAGGGAGTACTCCGTAGGGGGAGAGAAGGAGTAGTGCCAAGACTGTCAGTGATGCAGTAGTGAGGAGGAGATTAGTACTAGAGTAGAGATATCCATTACACTGATACTAACTAGTAGTAATGTAGCAGTAGCTAATATATCCAGGATACTATATGATAGACTATAATATGCTATATTCAATTGTCTACACTGTATCATACTATACTATATCATACTACTAGTTATACTATAGTACTCTATACACTACTAGTATCATCGGCCCATCCCGCCAACTTCCACTTCGACCTCGCATCACCCGCTTCTGGCCCCCTTCCTTTCCCCTCCACCCCCTGCTGTGCCTAATCCCGGTCATCTGTCGGCTTGACCCGTCTATGATTTGACATTCGTCCATTGCGTCCGGCCGATTGGCCTTGTGCCCTCTTGGCCATGGAGGTCGAGAAGGTTAAGCACCGTCACTCGTGGTCCCAGGTGGGTTTAGACTGCTTCCCTTGCATATCCTCCCCACTTCCCTCATGGCAGGAGCATCGAGAGCATGCTGTACTTCCCATTATGCGCATGCGCATGTGCTTGTGCTTGCGCTTGCGCATTCTTGTCGTGCGATTGTCACATTCCTCTACCCCTCTCTGCGAAAACCTCATCTCACCGTGACCGCCATTGCCACTGCCGCTGCTCGGAACCACGAAATTGACTTCGGTATTGACATTCACCTCTCATAGAGCACTTCCGAACGGGCCCACGATGACGGCGACGACAAAGACCATATTTCCATCTTGCGCGATCGGGATGCCAAGCAGACCCTTCCTTACGAGGCCGACGACTCGCCCTTCCTGGAGGTGCGCGCCGTCGTCCAACCCGTCGATGACCAGTCGCTGCCCGTGAACACTGCCCGCATGTGGACTATCGGCCTCCTCTTCACCATCTTCGGAAGCGGCCTGAACCAATTCTTCAGCTTGCGTCAACCGAGCGTCACAATCAGTGCTTTGGTCGCTCAGCTCCTGGCCTTCCCGCTCGGTTGCGCATGGGCAAAATGGATGCCCTTGGGTTGGCTCAATCCCGACCGCGACTTCAATATCAAGGAGCATGGGTTAATCACCATTATGGCCAATGTTTCCATTGGCTCGGCTCAGGCAACCCAGATCATTGAGGCGGTCGTCAAATTTTATAATATGCCCTCAGAGGGTGGTTTCGAGGTGTTGCTGTGCATCACCACGCAGCTGTTCGGCTTTGGGTTGGCGGGAATGGCGGCCCGCTGGCTCGTTAGCCCGGCCTCCATGCTGTGGCCTCAAGTTCTCTCGAATGCTGCACTGTTGACCACTCTCCATAATCGGGAGAACGAAGTGGCCGACGGCTGGAGCATCACCCGCCTCCGGTTTTTCTTAATCGTCTTCACCGGCGGCGCCATCTGGTATTTCGCGCCGGGGTATCTGTTCACGGGTCTCAGTACCTTCAGCTTCATTTGCTGGATTGTGCCGAACAATGTCATCGTCAATCAGCTGTTTGGACAAACCACTGGCCTGGGAATGTCTATCCTAACATTCGACTGGTCCCAGGTGGTCTATGCTAACCAGAGTCCTCTCCTGGTCCCATTTTGGGCCGGTCTCAATGTGATGGGCTCCTTTGCTTTCTTCTTCTGGATTCTTTGTCCCGTCTTATACTACACCAACACTTGGTACTCTGCGTACCTCCCGATGCTCAACTCGAACACGTTTGACAACACTGGCAAAACGTATGACACTGCCCGCATCATGAATGATCAGGGTATGGTGGATCCGGCGGCATACCAGAGCTACTCGCCCATGTTTCTACCCGCAGGATATGCTATCACCTTTGGAGTCGCTTTCGCAAATCTCTCGGGTATTTTCTTCCACATTGGACTTTACCATGGTCGAGACCTTTGGCAGCAGTGGAAAGGGACCAGCAAGCCCGATGTGCATGCGCGGCTCATGGCGAACTATAAAGCCGTTCCCTGGTGGTGGTTTGCTACTGTCACCGCACTGATGTTCGTCCTCAGTGTTGTCACGAATGAGGTGTGGAAGACCGGGCTCCCGGCGTGGGCGGTTCTAGTTGCCTTCATCATGCCGATGATCTATTTCATTCCGGTGGGGATCATCAAAGCCATCACGAATATCAGCAGCAACCAGTTGAACCTGCTTACAGAGTTCATCGGCGGATATGCTTTCTTAGGCCGGCCCATCGCAAACATGGTATTCAAGTTTTATGGTTATGTCGCCGTTCAGCAGGGACTGGAGTTTGTTGCCGACATGAAGCTCGCCCATTACTTGCACATTGCCCCGCGCACGCTCTTCGTCGCTCAGGGATTAGCCACCCTTGTCGGGGCGATTGTTCAGTGTGGCGTCACGGTGTTTATGATTACGAGGATGGATGGGGTCTGTACGACGGACGCTGCGGGTAATTTCACCTGTCCCCATGGTCGGGTGACCTATTCGTCCTCTCTCATTTGGGGTATGTTTTGATCCTGGCTGAACCCCGCTCTGTGCTTCCCCTCGCCATGTCACATTTCGCTAACATGCATTTAGGAGCCGTTGGTCCCGGCCGCCTCTTTTCCCCGGGCCAGATCTACGGCAATATACTGTGGTTCTTTCTCGTCGGACCCGTCGTCGTGATAATCACATACCTTCTTGGGCGACGCTGGCAACGGGTAAATTACCTGTCGTGGCCCGTCGCATTCGGCGCTATGAGTCTTGTCCCACCCGCCACGGGTGTAAGTTTCTCATCGTGGTGGGTCATCAACCTAATCTTCAACGGCCTCGTGCGTCGTCGAAAATCCGCGTGGTGGTCGAAATACAATTACGTCCTTTCTGCGGCTTTGGACTGCGGCGTCGCCATTTCCACCGTTCTCATCTTCTTTTGTATCACCTTGCCTGCGGGCTCTTTGGAGTGGTGGGGCAATACTGTCTATACCAAAACCGCTGATGGCAAGGGAACGCCGTATAAGAGTCTGCCCGCTCAGGGATATTTTGGCCCCCCTCGGGGTGACTGGCAGTGATCTTGGTTCTGTACATATATTCGCTATTTGCTTTTGCATACTTGGTGTGTTGGTTTTTGCTATGTTGGGTGTTTGATGATTTACTGTTACATACTTGCTTGCTACAGGACATGGATTGGCGCAGGTTGACATAATAAGGGATTCGGGATTAGATGACTTGGAAACTTGGAATGTCGTGATTGCTTTATCAAGAAATTAATCCTCATAGCTACTAGAAAATAGTAGTATAGAATTACCATAGGACTATGCGCCACGTATAACGAACTACCCTCAAACCTTGACAGACCTCCCACTAACAAAAACCTTGACGATATTCCGATCATCACCAGTCATAAGAAACTTTTCGAAGACCGCCAGAATAGAATCCTCCTCCTCAACCGGACTCATAACCCCAGGCCTATCCAACAATTCCCCAACATGAATCTCCAACGCATCAAACTCCTTCCCAACCACAAAATTCCCCACCTTCTCCTCCAACCCACAAACCCTCGCTCCACCAAGCGTCGCCAGATAAAAGCCCTCAGCAAGCGACAAAGGCGCATCCGCCCCCTTAGTCAACATTGTCCTCGCATTAGATACAATAAAAGCTTGTTTCATGGCATCTAGCATAGAAGAAGAATACCCACCTCCACTATCAGTCCCAAGACCAACCTTGATGTCACGGCGCAGATATTCCCGTACCGGCGCAACCATAAATTCCTGCATCGTGGTGTTAGATATCGGGCAATGGGCCACACCACAGTCAAGCTCTTGTAGCGTTTTAATCTCCTCCTCTTCAAGGAATATACAATGTGCCAGAATGCTTCGCTCATTAAGTAAACCGTATTGTCGGTAGAGCTCTGCCTCCGTGCGGAACTGCGGGAATAGTTGGTGCGTGTATTGGATTTCTTGCGTGGCTTCGTTGAAATGCGTTTGGATTGGGAGAGTTGGGTGTGCCTTTGATATGTCGCCTAGTCCCTGTAGGAGATCGGGTGTACACGATATCGCGAAGCGGGGCGTTAGAATCGGTTTTATCAGATCCGATTGCGGGTCTAGGGTCGTGATGTGTTTGATTAAAGCGCGGGTTTCGTGGAGGGAGTCTTCGACTGTTGAGTCGCGGTACCAGTCTGGCGCGTTGCGGTTCATGTTACATTTTCCGATTAGGGCGCGTTGGCCCTTTGCGAAGCAGATATCTGCTAGGATTTGGGTTGCGGGGCCGTGGTGGGAACCGTAGTATGAGGCTGTTGTTATGCCTTGTTGGAGGAATCCGGTGACACAGGATGTGTACATTTGTTTTGCGTAGTCTGAGTCTTGAAATTTCGACTCGTGCGCGAAGGTTACTTTGTTCAGCCAGTCTAGTAGGGACTCGCCGCGGATTCCGAGACCGCGTTGGGCCCATTGTGGTGCGTGGTTGTGCGTGTCGATGAAGCCTGGGCAAAGAAATTGGCCGCGCTGGAGGCGTTTGATCGGGAAGACGTCTGGGGCGTAGCCATGGTCTGAGAGGATTGTGTTGATCTGTTCAGGTTGGATGTTGGCTTGTAAGGTCTGGATCTTGCCCGCTTTATCGATCACGATGAAGCAGTTTTCGAGGACTTCTAGCTCTGTCAGGCTTCGTGAGTGAATCACGGTACCATGGAGGGCCAGTGGGAGCCCTGCGGCTGGAGATGAAGAGGAGTTCAAGCTTTTATTGAGTTCTTCCATGGCGAATGAGAGAGGTGAGGATGTGAAAAAGTTGGGTGACGGTGTAGAGCGCGATGTTTATCAAATGAGGGGCAACCAATAAGACGTGCATGAGGGCTGCAGTACTCCTCTGCCTTACCGGTCAGGAACAACTCGAATCTCAAGTTTGGAATTCGATGCGATCGATCAGTTCCAGGTAGTACGAGTAAGATGTAAAATATTTTCCATGGCCTAGTAGTATCTGAAAAACGAGTACATGAACACAAGTCGATGTCTATTTGTTCCAAAAGTAGAAATATCATTCTATAACCTATCACAGCCTATTGCTGGAATCTATGAACCCTTGGCAAACTTCTTGAGGTTATCCTCGCTACCATTCCACAGATCTGAGTCACCACCATACTTATAAGAATCCGAGTTCTGCCAGAAGCTCTGGGTCGACCAGCCATTGGGAACCGTGCTAACGGAGCTGGCGTACTGCGCCAGAACCAGAGGGTAGTCGGCACCAAAGTTCCCGTTGTTACCCGTGCAAGTCTTCCACCAGTCGGCGGTGGTATAGATCATGGGGTAGCGGCCAGTCTTGCTCTTGTAGGTCTCGCCAAAATCCTTGACCCAGGCGGCCATGCTGGATGCACTGAGGCCGTAACAGGTCGAGCCGGATGGGTTGTACTCTAGGTCCAACATTCCGGGGAGAGTCTTGCCATCGTTAGACCAGCCGCCACCGTGGGCCAGGAAATACTCGGCCTGGCTGGCACCGGAGCTGGAGGCGGGTTGCGCAAAGTGGTAGCCGCCTCGGATGAGACCGGCTGAGGATGCACCCTCGTAGTGGCTGGAGAAGGACTTATCAATGTAGCTGGTGCCCTCGGTGGCCTAGTACGAATGTTAGAATGGGGCTGTTCACCGGATGATAGCGGAAGTTGCTGACCTTGATCATGACGAATCGGGCACCGGCTCCATAGGCACCGGCAAAGTCCACATCAGCTTGGTAGTTGGAGATGTCGAAGCCTTGAACACCGCTGGCGCGGGCCTCAAGGGGACTAGCATTCGCGGCGGCGACCAGCAGGAGGGAAAGAGCGGCAGCCTTGACGGTAGAAGTCATAGTGGAGTGAGGGTGGGAGTGAGAATTGATATTTAGAAAAGGAGGTCAGTTAGTAGTATGAAGTAGATGGATCAAGATGGTCGAGGTCAAGCCTCTTATTTATGCTCTTGCACAAAAATGCTCATGCTCAAGGGAGAGAAAGCCATAGGGTGTGATGAGGTACTCCGTACTACGATATGCATCGTATCCCAAAATAACAAACTCGCGATCGTCCCTGAGGGGCGATGGTCGGATACGAGGGTATCACCGGCCGATTGTGGCATTCCTCGGTGACGATCGATCCACCAAGTTGGTATGGTGGAGGAATCATCTTGGCGACGGACCCTGTGGCGTCACCTGCAGAATCCGGGGGTTATTAGACTCGCAGGATGTGCCTGAGTACAGCAAGCGAGGGCCGATCGGCACATTGAAACGATCTGAGAGGATGTTCAGATGTAGACTGTAACCTTAGCAGATTAAGGACCCAGAGATGTCAAGCCTCGAATCATAGCGGACAATTGGAGAGCGTGCAGCAGGTGTTTCATGAGTGGGGTGGTTCTGGGGATTTGCTGTGAGTATCAAGTTGAGGTACATAGTCATCAAGGTGATGTAGATGAGCAAGTCAGTGTGTGTGCTGTATGTTGTATCCTCTATAACTGGAGTGAGGGTGAAGGTGAAGAGGAAGAGGAAGTGAAGAAGATGGAAGAGTCAAGCTAAGCGAAGGGTGACTTCCCCGTGCAGTCCCCGCCTTCGCCCTCACCTTCTTTTCCCCGAACACCACCTCATTCCTCCCTCACATTCTCCCTGCAGCAACGCCACAATTCGGCTGAAATGGACGGTTCGACCCGCCAGTATGAACAATCCCGATAACAAGGATTTTCGCGACCAGCTGGGCAAGTTCCGTTTGGAGTCAACCTCCATGACTGGGCCAACCCCGGCCTGGTCGCACGCGCCCGACTCTTCCACCTCAACCCCGGATCTTTCCCATGCCAATTCTCACTCTGCCGCCGCCCGCAGCAAACGAGTCTCCACCGCCTGTGACTTTTGTCGCAAACGAAAGAAAAAGTGCGATTTTCGTTATCCGAATTGCTCCGCTTGTACACGCGCCGGCGTTCGTTGTACCATCCCCCCGCCGGGTCCGCAAGTCGCCAGTGCCTCCGTCCCCCGCGATCAGCTCGAAAACCTACAAAAGAGAGTCCAATGGCTGGAGGAAGTGGTCCATCGCAAGTCTGGCATCTCGGTCGCCGACCTTGTCACAGGAACCCCCGTCGATGGCGAAGGTGACCCAGATTGGTGGTATCAAGTGCCCGCCATGATTGCGACCGGTGGGAATCGTCCGCGCACATCCTCCATGTCCAGTCCGAATGGTAGTCGAGGTTCGTCCGTGACCACCGTCCCCGCCGGCTCTGAAACATCGACCGGCGTCGGCGCAGAATTACCCAATGTGGGTGAGATCTTTCGTGACCAGCTTGAGCATCGTCGTCCATCCGTCGCCCGACCGGCCTCGGCACCGCGAGTGCTGCGCCTGTCTTCGCTGGAGGAAGCAGAACGACTAGCCGATCAGTACTTCGAGAGCATGGGTTATCAGTACCCGTTTATGTCCCGCCCCGAGTTCATGGCCCAGCTGCGACACATCTATACCGGAGGGGTGCCGTCGCCCGAGGTGCACAACGCATACCATGTCATTATCGCCATTTCGCTATTGATCGGATCGGCAGATGCCACAAGAGCCGCAGAATTCTATAATGCCAGTCAAGAGACATTGCCATTGGCCCTGCAGAATGAAGATCTACCCGCAGTTCGGGCGTTGCTAGGTATTGCGCTCTACACCATGTTTGCGACCTCCGGTCCAAGTATCTGGCATGTCTTGGGCGCCACCATGCGCCTCTCCATTAGTATGGGTCTGCATAAGGATCGGGCCCACTCTAGTATGGTAGAGGAGGAAATGGCCAAACGGGCGTTCTGGAGCTTGTACAATCTGGATCGTCTCATCGCCAGCACTCTGGGCCGACCGCTGGGGATTGCCGATGAAGATATCAGTGTGAGCCTTCCCAGGGAACTCAATGATGATGGGATGGAGGCCCCAGGAACAAGCGCCATGACAATACCGGTCCAGGTGATACGTCTCCGCCGGATTTTCTCGCGCATTTATCGATACCGTAAGTGCACTCACTCTCCCTATTCAACTGAGATTTTCCATTCTAATTACGGGCCTCTATAGTTTACAGCAACTTATCACGACCATCGCCCCAGGAAGTGGCGACTACGTTAGGTCAATTTCGCCGAGAGGTCGACGACTGGCGCATGTCCGCCCCAGTCTACCCTTCTGCTTTACTCTACTCTACTTCGTATTATGACTATCTGTATTATACCACACTTCTCTTGATGTATCGCCCGAGTGCTCGCAACCCGACACCCGATCTAACCAGCATTGTCAGCTGCGGCGATTCCAGCATCCAGGTCATTCGATCTTATTGGGACAGTTACTCGGTGGGGAAGCTGAAGTGGATCTGGCTCACACTGAGCCAGGTCTACTTTGCCGGGATCACGATCCTTTGGTGTCTCGAACAGAACGCGCGCTCGCTCCGCGAATCTCAACCCGCGCCTTGGCATCCGGACGAGCAAATGATGCGTCGCGGGATCCAAGCGGTGGTGGTTCTACTGGAGGAGTTCGGAAAACGGCGAGCGGGCGTGGACCGACTGGCGGAGACCTTCCGACACCAGAGCACGATGATTTTTAGTCAGATGGCCTATCAGCAACAACAGCAACAGCAACAGCAGTTGGAACAGCAGCTAGAGCAAAAGCCACTGCCGCCACAACCCCCACCACAGGCATACCCACCGGTTTTGATGAACCAAGCGGCAGCCCCATTAGCACCGCCCCCAGGGCCATCAGTGCCTTTGGCCCCCGTTCTGGACGATGTCTTGCTGGTTGACGGCAGCGGAGGCATGCCCATGATCGATCCGCAGATGGCGGATCAACTGTATTATTCGTACAACTGGTTCCAGGAGGAAATGGCGAGTTACTATACCCTTTGAGCGATTGCATTTTATTCGATGGAGGTCAACCAGTCTATTAATGTCCAGTCATGTCAATAATGAATGCTCGAATGTTTGGAATCTCCGCCCTCAGCATGTATATCGCTAGTTCCGGTGCAGCGTCCTTGGTCGAGTTAGTATGCTCCACCCGTGTTTCGCCGTGGTTGTCGCAGTCACAGTCATTGAGTAGAGTTACCTTGTCGCTGTGATATGGTTTTCATGTATATGCTGTTTTGATTCATGCATTGCTCTCGGCCCCGACACGCGAACAGTGGAGAGTGGCACCCTGTAGCCTCCGTTAATCGGGGGTTCGTTTCCACTTCGTATACTTCTCCGTTCGTGGGCTGATTGATTGCCACGCAAGTCGCCTGTTCCTTGTTTCTCTTCCGCTCGGTAGATCAGCTGGTTTGATCTAGATTTCATGCATGGGATTTTTTCCAGAAGGGCAGCGGCACTTGTCGCCGTGGATCTTTGAGGTAATAGATCGGCTGAGCCTTTTTTAGGGCTGTGATGACTGCGATGACTGCACTAGCTACACTCGCCACCAGGCCACACGATCTCGGTTGATCGGTTACACTGACCGGATCAGATAAAACGACCCAGCTCGGCCCTCTCTTTGGTTCTTATTTACTGTTTCGATTTCTCATTAGGGAGAGTGGAGAGTGGAGACCGGAGACCGGGTTAGCCATCGTATGCGCGAGAACCGAAGGAAAAACGAGAAAAGAAATCTCAGCAAACCAGGGCACCGTAAGACGAAAACAAAAAAGCCCGCATTGTATCCACAATTCATTTCCGAGAAAAGCCAAGCAGCCAAGCGAAGCTTGAGGCGGACAAATCCGAAGCTTGTTGTGGATGACGCTTTGCCCGAATAAGTTAGTGCGCACCAGATAAGATGGCCCCGGCATCTGATTAGATCGTTCCATCGCTTGGGCCCCGTATTTACTTACCATTTTGTTACCTACCCTCCCTCTGGTGGATTCCTAGCACGGTGCAACTTCCGATCCACTTTACCACCTAGGAAAAAGATTTTCACTCGCAGCCACTGGCGCCCCCCTTGTCTTGGTCATGGTGGTCGTCTTGGTCCGCGTGTCGTGGATGCTTTCCCGCTGCCCGACTGTTGCCGATCTCGGGACCGTTGTTCTATAAGGGAAAGGATTTCCCTCGTCTCTTTTGGTTTTGCTTTCTGGTTTGACTTTGTCTATCCTTCACTTCAATTATTTCCTCCCATTATCATTCACGATGGGACTTCGCCCCTTGGTTAGAAGAGGCCGCGCCGTCTTCCGTCGCTTTCGCGATGATGAGGCCACCAGCTCCTCGGTTGAGCAGAGCTCCGTCGATCAGTCTACCGTTGTTCAAAGCTCTACCGAGGGCAAGACTGATACCGATGCCGAGAAGGTGTCGCCTATCTATAACCAAAATGAGTCCGAGGCGGACCCGGAGAAGCCCAATGCCGCTGCCCAGCATGGTGTTCGGGATGCCGAAGCCATCACCCTCACCTGGACGAAGGCTACCATGATCTTCGTATTCATGAAGTAAGTTTTTGTCTTGTTCTCATTCTTAAATCCTTGGACCCACTCCGCAGCGATGATCCAACATTCCCCGAGTCGTTGGAGAATAATACCTAATCCGCATCGCCTTCCAACAGCATTTGGTTCCTGTACTTCGTCAATGCCTTCCAGTCGAGCGTCTACGGTAGCTTGAGCAGTTATGTCGCCTCGTCCTTCCAGGAGCACTCTCTGTCTGGTGTTCCTACCGCTCTCGCCGATGCCGCCAGTGCCGCCACTTACTTGCCCGTCGGACGGATGATGGATACCTGGGGCCGTGCTGAAGGTTTCCTGGTTATGACCATCTTCGCCACCCTTGGTCTTATTCTCATGGCCTCTTGTGACAGTTTCTCCATTTACTGCGCTGCCGTGGTGTTCTACAGTGTTGGTTTCGGTGGCATGGAGTACTCCATTGACGTGATCGTAAGCTTACCCTTGCTTCCCCGCGCTTCCCTTTCTCGCGTCTAATCATATGTTCTTCCCACCTCTAGACTGCCGATATGACCAAACTGAAGAACCGAGGTCTGGCTTTCGCCTTTACCTCCTCGCCTTATATTATTACCGCCTTTGCTGGTCCTAAGGTGGCTGATCGCTTTTATTATGAGGTCAACTGGCGTTGGGGCTTCGGTTGCTGGGCGATCATCTTTCCCATCACCGCCGCTCCTCTGTACTTTGTTCTGAAGTCTACTCTTCGCAAGGCCGAGAAGCAGGGCCACCGTATCAAGGAGCCTAGTGGCCGAACCTTCTTTGAGAGTGTCAAATATTGGGCCTTGGAGTTTGATAGTGAGTCTACCAAAATGTGTAACAGCATCGACAACATGAAACTAACAGATCTTTTTTCATAGTCCTCGGTTGTTTCATTTTCACCGCCGGCCTTGTTCTCTTCGAGCTCCCCTTCGATATTGCCTCCGAGGCCCCCAACGGCTGGAGTACTGGTTATATCATCGCCATGCTGGTCATTGGTTTCTCTATGCTCTTCTTCTTCGGTTTCTATGAGGCTATGATCGCGCCGACTCCGCTCTTCCAATGGCGTCTTTTGACCGATCGCACTGTCCTGGGTGCCTGTCTTCTAGATGCTACTTACCAGCTGTCTTACTACTGCTGGAATAACTTCTTCTCAAACTTCTTGCAGGTTGTCTACGATCTCAGCATCGCCGAGGCTGGATACATCTCCAACACTTTCGACGTTGTTTCTGGTGTCCTTCTCCTTCTGGTCGGATGGGTCATTCGCAAGACTGGCCGCTTCAAGTGGCTGCTCTACATCGCTGTCCCTCTGTACATCTTTGCCCAGGGTCTGATGATTTACTTCCGAAAGCCCGGCATGCGCGTTGGCTACCAGGTCATGTGCCAGATCTTCATCTCCATGGGCGGTGCTGTCTTCATTATCTGTGAGCAGCTGGCCATCCTGGCTGCTGTCGACCACCAGCACTTCGCGACTGCTCTGGCCCTTCTCAACGTCGTCGGTACCATCGGTGGCTCCGCTGGTTACACTATCTGTACCGCCATCTGGACCAACACTTTCTACAAGGCCCTGTCCAACTACCTTCCCGAGGAGTCCATGTCCAGCATCGACGACATCTACAACGACATTAACACTCAACTTGAATATCCCATTGGAAACTCTACCCGCAGTGCCATCCAGCAAGCTTACGCCTACTCCGAGGTCCGTCTGCTTGCTACTGGTCTGGGTATCATGGCTCTGGCCATCGCCTGGACCATGATGATCCGCAACATCGATCTCAAGAAGGTTCCCCAGGTCAAGGGTATGGTCTTCTAAGTTGTCGAGAGTCGGGACATTGTATATTCCATCTCCAGCAAATCGAATTTCAATTTGCAGAATTGTTATGTTTCCTTCGGGTCCTAGAAGACTGGACTTTTTAATATCATGACGATCCCACGCTCGCCATGATCCCTCATTTGCATTTGCGTATGCTTTTTGCTGTCTAGTTGGTGTGTTTATGTCGCGCCGAATCCTGCCTTGCGGCGGGCAAAATATTTTTCTACAATAATTATACCCGCATTTTACTTTCGTTCAAGATTTATGTATATCAGTTCCTGAAATTTTTCTCTGCGTTGCTTAGCGTACTACTAGTTAATAGTATCTATCTACTAACTACATACTAGTCGATGAGAGCCATGAATACACAGATCTTCCAGGGCTTGGCATGGATCTATACCTCGCACAATGCCCAACTCAAGACCCAAGAAATTTAGATTGCCAAGATGAGCTTATACTAGTGTGCTTGGAACGCTGGCGGGCCGCAGATTTCCAAAAAACGCCACTATAATGCCGGCCGTGAGCGGGTCGATGCTAGTAACTTGCTTGTTTCTCTTGGTATCTTGGCCTTCTCTTGGCCTGCTCGGTTCATCGCTGGTTCTGTTCAGAGCTAGTGTGTCTTTTGATTGGATAGTTGAGTGGAGTGCATTTTCGAAATTTCCTGTCATTGGCAACGGGCTATACCTAGGTAGGGCTGATTGGTTTCAAAACACCGATCTCTCTTATATTCGAATAATCGCCGTTTTATTAAGGTTTCCTCCAGGGCTTCTGTCAAATAGACATCCATCTAAACAGATAAAGGTAACAAGTTCCCAGCTTCTATCCATTCTTTCAATTTTCCGGCCACATTCTTTGGGGCTTCGATGAAGACATGTTGCCAACCAAAGGTATCTTGGTTCTCTTTTCCACCACCTCGCTTCCCCAGCTCATTTGAAACCACCTCCCATTGTTTGCGCATCCCGGGACAAAGAATATCCATAAACAACCCGACATACTCCATCTCATCGCTAGTCTCTATCTGAAAAGGATAACTCTTATGCGATCCGAAAAATGCAAGCGCTAGTCTGTCATGATCGGCTTCCTTGAAATCAAGAACATGTCGATTGTTTTCGTCACACCCATCGGCTTCGCACGTGTGATATCCTGCTCGCTCTTTGGATAGCAGACGCGCCCTATAATGATCGGACCCCCCAGATATACTATTTCCCATGCCGACCGGGAGAGGGTATAAGCTCCACTCAGTTGATGCCAGCTTGGCGAGCGTTATAGGCTGGATATACCATTCGACTGGGCAATGTAGGTCTGCATCCAACGGTTGCCCGTCTCGCTGTAATCCCACATGGGCAACGAACATGTTGAAATGCCACCCCTGGGAGCAGAAATAGCGGTCGATGAGAAGGATTTGATTTTCGCCATGAGCCCATTCCCTTCGGAGGAGGAGATAGCCTGGATAACAAGGTGCGACCGTAAGCCCGGTGCTTGACTTCCGGGCCGTCTCCGCTAACGTGTTCCACAACCGAACGGGCCGGACAACCGAACGGGCCACCCCACCTAAAAAACGCGTCGCGTGTTGCAGCTCTCTTTTTCAAACCACCACCATGCCACCAATTCGTACTGCAAAAACTCAAAAACGAATTGAGCAAGAAGGCAGGATTGAACTTGCTATACAGGCGCTAAGAAATGAAAAAGTAGCTTCTCTGAATGAAGCTGCGCGCGTTTTTGAGGTACCTCGTGCAACATTGCAAGCGCGTTTCAAGGGAAGACATTATCGCCAAACCCTTCGCGCAAATTGCACAAAATTGGATGCAATTGAAGAGGATTCGTTAGAGAATTGGATATTGGATCTAGATGCACGTGGCAAGGCCCCTACCTTTGCTCTTGCAGGAGAAATGGCCAATTTACTACTCGCTCAACGTTCAACTACCCCCTCTCTTACAATCGGTATAAACTGGGTACAGAACTTTGTCAAACGTCGCGATAAGCTTAAAACACGTTTTTCACGTCGCTACGCTGCACAGCGTGCATTATGTGAGGATCCGAAGCTTATTCGTGAATGGTTTAATCAATATTGCAATACTATTGCTCAATATGGTATTCTTAACGAAGATATCTACAATTTCGATGAGACTGGATTTGCAATGGGGATTACTAGCACCTCAAAGGTTATTACCAGTCGAGAGTGGCAGGGGAAGCGCAAACTCCTACAACCGGGTAACCGAGAGTGGGTTACTGCAATTGAGTGTGTCCATCTGGATGGTGTTCTCCCTCCGACTATTATCTTTAAAGCGAAGGTATTGATGGCAGCGTGGTGTAGTACTGTCCCGAATGACTGGCGCTTTGAGATCAGTGCTAATGGATGGACAACTGATGAAATTGGCATTTCGTGGCTCGAAAATTCCTTCATTCCATACGTCAAAAAGCGTCAACATGGTGCCTGGTCTGCCTTGGTTATGGATGGCCATGGGAGTCATGTCACCCCTCAATTTGACACTATCTGCATGAAGAACAATATTGTGCCAATTTGTATGCCATCTCATTCATCGCATCTATTACAACCACTAGATGTAGGTTGTTTTAGTGTATTGAAGCACTTCTATGGTCAGGCAGTACAAGATCTTGCACGTGTGGGCTCTACACATATTGATAAGCCTGACTTTCTTAGTCTATACCCTAAAGCACGCGCAGCAACATACAAAACCTCTATAATTGCTAGCAGTTTTATGGCAGCGGGCATTATTCCATATTCGCCAGAGACAGTACTATCAAAACTTGATATTCATCCCCCATCGCCTACACCACCACCATCACATGGTAGTGATAGCAGTCGTGAATTCATACCTCATACACCATCCAAAGCTATCAATTTTCAACGGCAGGCATCCTCAATCAAGCGATTACTAGTCTATAGGGATATAACCCCTGATAATGACATATATCGACAATTGGAGCAGACTACCAGAGGTGCACAATTACTTGCACATGAGATGGTTATGTTAAAGACAACATATGAGCGTGTAATGGCCGAAAATGGACGTAAGCAAAGAAAAAAAGCTTTACCAAATAGGCAATTACCCTACGAAGGTGGAATTACAGCAGAGGACCTGCAATTGCGTGTACAAATTGAATATGAGCACCAATTGGCAATACCCCCGGCGCCACGCCGCGCAACCAGGACGACGATTGAGAGACCTATACAGCGCTGTGGCAATTGCAGGGAGCCAGGGCACAAGCGGAATAGGTGCCCAGTTGTGAATAACGCCTAGTTTTTGCAATATATTATATGGTGGTTGAGTTATATTCAATATATATCGTCGTAATGGGGTGGGGTGGCCCGTTCGGTTGTCCGGCCCGTTCGGTTGTGGAACACGTTATAAGGCTGTAGTATCGGCGGTCAGATTCAAAATCAAATATGAAGCCTCCGGTTACTCAATGAGATGATGACACAGGGAAAAATAAGCTTACTTTCCCATTTCTTTCAGGTCGCATCGCATGGCGATGGAGTGTAACCATGCGCAGCTCAGATCGGATATCCACACTTGTAGCACGCGAAGTTCTTGGCCGACCCTGTCTAGTCGTGCCTTTTTGTAATCGGTATTCTTGTAATCCCAAAACTCTTTCATCAAGGTATAGCCCTGTTCGGCGACGGCTTCTGGACAGAGGCGAGCTGCGACTGTATTGTTCATGCTTGAGAAGGTCTTGTATTTTGACAGAACGAAGCAGTAGATAATCAAGCGCAACAAGACTCTGTTGTCATACAGATCCCATTCCGTTTTGAAAGGGGAACCGAATTCTGACTCGGCAGACGAAGGCGTGGTTGGTCGACTGAGATCTGGAGTAGCTGGCGACAATGGGCTGCTATCTGCAAAGGAAAGGCATTCGAATTCCCGGCGAAGAAACTTCTGGTTGTTCTCATAGAGACATGATGGTCCCTTAGAAAGTGAGATCTCCTCCCATTCAAGTGCTTCAAGTCCCTTCGTAATGACAAGATCTTTGCCGCCAAATCCTAGTGTCTGCGGCCGTGCACCATCTCGGGTCAACGCGAGGCACACATGTTGGGCTTTTGTGAGAGTTCTTTCAAGACGGCGAATTGTCTCGTCTATCCAAACCGGTTGCAGGGCTTCACCGGTCAAGGGATGTATCGATAGTCTCCTGTGTAGAAGATATGCTTCAAAGAGCATGCCGGCTCGGAGATGACAGCCAGTATCGCCAACATGGGCATCGAATGCCAAGAATGATCCGCGTTTTTCTTCATTCGGGATGTCATATAGAATTGCACGGAATGTACATAAGGCTTCAATTCCATCGGAGGCAGCACGAGCAAGATCAGCTAAAAAGGCTGCGTACTGAGGCTTTCTCTGGCATTTTAGCCGAATTTCGAAGGTTGGAAAAAGAAGATCCGTCATGAGGGGCTAACATGAAAAAGGAACGTCGCTAGTAGTGATAGCCTAATACAAATGGAAAATTCCGAATCGAGTCACTATTATTTGAATGAAAAGGGAATCATGTTCATTATATACCTACAGTAGGTACACAATCGTCCAACGTCGAGAAGCATACTCTCCCAGCTCCAGGGCTTTCGAATGCCCCGAAACCGATCTACTGCATCGTCCGGGAAATAATGCGCATGCATCGGAATAGCCGAGCTCATCCGAGTCGGGAGATAGAGGATCTTGCGAGCCCGATTTCGCCCCTTCTTAGCTCCTCGCGTGTAATGATCGTCTAGACATAAAGGTTGCCACGAGGTAAGTTCGGGTACGCCGCTCTGACAATAGCAACACAGTATTCGGGGAAACGATATCGACCAAGGTGACACAAAACAATACTAAGTAGCCTGGCTCAAGTGAAGCTTTTTGATGCTTCAATCCTCACCGCTAATGTATCCCGCCCGGGGTCTGCAAGGCCTGCTGACTGGGTAGACGGTATTCACAAGCGCTTCGACTTGTCGATGTGCTCCGAGTATGGTATCTTGGATTGCAAAGCCCTGCCAGTGGAGGCGAGGAACTTTCCTCTCGGATAACTTAAAATCGATGAACAAGTCTGATAGGCTTTATGGGGCGCCTGTCAACTTGGCCCAGACATCACCCGTTGACTTGCTGTTTCGGGATGTTTCTTCACTACCTTGTTCGGTCTCAATGATTATCGAAATCGAATAATTGCCGTTTGCTTACATGGTGGGTAGTTGCGAGTCCAGTTTACACATTGTGCCGGTACGTGGTCTCCGATCAGTAAATAAAATGATATTAAAATAACTAAACGGCATTGACATCAACGGTCTCAGCCTCCGGTTTATTTCTAAATTCCGGTGTAACAACTAACTAGTCCGAAATCATCACTATTCTCTCCGCAATTGACACTCAACGATCGAGAGGTCGCCGAGATTGCGCCACACTTGTACAAGCTCCAGCCCCGCCTGTTCCGCGAGAAGCTCGTACTCAACACGGGTACGCTGTTTGGCATTGAGGAACGTGTAAACTTGCAAATCTAGACGGCTAGTAGGTGCATCGCCCCAATTCGGTAGAAGTGGATCAGGGGCCACTTGACTGATTTTTCCCGACTCTGTGCCCGCAGCCGTGTGGTACGTGGGACATACCATGTGCTCGCAGATCAGTAACTTACTTCCTTTCATCATAGCAGAAGCACAACCCTTCAGAATTCGAATTGCTTCATCATCAGGCCAGTCGTGGATGACATGCCTCAAGAAGTAAATCTCGGCTCCTTCGACTGGAGACTCTTTGAAGAAGTCCAGAGAGACAAAGCGTGCGTTTGATACATCAACCACATCCGAAAAGTTTCCCGTGAGATACTGAGATAATCAGCAATTATGACGCAGATAATCCAAAATCTTAAATTCCAAGATACCTTTTCAAAAAGCGGCTTAGATGCAGGTTGGTCCTGTACGGTCAAACTTAGACTTGGAAATGCCCGCAGGATGGGTAGAGTGGCCGCTCCGATGGCGCCACCAACATCCACGATATGTGCGTTCTTATGCTGGGACCACGGATAGACTAATCAAGATAAGTAAGCATTTATATCTCACAATTGTGCCATTAAAGACTTGCGACTTAGGTATTCTTCAATATTGAAGGCCTTGCCCCCCATGGCCCTTTGAGTCCTGTCGGCCATATCAGGCCGCACAGCTTTCGTGTACTCAAAATAGCCAAGCGATGTATCGTAGGCAATATTAAACGGCGACTTGGTTGTTTCCGTAGAATATTTGTACTCCGGATTAGTCATAGCATCCCAGACCTTACACGAGGCTGGACGGCAGCCATCGACACTATGGTAGAAGTCAGCGGCATAACGAGAATCAAGGTATCGAGAACGCTTTCTTACCAGTGTCCCACAATAGCTTTCCATGTTTCAGACTTGTATCTGACTGAAAGACTGTTGTTCGCGAATTTGTTTGCTTCAATCTCCCGAAAGATATGTGAATTGCACAAGTTCCGAAGAAAACGGGCTAAAACTCCACCGTTCAGCTTGGTCAGCTTGGCCAACTCGTTTATGCTAAGAGGCCCTTTTTCAAGATGGTTCGGTATATTGGCTTGACAGGCAACGAGAAGAGAGGTCTGATCATGGTATCCGTATGTGAAGTCGTTGAGGTAGATATGCGGCTCGCAGAGAGCACGTAGCATCTGTCCAGCAGATCCAATAGTCTTCAATGCGTAGGAAACATCCTGATCCTCTCTCTGATAGATTGGATGTTCCTCAATTGCATCAAGAGTAAGCGGAGGATCCTGATGCTCAGTGATTGTCGCCTTGACGACATCAATAGATGACACAACCAAATCACGCAGCAGCTCAAGCTCACGAACAGGTTTAGAGTTTGGATCCATTTTGAAACAATATGCGCGCCTTGAATGAGACACAGAGGATTATCTTGCCGATGGTTGAGTGAGATCCTTTCAGGCCACCCTTTATACCTGCTGTTCTATGCATATCATATAATACCGAGAATTGTAAACTACCCGAACGATCGAAGGTCTTCTACTACGAGTTGGTTAATATTAGGAAGATATTTTCCCGAGACCTGGGCACGAGGCTCGCGGCACAATTCCCTCCTGTGCCGAGATCGGATTCACAGTCAGCGTGGACAACCTTGATTTACAAAAGTTCCCGGCCGAAAGTTAAATGTCCGGTAGCGCTGCTCATTCTAGCTGTATATCTCACATTAATGCCCAGGTGGGGAATAAAAGTCCACGTCTGGTGAACCCAGGCTCACATATCCATTTATGGGATATCCATCATCGTATCCCTCGGCAATCCCGTCCGGTAATAGAACTTGAAAACTTTGGATGCAGGAGGGCATGACCGCGAAGCAAATATCAAATTGGAACTGAAAAGTACTTTTTTGAATACAATCTGACCTAGATTCAGTCGCTTGCGAGGCTATATGGGCGGTACCCTTTTCCCGGTCGAAGTATTTTGAAAATTTCTGCTCCACAATTTTCACATTCCCGCACGCCTCATACATCATGAAGAATAATAATGAGCTCGGTCTCGATGGCCCGTCTGTGACAATGTTTATCGTCAAGTCTATCCTCTTTGCTTCCGCCTGGCAGTTGATTCTTGGCTCCCTTGCAATTCTACTATTATCAACAATAATATTCAGAAGAAGACCCAAGTCATTATATTTTTCTCATTGCGATGGAAGAGAAATGAAGGTTTTGCCTGGTGATACTCGCTATACGCGATTTACGCACGGGTAACAAGGCCTGACTGCAAAATTGAGCATTGTAACTAATTCATGGTAGGAAAGAGCTATCTCAATCAGGAAGCAATATGTGCGGAGAAGAACCATATCTTGTCCGAAATAAATCGAGATTCGAGCTGGTTCTACATACCCCAGCTCAAATGCGTGACTTTTTCAAAGACGACGGAAAGCGTGAGTCTCACTGCTTATGAAACTTGAACTTTTCGGCCTCCACTGAATGTTTGCTTCTAAAGTTCATACTAAACAGATTGTTCAAAGCATTGGGTCCTACTTTGATAGGAGTCTAGGGCAATGTCCCGGATCCCAAAATGGCCAGCGTTGGCATCAGACGCGCTACCATCTTGAAAAATTCTTTTCGGCGACAGAGGCCGCATCTATGATCCATGAATTCAATATAGTTCTAGATTCCTGGGCAGAAACAGTACCAACGAGCTCTTTCTCGCAACAGGTTGAAGAAACAAAATTCGTCGCGGATAGTGTCGCTATTTGTAGACAATTGCCATTTCGGATGATTGCGATGTGTTTATACGGAACTATGTTGACCGAAGAAGTAAGAGCTAGAAAACCCAGCAATTTTAGTTCCTTTCTGTGTCGCTAACTATATTAGCGCTTTAATATTTTATGGAAACTTAATGAACTACATGATCACGTTACACATCACACATTCTTCGGCACGTGGGAGAACATGCCATACTACCATCTACTCCCGACGGCAGCGAATAGGATCTTAGCCGAATATGAAAAAAGATGGAAGGATTTTAATTTGGACATCGTCACCACAGCTAGAGCAGTCAGTCCCACCATTTCCTGGATGATATTGATCTCCTAACTTGAGCAGAACGATACCTCGTGCCGTGCATCCCGTATGTTCACCATTGTTGAAACGGGTGAATTGACTCTGGAGATGGTATGGAGAATACAAATCTATCGTCTTGGGGCTCCATATTGTACTAATTGGACAATAGTACCTCCAGACGCTCGATGAAATCCTTTTCACCAACATAGACGTGACTTCAGCTCAGTTCGCGTACGCTTTAATCAACACTGGCAAATGTCCAACAGCAGGAGACAAGCTCTATGAAGAAGTGAAAATCATCTCAAATTTGAAAGATGAAACAGATGAATATGCCCGACGTGAAGATACCTTTCTGCACAAAATGTACCTCGAGATATTGCGAAGTAACCCACCAATTTGTGCGTCAATGGGTATCTTTATTTCCGAGGATCTCGCAAGTTAACAAGAGTTCATTCTAGGGTTTACCTTTGCCGAAGCTACGGCAATCGAAAAGCGAATTGATGGATATCTAATTCCTTCCGGGACAAATGTCCTCATTGACATCATCAGGCTCAACAAATCGTCTCCCATATGGGGCAGTACGGGATACGAGTTCCAACCAGAAAGATGGGATAAGATTACTATCGGACAGGCGCGCTATAGCTGGCTTGGATACGGAATGGGGCCCAGGAAATGCCTCGGTAAGAACTTCGCAAATATCATTGTGAAGCTTTTCCTTGTTTCTGTAAGTCGTCACTTCATTCTAAGCGCGGAGAAAGGAGCCATTCGGATCAAACGAGACCGATTTTCGTGTGTACCCGAGCAACTAGTAGTGTTTGAGAAAAAGGAAGGGTGAGACTGGTACTCCGTATCAGTATATTATATCATTGAATTCACCCACTCGCAATCCAACTTGAAGTTTCATTCATTTCCAGCTCTCTAGTTGGAAACTAGCGAAGTACCTCCCATCAAGAACTCTAGGATCTCAATTTATCTAGAAAAAAAAGTTAAAGGTTGGAACTTGTTCAAATTATATGCTCCCGGAAGAACTCCAAGGTTCAAGCTGATATTGTCAATAATCATTCTCCCGAAAAAAATTAAAAGAAACAAAAAGATCCCAAAATTGCACTCCATCCAAAATCTAGCCTTCAAACTCCAAATTACTTAGCATTTAATGCCCATAAATACAGATCCCCCAAGAGTAAAAGTCACAAAAATTTGTCGTGCTGGTCATTATTTCGTTGACGCTGATTTAGTAGGATACCAGAGAGTGAGCCTGGAGCCTCGAGTGTCTAGGTGAACCATTTCCGGATAGACTCTGAAACAACACGTGTTGAATATCAACCTTAGAAGTTTAATCCCAGCATCCCCAGAATATCCCAGGTATTTTACACTTTGGCTTGGAAAAATGTGAAGTCGGGGATGGAACGGATGTGGAGGTAACTGAGGTCGTAGGAGTTGGTTCATCCCAACATCCCCAGAAAATTCCAGGTCTCTCACAGATTGACTTCGACGGGGATGAAATCGGAACACCAGGTGGCTCGGTGGGAGCCGGAGTGATGAGCGTTGCTGTTGGAGAGGTAGACGATATTGACGTGATCGGTGTCGTCGAAGTCGGCTCATCCCAGCATCCCCAGAAGAGTCCAGGAGTTTCGCAGTACGAGCTGGATGGAGTTGAGCTCGAAGTGCTAGACATTTGCGTAGAGGTTGTTGTAGCAGTTGTCGCTCTCGGGGCTGTAGGCGATGAGGTCGTTGCTGTCGCGGTGATAGTCGTAGCTGTTGTTTCGTCGAGACAGCCCCACCAACCGGGGGTCTTGCAAGTGGACGTTCTACTTGTGGTGGTAGATGTCGTCTTGGTAGTCGAAGTTGTCATGGAAGTAGTAGTGCTCTCCGAACCGTTACTCTGGAAGAACTTCCACAATAAGCAATCAACACACTCCTCTTCCGCCGCACAAGGTGGCACACTATCATATGCCTCGAGAACATCGGCAATCACAGGCATGATGCTATGCCTAGTCAGGCTCACTCCCCAACCTTTGTCCGCTACCGTATCATAGGTACATAGTTGACCAGTGTGACAGGCAGTCTCTAATGCATAACCACCCCATGTACAAAAGGAATTAATGCCGTTGCAACTGCCCATGTATACAGGATCAGCTGTGTGGCCGAAATGGAAAGCGCCTGTGTATTTCCGTGACTGTGGTAGTCGAGGGTCATAACCTGGCGGACTGGGTAAGCCCAGTCGAGCAGCGGGCAATGCTTCAGGTACCGCCTCGAATGTGACAACTGGGAGACCAAATGTCAAGCCCAGGAGGCTGGTCATAGCACCACCTAATGAATGACCAGTGAGCCAAACATTAGCATCGGGGTAAATCTCGGTGACATTATAGTAAAGATTAATTGCAGCGGCGTAATATCGATTTTCGTCAGACATAGCATCAATAATGCAGGTCAAATTGGCTGAATAGGTGGCTGTTTGGCAATCGCAAACCTCTCGCCAGAGGATTGATCCTCCTTGCCCACAACAGCAGCTGAAGAACAAATTATCGTTCTCTTTATCTTTAGTAGTGGTACCCGAACCATCAAAAAGGGCCGGCGAGGTTCCTTTCAAGGAAATCACCACTGTATCGTTGGTTTTATCGCTGTATACGTGACCTCTTAAGGCATCCCCTTTCCAACCAAAGCTCGATGAATAGTTGAATTTGCCACGGATATTCTGCCACCCTTCTGATCCTGGAACTTTGATATAGTCATTGGCCGTCATCCGTGCAAAAGTCAAGATTGTGTTTTTGTCCGTGATGTTCGGGCCTGGTAAGGTATCCATATTCCACGCTTCGGCTGATAGGACCGCGGGTGATCCCGAATGTGCAGCCTTCCGGTGGTTCTCGATCACTATTTTTCGTCGATCTGCAAGTCTCTGGATTATGAGCGGACTGGAGAGCGCAACCAAGGGCGCAGGTTCGATTTCAAGGTCTAGCTCAGTGCCGTCATCGGATATGCGCTGAAGATGGGTATCTGGGCCCACATCTAGCCGATCGAACCGATCGCGTTGTTGATCTATGGATTTATGGAATACATGACGAAGAGACTGGATATTATTAGCATATTCTCCTCTCGGGCATTCATGAGGCTCCTGGGCAGCATACAAACTCGTGGCTAGTCGTGGGATAATGTGGATCCGCCAGGGCGATCTGCGGAGGCGTGGGAGTTTGGTCCGCGAAACCAAAGCTAGTGGAGAAGGCTAAAAGTGTGAGGAATGATAGGAATGTGTTCCGCGAACGCCATGACCGGGGGCCACCAGGGCCTACACGAGCCATGGTGATTCCGGCGTTCTCGATGGTGGTATGTGATAACGGGCTGATGGGTTTGTAGCGTTGTAAAAAGATGCAAAGAGGTGGGAGACGGAGAGAAGCTCCAAGGTGAGGCGAGGGGGAGCTGAAATGCGGAGAATCGCTGGATTATGTAATACATAGTTCCCGATTAGGACTAGTGGGCATCATAGTTATACAACGGGTACAAGTACATAGTACAAGTAACTAGCTATCAAAGGACTATAAGAGATTGAATTAATTAGATGAGAATACAACCAATGGATTTCTGGTAGTTTTCCAGACTTATGAAAATGAGGCATGCGTCAGGCCACGATGCCCCACTGGAATTAGAGGTCTTGGTCTGAAACTATTCAGATAACTAGCCCGGAATGAAAACCATTGTTATGATAAGGGCGGTTCGAGTAGTATCCATTTAAAACAATTACATGCATCATCTGCCTAGATTTATCTGTGGAAATCTATCCAGCCGGGTCCCATTTGGGCGTTCTAGAGATGTCTGAATACTATCATCATGTACAAAAGCCAAACACAGGAAACAGACTAGAGCATGTTTCACCCAAGCATGAATCTGGATATCGGGGGGAATTCTTAAATTCTAGTTAATTCCCCAGGTTTATATAGTGGGGTTTACGGGGATCACCTCTTTGTCGGCCTATCAAGAATATCAAAAACCAATCTCAGAAGTCCCGAGACATAGTTTCGGGATTCTTTTCTTGAGAAACATTTCCAAACCATTGTTCTATGGGTTCAAGTTGGTTCGTCTCGTCTCTCTAGTAACATTATGGGCTAGTTCCGATTCCAAGCTTATCATAAATGTCAAGCTTGAAACTTCCAGAGCTTCTTTTATATTTCTACTACTAGGATCTTATGCTATCAGAAGACCCTATCATTACCCTATACTCTACCAGTACCAGTACTATACCCCGAGTCGTCAGGATGGTCCGATCATTGTGACCCAGTTTGCCGTCATCTACTAGTAATGAGTCCGGGTCCTGGGTCCAAGAAGCCCAGATACAAAGAACAGATTCAGTTATTCTATTGAAGGAGATAACTTAGGCGTTCAAGTGGTCCGACCACATCCGATATCATTCTCGCGCTGACGGAACGCCTGCAGTTGAAAAGAGCTTCCAAAGGTTGGAAAGCCGCATTGAATGTAAACCTTGGAAGGTTATGATATATACCGATTGGATCCACTATGGCAGATTTTTTGAGCCCCGAGGAGCAGTGGAGAAGGTTAGTCAACCTTGGAAGCCTGGGCAAAGCGTACAAGCCGTACATAGCGTTGATTCGGATACATGCTCATTTAAATATTTTGATCGGACTTTTGGAGAGGTCAAAAGCTTCAGAGTTAAGTAAGTGTTTCACAGACTTTCTTCTCTCTCCGATATTCTTGGTTGTCATTCTTCACGTTCATATTGCTGATTTGGTTCAGATACAAACATGGAGAAAGAAGCCCCGTTCATACGTCAAGAACCAACCCGGAGGACAAGAATAAAATTATTGCTTTGGAGCTCCAAGGACCGACCGGCTATTGTCGAACTTACCACTTATACCGCAACGGCTTTGCCACCCGCTATGCTGGAGACATCTCACATTAGACAGTCCGAGTCCCGGAGATGGCTGCTTCAAATAAGTAAATCTCGTGAATCCGGGGTGTTTCAAACTATAGATATACTGAGAATTCACCTTGTTACAAGGGTGTGCTACTAAGTTAGAATAGCTTCCTTGGAATAGTACAGTTTCGAAATTAACCTATGGGGAGTTTGATGCAGACTTCAAGTTAGACTTCGAAGGCTATAGAATACGAAAGAGTAGTTGCACTTTAGGTAATTTGTAGTTGCATATTCAGGTAGACTTTTTTAAATCATGGAACAGGGCTCCGGGGGAAATTCACGAGATACTAGTAATAATTAAGCTTAGACATGGTAATCAATTTTTTCAAGAGATTATTTTCTCATTTGCTATAATGTTATCACTTTTAAGGGTAAATTTATAAAGATCAGACACAATGATGGGCACCTCCCTTGTCCCAAAGCAGGCCTGAAAACATACTAAAGAGCTCATCGGCTCTCCTCGTCATTTTCCTGGGTAGCTTGCTTCCTCTTTTCGGCCTCTTTGCCAGCAAAAGTAAAGAGCATACCGAGGTCGTAGATGACCTTCAAGCAACCCGCGATAATAAATGAGACACCGAACATATTTTTACGGGCCAAGATTCCAGTCAGAAGCGGCCCAAGACTCTGGGTAGTTGTCTTGACAACATTCACTGCGCCCATAATTGCTGTGCGTTTATCAGATGGCAAGGCTGCTGCGAGGAATGCCGAGCGCGGGGCCACATCCATACTCTGCGAGCAAGCCCTGAGCACAAGGAATGTCAAGGCCAATGGTAGGTTATTTGGCACAGAGATAAGTGACAAGCAAATGGCGGATGGAAGATGTGTGAAAACCATCGTCTATTATATTGGTTAGCTGATGATAAAAAATAAATGTGCTAAAATTCGGTGTCACGAACCTTGATGTTACCAATACGCTTGGCAATCGAGGATGCGACCAGCATGGAGGCCGCGGCGATGATACTAGTGAAGAAGAAAATAGTACCAAGTTCACCTTCGGGAAGGTCAAACTTGCGACGGAAAAAATATGTCATCCAGGACCTGGAAAGGTTAGTAACTTGAAGGTTTGCGGACATGTTATACCACTCACAGCGAGGCCAGTCCGGATGCGAATGCATCAAGTCCGAACAATATGAACAAACTGATCATGAGCGACCACAAATCCTTATCGAGAGACGCGAATGTAGATTTCCTGGACTTCGGTGCTGCTTGCTCCTGCGAAGCGTTCGAGTCCGCCAGCAAGGGTTGTGTCTCGCCTTGCTGCTGTGGCTCGGTCTGCTCTTCCTCAGCTTCCACCTTTCTGCTCAGGGCCAGGGTGAGAATCAATTTGACCGTGCCAACACCCGCGTAGACGAAGAATATAATGCGGCACGATGGAATGAATGCCCAACCATGTAATGACTGGAGAGAGCTGATCGTCCAACCACACACAAGCTGTCCGAGAGCTGTACCAGCCGTGCCGACCAAGGAATACCATGTGAAGACGTCACTGAGGTTCTCTTTCGGCGTAAGATGCGCGAGAGTAGATTCTTCCACAGCACGGAAAGGGCCAATTTCATTGCCACTAGATATAGGTTAATGATTTGTGAGGAAAGTTGGAAATGAGGGGTAAAAACATACCTGGGACTGATGACTCCGAATACGGCAGCAGCTAGGAGAATCCAATAATTTCCAAAGAGCGCAAATACGATGCCACTGCAGGCCATCATAATGGAACCCAGGGCCAAGACAGCTTTGCGGCCCATGGAGTCAGCGAAGAGAGTGAGAAGAAAGCTGATAGCGACATCCCCAACCAAGGTGAGGGTCATGAAAAGACCAATTTTATCATCTGCGATACCGATGGCCGACAGATACGAAGCAAGGACTAAAGTTGAGCCTCCGTAGGCGAATAGGCGCACGAATCGCTGAGCACATAGAAGCTTGACGTCGCGCGACGATTGCCACATAGCGAGGAGGCCCAGCTCCTCGAGGGCGTTGGTGATAAAGCGCCCACCGCCGGATGGCGATTGCGATACTTCCGACATGATTGATTGATGAAAGAGTTGGGTCGGAAGAGCGATGAAGGGAAAGCTTAGGCGGGTGCGATCCAGTAACTAAGTCCGAACGGGCGGGTTTAACAACCTTGCCAGGTCACTGTGGAGCCAACGCCAGGCAGACGTGGAATGCGAAAAAAGCGAATTGCTGCGCTCTCAAATTATTTTGGTGTCGACTTGAGAAACGAAGAAGTGATGCACTGGCTCGGGATGATGAGAGAGAGGAAAATAAGAAAGGAGAAACTTTTGAAATCAATGAATATTCACCTTGCGGACTTCGCACCGAGTTAAATATACTTGAATAAATATGGAGGTTAGTCGGGGATTTCGGCAAACTCGCTCATATCGGTTAATTCGGGGTTCGCACTAGTCCCTCCACTCACGATGTCCAACTTTAATGAAGAGAATTTGAACTGAATGAAAATAAAGGTATATAGAGATAAAAATAGAAATAAGCTTATCTCATTGTACTCTCCTGAGGGCTCCCTCGCTCCTTCCCTCGTTATCAGATCACCTGCCTCCAGAATCCTCGGGGCTTGGCAATATTACCGGATGAGGAAATATCCGATACGCCGCTTTCTCGTTAACTCCGGAGATCGACTCTTCAAACTATACTTTTTACTTCTACCTCCTGCCCGCTCCCTCTTATCTCTTCTTCGTCACTTTAACCTTCGATATATCTTTCCTCCGCTGATCTCCCTGTTGTTCTGGAAATTTTCAGACTCAATCAGAGCTATAAACGCCCGGAAGTGGACTCCGTGTCATTTTTCACGTCAGCAGCATCAACTCTTAGTGCTTTACTCCTCGCCCCCCAACAGATGCACATTTCAGATCATTTCAGCTCTGGAATCACACAAACAACTTCTCCCGGATTCTCTCTCCCAACTTTTTAAATGAACCAGTATGGCCGACCATCACGACTTTCATCACGAAGAGAGCGGTGACCCCGCGAGAATGGTGCAACGACGCCGCCGGCCCCCACTCTCATGCACTGAATGTCGACGACGTAAGCTCAAATGCGATCGGTCACTGCCATGTGGCCAATGCATTCGCTCAAAGACTGCCGACTGCTGTGTGTTCGTTGGTCCGCAACCAGTGACTACCTCGGAGTCTTCGCACCGCATGTCGCCGCCTCTATCGCGCGCACGTCTGCCTAATGGCTACGATGACCAGTCCCAAAATTCAGGGGGCATGTTTGTTTTTGACGCCAAACTGGGGCCAAAATCAAGCTCTAGTCGCGTTTCCAAGAGTAGCCAGAAAGGAAGTAAATCTAACGAGCTTCAAGAACTTCGAAATCGCATGAGAATGCTAGAAAAAAGTATCTGGAAATCGAATGTCCTACAAACTCCCGAAGAGTCGATCTCCGATGTATACTCCGAAATCACTACCTCGCAGAATAACTCAGATGCCTTGGGTGTTGATGATAGAGTGCGCTTCTTGCCTGATGCCAGTTTCCGAGGCAAAAGAGGCAAGACACGGTACTTTGGCCGAAGCCATTATACGACAACTGTATCTTTTGTGAGCCTCCGTCCTCATATATTTGGATAGACATAATTTCAAAAAGAAATACATACTAACCAAGACTAGTTTCAAGACATTGGGACTTTCCTACGACGTGGCCGCAACCACTGCAAGGATCCCGAATACACCGACATGAAAAAGTTCAAATGTGAAATGTGGTCCCAAGAAAGCAAGGACCACCAGAGCGCTTTTCGCGAGCAAGCCTTCAAATTGGAAGAGATGGTTCCTCCACAACAAGTGGCCGACCACCTTTTACGGTTATATTTGGACACCTTTGAGACCACATTTCGCATCTTACACATTCCCACATTCTTGAAGCAATATACCGACTACTGGGCGGCTGGCCAGAAATCCGAGTCCGCATTCATCGCTCAACTACTCGCTGTAATGGCAGCAGGGAGCTGCTTCTATACACCATCTGCAGAGCAAGATGACCGAGATTCTTACCAGAAGCCAGCAATGAAGTGGATCATGGCCGTGCAATCATACATCTCTTGCACATTTGTCAGTCCGAGTATTGACTTCAAGATGATTCAGACTCAATGCCTATTGCTGGTAGCTCGCCTCGGTGTCGCCGGAGACGGAGATGTTGCCTGGGCTTCTTCTGGATCATTGATCCGATCCGCCATGACAATGGGGCTCAACCGGGATCCCTCTCGTTTTCGCAAAGCCATGTCGCCATTTTGGGCCGAACTTCGCCGGAGGCTTTGGATGACGATTGTGGAGCTTGATCTGAAAATATCCCTCGATCGCGGTGTGCCGCCATCTGTTGATCTAGATGAGTGTGATTGCGACGCGCCGTCAAACTGGGATGATAATGACATGTTCGAGAAGATGGAACACAGCCCCAGTGAGTCTACCTTGACAAACACTAGTCAGAACTTCTACCAGACAATACTGGTGAAAACATTACCCTTGCGATATCGGATCGCCCGCAAAATCAATACCCTCAAATTTAACCTGTCCTACGACGACGCCCTACGCATGGGAGAAGAGCTTCTCCGGTCAACAAAACATGCTTCTTCTTTGTTTGACGATCACGCTCCAGACATCGACCCAATAAAAGCGGCACGACATCGGTTTGCCCAGTCTCTACATCTATTCATGATGCGGAAATTTCTCCTCGCTCTGCATCGCCCGTTCTCGCTCAGTGTGGCGCGTCTTCCCAAATGTTCATATTCTCGAAAGGTTTGCTTGGAAGCTTCTTTGGACATGTTGTCTCAAATGGAACTTCCTCCTTCCCTGATAGCATACAATATCCACATATTACTCAACTGGGAAGTGGGATGTTCCGAGATGAGATATTTCACGCCGCGATAACAGTTTGCGTCGAACTCTCACTCCAGGCGCAAGAAATGAGCCAGTCGCTTGGGCCGACCATGGAAGGGGTAAATTCCAGTGTCTTGATGAGTATGGTGCAGTCTCAGCAAGGCGTCATGCTGCAAGCCGTCGATCGAACCTTGAATGATTTCGGACGACGCATTGGCCCTAGTGGCAAAGGTTGCAAGCCGTACTTTTTCTTGACCCTTATCCTAGCATCCGTCAAGTCGCGCATTAAGGGAGAGGATCCAATGTCCAATGTTGAAGCATCGTCGAAAAGAGCAGTTAGAGTTGGTCGGACGTTACTGAACGGTGTCTCATATGCAGATGCTCTAATCATTGCCGACCGCCAGGCTGGCCAGGTGAGTCCTTGTTGGATGAAAGCTTTGCCCATGCAGCCTCTGACTGACTTGACTTTTCAGACGCCAGTACTGCCTGCAAGCACGACCCCAGCGTCAGGAACATCGAATGACTTCGATCTTCCTTCACTCTTTTCTGCGGACCTGAGTGATTTCACGGTACGTGATGCAACGGGCTCCATTCTATACGACCCATTTTCTGATCTTTTACAGCCGCTAGATCTGGGTGGCTGGTTTGACAATCTGGATTATGGTGGCACAGAGCCTTGGGATGACAACCTTTTTGGGACCTTACCTTCAAGTATATGATAGCTACTGCTATATAATTTATATTAATGGGACTATAATTTACTACTAGTACAGGGGGAGAGAAGTAATCAATTCAAGCTGTTTACCTACTAGTACCATACTACTACTAGTATTTTACTATCCAGTAAAAGTATCTACCTATGTACTACTACTAATTTCAAGTTGGCCATTGGTACTGAGGTTTGAAGGGCTTTAAAGTCCGAATCTACTACTACCTACTGCTAGTGCTAGTATAGCTGTTACCTCGGCGACGAAGGGGGTTCAAGTTGGAATTGACAATCCAGTATTGAAAATATACAGAACGAAGGGGGAAAAAAAGGGAAAATAAAAAGAACCAAGGCCAGGGGTCGACTGCCAGTGGAGTTCGCTCCTTCGAAAAGGCACCACTTGGGTGTGCGGCTACGCGTGCTACCACTACACCACCTTGGCTTATTGACAATAGTTCCAATATCAAAAAATCCGAACACATAATCGGCAAAAAAGCTCCAGCTGGGGCTCGAACCCAGGGCCACCAGATTAACATTATTAGAAGTCTGGCGCGCTACCAACTGCGCCACAAGAGCGAGAATGGAGAATAAGAGCGGATATAGTGATTTATAAGCAAGCCGCTGACTCAGGTCTTAGAAAACCATTCTTGCACTAGTTAGTTAGTACTAGTAACTACCCAGGTATAACCTTGGAAGCAACCGTGACCCTATCTATATACTCAAGGCTACTAGTACTGCTACCTAGTGAAGTGCTCCAATATTCCGAGTCATAAAAAGCTTGAATGGCGTAAGGTTCTTCAATGGCATTCCCAAATGAAGTTTCCGCTCTGACATCATGATCCTTCAAAGGTTGATTGATTGGGTATATGGATGTATATATAGCGGGATTCCGACTTCCAAGGTGCGACATATCCAAAACGCACTGGCAGTCGAGCCCAACATAGTATAAAATATTCAACAAAAACGCAACAGCCACGCCTAGCATCTTCTTTTTACAATTTAGACTTCTCGTTGAAACGAGGCGCCTCCAGTGGATCGTAGGCACGAAGGCCCAGAGTATCGGATGGAATCACGCCAGCGTGTCCAGCGAGCAGGGCACGGGTATCGAGCAAACTAGGATTCAAATCCTCAACTCGCGTCGCGCCAATGAGACGCATATTCATCTCCATCTCGTCCTTCAACAATTGCATCGCGCGGTCGACACCCTCTAATCCGTACGCGGACATGGCATACAAGAATGGTCGGCCAATACCTACGCCCTTGGCGCCTAGACACAGGGCCTTGATGATATCAGTTGCGCGGCGCACGCCACCATCAACAAAGACTTCGATGCGCTTGTCCCATCCGCGCTCGCGGAGAGCTGGCATGACTTCGGCCAGGACTTCGATTCCGGAAGGTGCGGTCTCGAGTTGACGGCCGCCGTGATTGGAGAGGACGACGCCATCCACGCCAACCTCGACGGCGCGGAGTACATCCTCGACGCACTGAACACCCTTCAGGATAATCGGCATGCGAGTGATGGACTTGAACCAAGGAATATCCTTCCAGGAGAGAGCGGGGTCGATGAAGGAAGAGATAGCACGGGCTGCACCCTGGGATCGATCGACGGAGCCGTCGCCGGATTGAACGTCGGAGCCGGCTTCAGAGAACTTGGAACGCATGTCCTTCTCGCGACGGCCGAGTTGCGGCGCATCAACGGTGATGAAGAGACCCTTGCACCCGCGCTTCTCGGCGTGCTCGACGATCTTCTTTGTGATTGCGCGGTCCTTGTTCACGTATAGTTGTAGCCATTGGACCTGGTCACCTTCCTTGGCGTCAACGATTTCATCGAAGGAGCACGAGGCTAGTGTGGGGATCATCTGGACGACGTTGTGGCGGCGTGCGGCGCGGGTGAGGACAACTTCGCCCTCGGCATGGCCTAATTTGCCTAGAGCCGTGGCTGTGACGTAGAAGGGGATATCGCATTTCGTTCCTAGCATTGTTGTTGACATGTCGACGTGCTCGACGTCGACGAGGATTCGTGGGCGGAACCAGATCTTGTGGAAGGCGGCGTGGTTCTCTCGCATCGTCTGAAGATAAACGGTCAGTATATAGCCACGTAACGCAGATGGGGATGTGGGGAGATGGAGTTGCGCGTACAATTTCATCATCGGCACCACTGGAGTAGTAGGCCCAGGCGGTCTTCTTCATGACTTGACGGGCAACGGCCTCAAAGTCCATCAGGTTGTAGCAAGCGGCCAGAGGGGGCATGCGGCTAGCACGCTCCAGGCGGCCCTCTTCCTCGGGGTCAAATTCTTTCTCTTCTTGCTCGACGGTGGTCATGTCGACCTGACCGAGGTGTTTGGAGGGGTCGAGGAATTTGTCGAGGGTGTCTGGGGGGGGTGAATTGGTTCGTATGCCTCGGTCGCATCTTTGCCGGCGTACTTGAGAATGATCTTCTGGCCGCCAGGGTGTTCTGGTTATGATTAGCAATGTCACAAGAAGATCGTGAGAAATTTTGCAAGCATACCAGGAAGGAATTCGGTGACATCGTAGGCCTTGCCATGGACGATGACCCAGCAGGAATCCTTGGAGTTGTGCTCGGCGACTGCTGCGCCGGTGAGTTTCCCTTGACTCATGTTGTGTGGGGTGAGTAAAGTGACAGGGATAAGAGGAATGGGAGAGGAATATGTGAGAGAAGAGGGGGAAAAAGAAGAAAAAAAGAAGAAAAAAAAGGCAATAAATGAAGATGGTGACGTTAGGAAGCTCGGGCTAAAGGAGTCCGGGGGAGAAATCGCAAAGCTGGGGCTCTCGGCCGATTCGGGAAACCCGCAGCCAGTGACATTCCAAGTATTCCTAAGTTACTGGCGATAGTGTAGTTTTAATCGTTAAAGTACCCGAGGGTACCCTAGGCCCTAGGGTAAGCAGGATAAAGTAATAGAAGATCTGCAGTAGATAGTATACTCGTGTATACCATTTTCGATATGCGAGTATCTCCCCTCATCATTAAGGTTGAACCGAGGCTCCATCGTATTCAGGCAGAAATATGTTTCTGCCTTGTTTATTTACTGCCTTATTGCCTGACTGATAATCATTGATCATGCGATTAGAAATTCGCTGAGTCACCCATATGTCACGTGATTATATCATTCCCCTCGGAACTGTAGGAACTAAAGCAATGATCAGAATCATGAGAATAATAATGGGAAAAACTAATAACATTCATGAATTAAAAGGCTGCGTCTCAGGCTTAAATCATCAAAACCATTCCTGCTGCTTTTCTACCCTTCAATTACTGCCTCACTGCCTTACACTCTCCTTCCTCCACTTCCTCGCTGACGTCACCCGGTATCCAGAAGTAGCTCCGAGCCGGCTTCCTCCTCGGCCTTTTGAATTCTTTAATTACCATCGACTTTCGCTCTTGCTTGCTTGCGTTTTCCCCCTCAATATATTATTTTCACCATGGCGACCCTCCGAATTACCTCTACAGCATTGTCGCGCAAAGCCCTTGCGACATGCCGGCCACGACTTTATATCGGACTTCGTGCCGTGCGTCCGATCTCGCGCGTCCCCTCATTCACATCCAAATACTCTACCGCCGCTGCGAGCCCTTCCCTTGCTCCCAAAATCGAGCGCGGTGGCTCTAAGATTTTCCCCGACGCAGATGCCGCGGTGCGCGATATTCAAAGCGGATCCACCATTCTCAGCTCGGGTTTTGGTCTTTGCGGTGTTGCAGGTTCGTCAGGTCTCGGATAGCAATGCTATTCTTCAGATAGTGGAGAGCATATTCTAGAGACAGAATGCTAATTGAATATTGCTCTAAATTATAGAAACCCTCATCAATGCTATGCACCGCCGGGGCGTTGATCAATTACATTCTCTGACTGCTGTATCAAATAACGCCGGTGCCGCCGGCAAAGGAGGCCTCTCAACCCTGTCACACAATGGCCAAATAGATCGGCTGGTCCTTTCATACTTGGGGAACAACAAGGCACTGGAGAAGAAGTATTTATCGGGAAATATCGCCATTGAACTTTGCCCCCAAGGCACCTTGGCAGAACGCCTGCGCGCAGGCGGCGCTGGAATTCCAGCATTCTTCACTCCGACCGGTGTTCGTAAGTGATATCGAGACAAGCACAGCATATTCCCAACTCTGACGGAAATTTCAGATACATATATACAAGAAGGGAAGATTCCTGTTCGCATGGATGAATCCGGCAAGGTCCTGGAATCCGGAAAGCCCCGAGAGACCCGCGACTTCAACGGCAAGACATATCTCATGGAGACAGCTTTGACTGGGGACGTGGCTATATTGCGGGCATGGAAGACCGATGAAGCTGGAAACTGTGTTTTCCGGTAGGCGAGTTCCGCGATCTCAGACAGGGGACAAGACTTACATCGACTAGATACACTACCAAGGCTTTTGGCCCGATCATGGCGAAGGCAGCCACGTTGACCATTGTGGAAGCAGAGAACATCGTTCCAGTTGGCTCTATCGACCCGAATGATGTTGACCTGCCCGGCATCTTTGTGGACCGTATCGTTCCAGCCACGGATGAGAAGCATGTTGAGATCATGAAGCTGCGTGAGACTGAGGATTCTGCCGAGTCTGCTTCGACCAAAAATGCGGCACAAATTGAAAGAGAGCGAATTGGTCGTCGCGCAGCTAAGGAACTGAAGCAAGGATTCTATGTGAATCTTGGTGTTGGTAAGTATTAACCATTCATGCTAACTGCTTTCTGGTCACTAATCATTGCCAACAGGAATTCCCACTCTCGCCCCGTCATTCCTACCTAAGGATGTTAAGGTCTGGATTCAGTCTGAGAACGGAATCTTAGGCATGGTAAGCTACAACCCAATAAAAAAGTGACGTGTAGTAGCTGACTTGATCAGGGAGCGTATCCAACCAAGGATGAAGTCGATCCGTAAGTTACCTTTACCTTTCATGCACACATAACCTTTCTCACAAAATCGCAGGGATATTATCAACGCAGGCAAAGAAACGGTGACTCTGGTCCCCGGTGCCGCTACATTTGATAGCACTGAATCATTTGGCATGATTCGCGGTGGCCACGTTGATGTGTCAATCCTCGGAGTAAGAAAGTCGATTCTCCCATCGAGATCCTTTAGCTAACATTTTGTCAGGCTCTGCAAGTAAGCGCCAACGGCGATTTGGCTAATTACATGATCCCTGGAAAGGTATTCAAGGGCATGGGTGGCGCTATGGATCTCATCTCCAACCCAGATCAGACCAAGATTGTGGTTGCAACAAGCCATGTGGCTAAAGATGGGTCACCCAAGATTGTACAGAAGTGTACCCTGCCGTTAACTGGAGCCAATGTCGTCAGCACGATTATCACAGATTTGGTATGTTCCCTCTGTAGCGAGAAATTTGAACCTCAGAACTAACAGTGTTTTACAGTGCGTGTTCCAAGTGAACCGAGGCACTGGAGAACTCACCTTGACAGAACTGGCACCGGGTGTAGAGGTTGAAGAGGTGCAGAAAAAGACAGACGCAAAGTTCATCATTGCCGATTCGTTGGAAATTATGGAGTAAGGATGGAAAGGATGACTTGAATGTATTTGCACATTATTGTATAGAGATTTCCCTCATCTATTTGCAACTCTTTGAGAATTGGTCTAGTTTCACCCATATCAAGCAGAATAAATTTCGCATTTTTTGGATATTTTTAATTATTTGATTCGAAGACAAGCCCATTCTGACAAGCCCATTCTCTCAAAGGTTCCAAGGTTACTTTGACTCACTAAATGCAACATAGCACGCGAACAGCATACTTGGCTACTTCTTCATTGCAAGCAGAAACCCATCATAATTCTTCTCTCCCACTGTCTGGATTGCTGTTGCGTCGACGGTCTCCAATTTCCCAATTGCCTCAACCAAGTCCCTTGTTCCCTTGATGCGGTCATCCTTCTCAGCTTCCTCGGCAGACGAAACCTTGCCATTTCTCACAACATTATCAACGATAATAACCGCCCTATCCCTAGTAATACCCATCGCAGCATTGAAATAGGCCAGATTATCCTGCTTATTCGCATCAATAAACACGAAGTCAAATTCCTTCCTCTCGCCTCTCTGCACCTGCTCCTCGATCTCCCGGAGAACATCAACTGCCAATCCTTGCAAGATTTCAACCTTCTCGATCAATCCGGCCTTTTCCAGATTTTGCCTCGCTACCTCAGCGAAATGACTATCCAGCTCGATGGTAGTCACTTTGGTCTCGGGACTAGTGGTCGCAAACCACGCGGCGCTGTAGCCACCCAGTGTGCCTACTTCAAGGATGCGCTTTGCATTGCACATACGGGCCTGAAGCATGAGTAGCTTGGCTTGCGATGGAGAACAGGCTATGTCAGGGAGGCCTGCGATCAGAGAATTCTTGCGGATTACTTCTAAGCTATCGTTGTAGCTTGCTGCATGGAGATGTGCTTTGAAGTAGTCATCCACCGCGGCCGGGCGGGGATCGTTGTCCCTTGGTCGGGCATCGTAGGCATCGTGGGTTGAGGTATAGGTGACCTGCGCCATAGTGTATTTAATTTCGATGAACTCAGTGGGTTTGGAAACTTGGGATATCTGTAGAGATTCGAAGTGAGATTCCGAGTTCAATTTGGGGAGTGAGTCACTGCGGGAAGATGAGGACTCGGAGGATAATCATTTACGAGGAAAGTGGGGATGTGACACTATATTGGTATGAAGAGCGGGTGATCATGTGAGTATGAGTGCACATGGAACTCTGACGAACATTGTACTACGATGATATGATCTTGCTGAAAAAGAAATACAGAGACATAGTAGGATTTATGAAATAGGAAGTCATGGACTTGGGATGGGATGAACTGACTATTCAGGACCCCCGCGACTTCGAATTTGATTCCCTAGTCCTCATCCAAATTGAAGGTTTCTATTCACAGTAAACTGCCCTGATGTTGGTCTTCCCGTTGAGGCTCCTCTGTCTCCATCTCTACTATCTATAGCCATCTGGTAGCTATCACAGGCTCTCAAATCCATACTTCACCCAGTCGCGCTCCACTTGAGCCTGAACATCCTCAGGGTAAGACCCCCGGAAAGAGCCCACTTTCCAAGAAAGTTCCTCGTCTTCGAATTCCGAAGGTAGCATGCAACATTTGACGACCTTTTTATGATTGCGCGCAGCCTTGGTTCCGTAACCCACATAAGGGATCAGTGGAATGTTCCCATACTCATCAAACAGAAATTCGCTTGTGCCAGGCTCGCATCGTGTCGATTCGGCCCAAATAACGTCACGGAGGTCTGTTGGATCGACATCTTCTCCAACAAGGAAGATCTTGCCCATGTACCAACCTGGCTTTGAGCCAAACACCACATGGCCGACTTTGTTGCAGAATTCGGACATGTTCGTTTTCATTCCCAATAACTTTTTGCGATCCACTTGCAGGACATACGATATAGCATGAGATTCGAACGGACACCAAGCATTCTGAATAGGTAGGCCTGCACTTTGACAAATGTGCAAGACTTCCGCAACGATCATGACAGCCCACACGGTGTGACTTTCCTCAGTTGACCTTCCAGTTATACAGATCGGAAGAATTGGGTCCTCGCGATAGGTGATGGCATTCACTTTGAAGAGAGGGCATGGCTTAAATTGGTTCGGCCAAACGTGCCCATGGTATTCCATCATAGGGCCCTCAGCAGCAGTTTCTGTGATAGAAACAGTTCCTTCGAAAACAAACTCGGCATTTGCTGGAATCCGGATATCGTTTGTTTCGCACTTGACGACTTCAAGGGGGTTTCCGACAAGAGCACCGATAAACCCAGCTTCATCGGTCCACTTTGGTATCGGCATACCGCCGACCATGATGGCAGCTGGGGGTACACCGAAGCATAATGCCCAGGGCATATCTTCACCCTTGTCTTTCCACATCTGGTAGATCACGCCGATATCTTGCTTCGGGATGATAGGACCGACAAGGTTGCGCTTATCGTGCACCATACCCCGAGTGATCGACCAGTTTGTCCAACTTTCATCCGGTGTTTGCACAATGTGCATACCAAAGGTCTCGAGAAACTTTCCTCCATCATGCTGATGTAACAAAGGGGTCGGGAGAGTTGTCAGATCGATATCGTCTCCGAAGATCTTGTGCTCTTTCACAGGACCAGTCGAGACCTCGTTTGGCTTCAGCGGCTGGAGACTTCTAGCCGTATTGATCTTGTCAATGATCTCACTTCCCGATGCTTTGGAGGGCAAATTGAGGGACTTCGCGATCCGACCAAATCTCTGGCCGGGAACGCGGCTGAGCCCGACTGGTGCACCGAGCACACGAAAGAGGCCATTTCCCTGTCGACCCTTGATCTTCTCAAATAAAGGGGCCTTTTCCTCGGTTTCATATACCCGCCGTGTGATAGCTGCTAGTTCCATGGCAGGATCAACCTCTTCCTTGACGATGAGAAGGTCATTTTCATCTTGAAGCTCTTTGAGGAACTGTCGAAGGTCCCCCGCTGCGGTTGGAGTAGTCATGATGGGCAAAACACGCAAAAAGAAAGATTTGACGAACTAGATTGATTCAGTGCTTTATTAAAGACACTGTTATCTAATACAGTAACACTATGCACCAGTGCAGGATTTAACCTCTATTTGTGACGCCTTGGGGACAGTATAGTATTACCCCAAATTGGAGTGTCCCAAAAAAGTGTCATGCTCCAATTTGGAGGAAACTGTCCATTTCCCGCGCTAGGCTTTCAAAAAAAGGAAGTTTTTCGAAGTCTAGCGATACTATTAGATCAAGACTTTTACCTAAGAGGACCGTTTGCTAACTGGCATTGGATGGTGGTGTTCGTATAGCCCCGTTTCGAGAAGCGGGGGTCCCCGAATTGGAGGAAGCGAACTATTTCTTGTGTAGCCCCTGTGTCAAGCATGATTTCATTTAGTTAATGAAGAATATATTCCTGCAAAATAACTCTCACTGAAATTCAGCTACCAATTTTACATTATGGATTTTTGTACATCTCGGGGTGACCATGCCCCATCACCCGAAAACAACACACATCTTGCACCACCACGTCGCAAGATCATCGTTGCTTTCACAGGCGCGACAGGATCAATCTTGGGAATCCAAACACTCATTGCCTTGCGCCGTCTCAATGTCGAAACGCACCTCATTATCTCCAAGTGGGCAGAAGCTACTATCAAATACGAGACCGACTACACCATTCTCAACATCCGGGCCCTTGCCGACCATGTCTATAATATCAACGATATGTCTGCTCGAATAGCGAGTGGATCCTTTCGAGTGGATGGAATGACTGTCGTCCCATGTAGTGTGAAAACGCTTGCCTCGATCAACTCAGGCATCTGTGACGACCTCATCTCCCGTGCTGCCGACGTGATATTGAAAGAACGGCGGAGGCTGGTTCTTGCAGTAAGGGAAACGCCACTGAGCACAATTCACTTGCAAAACATGCTTTCCGTGACACAAGCTGGCGCTATTATTTTCCCACCGGTACCAGCATTCTACATCAAGCCATCCTCGGTGGAAGACTTGATCAATCACAGTGTCGGGAGGATGTTGGACCTTTTTGACCTCGATACGGCTGCTTTTGAGAGATGGGAAGGGTGGAAAAAGAAGTGACTCGATTCCTGTTAGATAAGATATTAGGCGCCCTTGACGAAAAGGCCTTGGGTATGTATTAGTATGATCTAACTTGAATGGATAAGACGGTAGCTACGCAGATGAGATTTTGCATTCGGAGCCATAGTCAAAAATAATTGTCTTATACATGTCTAAATAGTTGCACCGGTGTAGGCGCTAAATCAAATCACTTCAGACTATTAGCTAGAATAGATAGGGAGAACCACAGCAATATGTAGTTATTGGCTCCCAGGCGCAAAATTCGATCCATGGCCATTTCCGATCGCCTCCACGATTGAATCTACACTATTCAAGATCCAGGTGTTACCCTCATCACTCGCTAGCCAACGAGCCCCCTCCTCCGTCTCAACATCGGTGCTCCAAGTCCCATCTTCAAGAGCCTTGCGTAAGCCAAACACATGTGAGGTCACCTGTGGCCCGACTCCTGATTGCGCACGCAAGCATGAGACAGCAACGATCGAAGTCAAAATACGACCAATCTGGGCACCGGTGGACCGGACGGGATCGGAAAGTAAGGCGCCATAGTGACTGTTCAAAATATGAACCGGGAGATCTGGATGGGAATCTGCCAGTTTATTGTACAGTTTTCGCTCGTATGGGTGGTAAATTGAGTCCCATAGCGAGATTCCACGACAAGTGATACTAGTTATGTTGTTCGGGACCGGGGCGCGGGTCGGGGTAGTTGAGAGCTTGCTGCTCACAGAGTCCGGAAGGTCGGCCTTAAATGCATTGAGACAATTGATGGTGCGTGGTATACCGTTAAAACTGATGCACTTCAAGCCGACCTCGCGAATCAACTCAGCGGTTTGCATGGGCCCAGAAGATGTCGCCGCAAGGCAATATAGGGCGGCGAGGGATTCGGGGGGAGTTCATGGTCATTGTAGCAGCGGCCTATGAATCTTGAGTTAGCACGAATGACAAAAGAATGGATTGGGATTATTTGATACCGACAATGTCAGCCATGAGTGGTCCGACAAGCGCTTAGCGATGGCAGTCTGTTGGATAGCTTGATAGACTGAGGTAATGTGCGCTGGTGCGGGAACGATGGAGGGGCGTGCCGCCGGGGAATTGATGAGGGCCTTAAGAGCGGGCGACAATTTCGACATGGTGGAATCAAGCTTGGAAATTAGGACAGAATGCTGAAGATGGGGATGATATTGATGAGTCTTCCAAGGTTGACTTGAACTCGAGTCGGGTTATAAATGAGAGCGGCGCGGTCGGCATTCAGAAATAGAGCCGATCCTCGGCAAAGGAAATAACCACTTTCCCTTTGCGATCTCAAAGGCTTGATCAAAAGCTTGAGCCACATTTTAAGCTAGAAACATTATATCTTTGTGCTAGTACCTAGAGTTTCCAAGGTTGAGTCACGACAAAGCCTACGTAATAATTGGGAGGCCACACTCTTTCATTTCAAGGCTTGATTGTTCTGTGATGAGGGAAGTAGAGCAATGAAACCGCCAATTCCTTTTGTCATGTCTGTAGGACGGGGCAGAATTTTTTTTTCTTTGATCTATTTTTATTTTCACTCAGGATTCAAAGGGTCACGTTAAGCTCGCCTCAGAGCAAATGTTACCTGGGTACCTATGTAACAGAGTAGGAATCTATCGGGTGTTTAACAATACATTGCGGCGATCTCCACTCCGAATATCAAATTTCAAAGCACTGGCAGCCTTTAGTTCCTTCGATCGTATCATTGCCTCGTGATATTCACTGCATATTTGCTATGCTTCCTGATCTGTGGCCCATATATGTAGAGAAGATAGGGCACGCAGGTCATAACGGCACTGATTGATCCAAGTATCGATAGCGTGTATTGGACACCGATCGACCTGTATATCGGACCGCCGGCGACAGTTATACCCCCTGCGACAATGTATCGCGTGAAAACCAAGAACCCGAGGGCGGACGCTGAGTAAGTATCATACGAATCGATGAGATACATGTATGCGACGATAAATATTGTCGTGATACCGTAGCCAAAGAAAACGGACGCAACAAGGGGAGACCAGATGGAAATCGAAGGCTACATTTCAAAGAAGACAAAGGTTAGCGACGTTGTAATTTGAAGGTATATGAATGACTCACATTACTTGTCCATCCCATCCAGAATAAACTGATTGGTACTGCTGGCGCACCACCAAGCATTGCATACCATAGTCTGGTCTCAGGAGCGATGGTCGAATCGTTCCCACGCTTGTACTCCTTTAAAGTCCAACTGTAAACAATTGGCACCACACAGATAGGGAGTATCGTCCCAATCAACATTCCAGCCCAGCAAAGACTAGTCAAGCCTTCGGAGATGCCATATGCCTCACCAAAAATGTACGTATATCCCTCAAGAAAGGTAAAGAGGACAATATACATAATAGTGAGGTAGAGGGACATCAGAATAATGATCAGTTCCGAGTAAAACATCGCAAACGGTCGGGATACGGAAATCCGCAGACGCTGGCCTAGGCTCTCACGTTTCATCTCCATTGGAGCCCTGTATCTCTTGTCACCCGTCTCTTTTCGAAGTATTTTTGCTTTCCACTGTAGAAGCAGATTGCCATAGGTCTCCGGTTGGAAGATAAGAACCACAACCAAGACTAGACCTCCTAGGACAAGCATGATCCATTCCAGCCATCTCCACCCTAACGTAGTTGGGATATAGCTGCCGATAATTTGACCGATCATTGGCCCCGTGAACGCGGGTATAGCGTAGAGAGGGAAGGCATATGACTTTTCGACTGGGTTCCACAAATCTGCGACGGTGCCTCCGGCACAACTAAGCGGCGTCGAGGCGAAGAATCCGGCAAGAAAGCGAAAGACAAGGTGGCTTTGAAGGTTTGGGGCCAAGCCCGATGCCATTATAAAGATGAGGAAGACAAGCATCGTAATAAGATATATGGCATTGCGACCGAATGTTTCAGAGAAGGGGCCAGACAGCAAGGAGCCACAGGCAAATCCAATAAGAAAGAGACCTTTGATCGAGGTTGAAAAGTTAGTTGAAAAAAAAATTGTCACTGAAGAGTACGAAGGAAGAATGGTCTACCTGTTGCGAGCGATCCAACGACCTCAGATATTTGGAAGTATTCGCTATATTCCCTGATGCCACAAGCATCGATCGCAGATGCTGCAGTGACCGCAAGTGCTATTAGAGACACCAGGAAAGTCATGAAAAGTTTCCGCTTAACGCTTTGATTCGCAGGATTCAAAGGATCATCCTTGCCATTCCATCCCACAAGAATGAAAGCATCAGGGGCGGCAACCTGTGGTGGCGCCTGCTTTTCCAGGTCATTGTGGGTATTGCTATGAATATTCAATTTGCACCTAAACGGAAAAGGTCAGAAATCAGGAATCAGAATCTAGTGAGATGGAACGCACCTTGACTCGTGGGAGGATCCGATCATGTACTCGATGCAAGTACAGCTTTGCTTCACCTCTGATAGCTGTTGGCGAACAGCTTTTTGTATTTTTCGGTATTGAAAATAGCTTTCCATTGTGGTCAGACACGGGCACCGAGATTGAGTTGAGTTTTAAAGTTAGAGACCGGAACTTATTTAAACAACTCATTTTCACTCGCTAGTTAAGAAAAAGTGACAATTAGTCAACTTTTGTCTAGGTCCTGGAACGCTATGTATGCAACAGTCGGAGATGATGCCACAGGTGGAGACCATATCTCCGACTGCCCACTCAGCATTCCCGATCTCCATCTCCTTTCTCCCGTCATCCCAAATGGAAATGCAGAAAATAGTACAAAATATGAATCAACAGTCTTCAGGGGCGTGGTTTCCGATACCAGTCTTATCAGCCCTTTTTTTGGATCGGTAAAGTAGTTTTTTTTAGTGATGGAAATGGAGAGTTGATATCAGGTGACCGCGATGCTTCTCTACCCACACCTTGGACAGCTTAATTTTATTTTCTCTTTTTTTCTCCTCAAGTTCGTCAGCTATGCTATTATTTTCCTGGGATTTTGGTCTTAGTAGGTCAATATTCGTAAATTTGTTGAGCAAGATATGTAAGATGCAAAACTCTACAGCCTTCTCCGATGCCTCGGACTTAACGTGTGGCGAGAGGATCCACATTTCTCCGAACTTGCCAGCCTTCATGTTATCCCTTCATGCTATCTCCGATCAACATCTTTACTGACTCGCGCCGGTCTTGACTGTTCGGATTCGTCTACCTTTTCAGCCGAAAATGAACCGAAGTCTGCCACATCCTACAACGCCAGTAGGTCACAGTCCCGGAGTTCACCGTCGGAAACGCAAACCCGTGAATTGTGAGCAATGTCGACGCTCTAAATTGAAGTGCGACCGTCAACATCCATGTGCTACTTGTAAACGACGCAACCGTGGCGATGCCTGTAATTACGAGGTTCCATCTGGATATTCTCAGACGGGAAGCCATCGCCGAAACCCCGGAACTCTGCAGTCGAGAAGCAATACCGCGGAGTTAGGATCTTCACCGTTAGGTGAGAACATTGCCACTGCCCCATTATTGGGGCTAAATAATCCATCGCTGGCCCCAGACACCAGTGTAGTGCCCTCCGATGGTCACTGGGAGACGGTACTCGAAAGACCTGCACCAGAAGATGGCACCCAAGGCACATTGTCGCCTCTCTCAACAAGTCCACGTATGCCTTTACAAGAACTCATTAATCCACTACCACCAAAAGCCTGTTGTGATTATTTGATATCCCATTTCTTCCAACTAATACATCCTTTGTTTCCAATTCTCCATGGCCCAACCTTTCAGGCTCAGTACGCAGCTTTTTTTACACAACAACCCCAAACCCATCAAGTCGATCTTCCTTGGCTGGCTCTACTATTCTCGATGTGTTCTTTGGCACTGAACACGATGGACGCGAGCGACCCAAGACTACTATACATATGGCCAACCATTTCCGACAGCCCGGCCCAAGATTTCACGACAACATCTGTGTCTCGCAGACTTTTACAAGCCTCGATGACTTGCCTCTTACAGGATCAGTTCTTCATCAGGCACAAATTCAGCACATTTGAGGCCTTGTTGATGCTGATTTACAGCTTGTCACATAATGAATCCGTTGACCAAGGATGGGCATTATTGGGCATGGCGTTAAATATGGGTATTGCACTACGGTGCAATGCGGAAAATCGGGGCCTGAACCCCATAGAAACTCAGAGAAGACGGCGCTGCTGGGCTGGCCTATTGACATTGCATACATATCAAGGAATACTCTTTAGGGATGTTGACATGTCGTTTTTGCTCGATATAAAGGCCACTATGCCTGCTGATGTCAATGATCTCGATATTACCGAAGGCGGAATTGCTAATTCTCTCGGCCAGCCTACCCAAATGTCGGTTATGATGGCTAAGATTCGCCTATTTCGGCTATCTACTCATATTTGTCGCCATATCTCTGGCCCCGTGCGACTTGATCAAAGCTTTCTGCAGGAATTCAACTCGGATATCTCTGAGGAGCAAGCAAAATGGGACTCTACTTATATGATTGATGGATCTCCGAATATCCTGGATCCAACTGCATACGGATATTGGTGTGTCTTGCAAAGCTATGCGCATCATCTTTACCTCCTTCTGCATCGTCCGTTTCATCATACGAAGTCACCGTACTTTCTCCCAGAATCGAGAGAAAGATGTCTCAATTCTGCCATGGAAATGATCTCCATTCATCAACAGATCTACGAAGCCCCACTGTTACGAAGCTTTCTCTGGCTACTGAATGGAGTGACGGGTCTGAAGGCACTCCATGCCGCTGTGGCCCTCAACTCATGTCTTCTCGATAAGCCATCAGGTAATCTGGAACCCCATCGGAAGGCAATACAAAGGCTAGCCCAACGTATGGAAAGTCTTTCCAGCCGAAGTGCAATGTGCGCGAAGTCTTATGAAATACTTTGTCATCTGCCGTAAGTCAATCTCTATCTATACTGAAGCGAGTCTGCTAAAATTTCTTCACAGAACCCAATCCACTAGTACGGCCACCGCTCAACCGCCTTACTCGGCGATTCAATCCGAGAATACACTTGATGACTGGACTGATATACGTGAATGGATGGACTCTGATTTTGTCAACTGGGTACCATTTATTTCTTGACATTGCCTTGAAAATTCACGCTAATTTCTCTGCCTTTTTTAGAACTTAGACGGTGCCTTCACCATCTTTGCTGATTGATGTATCGGCTCTTTGGGAGATTACAAAGCCCAAATTTTGTGAAGACTACATGATTATTCATTGGCTCGTTGAACAAACGATCTGAGGGGTGGCCCGAAGTATCCAAGAAGGGAAACAAATCTTTCATTGGTCGGGAATATCAAGTCCCCATTCCACATCTTGTCATAACCACCTATCGGCAGGTGCAAACCGCTCCTCGGTGCACTTGAACGACGTCCTTAGAGTCCACACTGTGGACACAACAACGTACCTCGCGGAATTGAGTATAGTATGAAGAACACGCCCTTTCGACCCAGACGTTCTTATATTTAGTTTGGGAAAATTCTAGCATCCTCGAATAGGGAACGTCCCTGACAATTGTTGATACTTGTCATGTCATCTTCTTTACTATATACCGCCCCCCCTAGGCGCGCCGAGTAGATTGTCGATTGGAAGTATCAAGCTGATCAAAGACACAATTTATTTCTACTAGTCCATTTTTTTGGGTATCTCAATGTTCGATTGTTTCTTAAATTCAGGATAAAATATGGTCAGATACTCAGCGAGCTTCTGTGAATCAGAAAACTCCTTTCACAATCCGTCATTGCTTTTCATATCGTTTTTATTGATCTTCGTAGTCTTTTTGCCTGATATTCCACCGTCAACACAGCCCTTGTAGTTCAGCTGTACGAGAATTTCAGCGGTAATATCAATCAGATCCTCGATTCAGGCCGCGTCAAAGCAGTTGTCCAAGCAAAAGACCAATTGGAGATAGCAAACCGATCAAAGCTGCATTCTATCTCTGCCTGCCCCCTTTCTTGAGTATCTCAACATGGTATTATTTCGTATACTCAATATGCTGAATTATAAAGCACTCATAGAGCTTTCATGAACCAGGAAGCTGATCTACTTCTATAATCATGAATATGCGAAACCCTAATTTCGGTTGACACAGTGTTTTGACCGCCGTTTTCATCAGTTTCTTTCGCATTTCTAGATCTTTTTAGCTCGGAATTAGTCGTTAAGAATGCCCCTATAGCACAGTGGTAGTGCGCAGCACTTGTATTATGAGTTCTTTTCCATGAAAAGAAGCTATTCTTCGCAATGCTGAGGTCCATCGTTCAATCCGGTGTGGGGGCAGACTCTGGTCTGTTTTTGTCTTTTTCGCATGCGGGAATCATCTGGGCCCAGGTAGAAAAGTAACGTGACTCTAGAGTGGATGCTTTTAGGGGTATGAGCCAATTAGGGCTGGTTTAGGGGATTCTATTCTGTATCAGGTTATTTTTCTACCGATGCTCAGGTATGCCCTGTCGCATGTCAAACTGACTTAACCTAGTTCTGTCTTGTTCTGATGTTGAAGTATCTTGTTCGAACTCGCGTTTGTGCATTTTCTCGTATTTTTCGGAATTTTTTGGCACCGCAGATAGATAAATTTCGTTGGATGGGATACAGGTCGATATTGGCCTCGGCATGACTGGCCGGAGCCCCATATTTCCCCGCCCGAGGCTCGGCCCGATTGGCTCACCAGGCCGGGAGTGGGGTAATTAAAGTGGGGTAATTAATCAGCATCCACGTGATCTCAATACACCCGTCGCATTGAGGCATCAAATTCGGGCACTACCTTCAGGTAAGGCATCAACTATCCTTATCTTATCGCAACCCACTAAGTTTCCCTGAGTGAATGGCCTGGAGGGCTCGGACTTCGCACCTTGACCAACTCCATGCAATCCTTCTTGCTGCGATCTCGTGGGTTTAAGTTTCTTGGATTTTCGACACCTTTATCAAATCGACTCATCTCCATGTCGGCCGATCCCCAGCCCAAACGGATGCCCTCCGCATTGACTTTGCACCATCACGCGAAATGCTCGGTATGCCATGCGATGCCTAACAGCAATGCCCCTCTTCTGCAGTTTGGGACTACGACTGACCCAATCCGCTTGTTATTTATTTTTGATAGACCACCAAAGCACGCGCATCCACTCTCGATCTCCCTCATGGCTCGGTACCCCTACCAATCTTCATGCCGGTCGCGACGCAAGCCTCTCTCAAGGGCCTCACATATGACCAACTACGAGATACCGGCTGTATGCTTTGTCTGAATAACACCTACCACCTCGGCCTCAAACCTGGCCAGGAGGTTCTCGATTCCGTCGGTGGAGCGCATAAATTGCAAGGCTGGGACCGCAATCTCTTGACAGATAGTGGAGGGTGAGATCACGGCCATTCTGATTCAGTGACAGTACAATCAACAAACTGACAATCCATGCGATACATAGCTTTCAAATGGTCTCCCTCTTGAAGCTAGCCACAGTCACCGAGGAGGGTGTGCGATTCCTCAGCCCACACGATGGTTCACCAATGTATGACAACCCCGCCCCCCGCAATTACACCTCCATTGCCAACCCCAATTGAAACAATCAACTGACTAGTACCAGGCTCCTCACTCCAGAACACTCGATCTCGCTCCAGAACTCCATCGGCTCCGACATCATCATGCAATTGGATGACGTGATCGCGACAACATCCCCGGACCATGCCCGCATTAAGGAAGCGATGGAGCGTTCAGTGCGATGGCTAGATCGGTGTATCGATGCGCATAAATACCCTGAGACCCAAAACCTCTTCTGTATTATCCAAGGTGGTCTGGACCTCGAGCTTCGGAAACAATGCTGTGCTGAGATGGTTGCCCGAGATACCCCCGGAATTGCCATTGGAGGTTTGTCAGGTGGTGAGGCCAAGGAAGAATTCTGCAAAGTGTATGATATCCCTCACCTCCCTCATAAGCTTTCTGCCGCTAACCATCTCGAAGGGTCGATACCTGCACTAGTCTTCTTCCGGAACACAAGCCCAGATATGTTATGGGTGTAGTACGTTGGCCCTCATTCGCAACAATTGCGATCAGACCTAACCCTCAGCTTTAGGGATACCCCGAAGATATAGTTGTTGCAGTAGCCCTTGGTGCGGATATGTTCGATTGTGTCTGGCCAACTCGAACAGCTGTGAGTTTTTATCTACCCGAATGTCTACGCACTTTTCTAACAATGCCAGCGCTTCGGAAATGCCATCGTCTCCGCCGGAACGATAAATCTGCGGAACAGTTCATATGCCAATGATTTTAGCCCGATCGAAGAGGGCTGTACGTGTACATGCTGCAGGCCCAAAGATCAAGGCGGCCTTGGACTCACCAAGGCATATATGCATCACGTTACCGCTAAGGAAACAGTTGGCGCCCACCTGTGAGATGATCCAATACCACCCCCTTTGCATCGAATACAAATTATAAATGCTAACAATACATCCAGTTTGACGGTGCATAATGTTCACTACATGTTGACTTTGATGGGGGCCGCTCGGCAAGCTATCATCGAAGACCGATACCCTGCCTTCATTCGCAAATTCTTCTCCGATATCTACCAGGGCGATAAGACGAAATATCCCGAGTGGGCCGTGGGTGCTCTGCGGGGCGTCGGAATGGACTTGCTTGAAGATTAGTTTTGAGCCGGCACATGAAAGACGATTCTACTTTACAGGAGCTTCACCTCCGATTCCCATCTCATTCCTGGAAATGAAAGCACAGGCTCTTACCGACGCCTTTTGACGATCTCGATACCAAATGGCTGTTATAGTGACTGGTCTCGTTCGTCGTCAACGGTGGATGGAGAAGTTCACCTATCTTGGTCGAGCTTTGCCGAAGTCTCTTCGTCTGATTTTAGTGGCGGGGCACTGGCAAACAGCGCGGGCTGTTACTAGTATCAATCGACTGATGCTGGTCTGGGACCTTGCGGCTCCGCGCTCTGTCCACCTACACGGCACTTGGCAACGAGTGGGTTCGTCTATCCAATGGTTTTGATATCGACTTTAAAAACATCATTTGCGGCAAAATTGGACAAAAGTGTTGCTACCATGCACTAATGCGCCACCACGCAGCTTTGCTATCCTCAGTATATAATTTAAGCCTCTGGACGACAGTATATTAGTAGAAAAGACCCATGGATTAATTACACATTGAGAAATTTTCAGACTAGCGGGTAATTTAGACTCGGCAAACTTTCGAGAGGAGTTACAAGCACTTTTATTTCGGCTTCTCTGCTTTGCAAAAGGCACTATGGTATTACAGATTCGCACTTCGCAGCTCACATTGGTCAAGCCATGATTGGATCGTTTGAACCAACCCTTCAATCTCCGCCTCCGTGTTTCCAGAATGCAGACAAACACGTACCCGCTCCTTGCCCTCCGGGATGGTGGGTGGCATGATGGCACGGATGATAAACCCATTTCGCTGGCAGAAAGCCGCCAGCTGACGAGGCTTAGAGGTTCGTAATGAAAATATTGGAGATGTGGGGAAATGGTCGACCTCGAAAAGAACCGACTGGTCTGCCCGTAGGCTGTGTAGGCGGGTGTGGAGGTGTCGGATCAACTCCTGGACCCGTACTTGTAACTGTTTTCCAGTGGTTAGTAAATGGAAGCTTGCGCAACTTCGAATACACAGGATCCGGCTTACAGATTCCGTTTCGCCATTTGCTAACAGCTCATATGCTGTGCGGATAGATGCAAGGAAGGGAAAGCCAAGCGCAGTGGTGTAGATCAGACTCCGCGCGTAGTTGATCAGATAGTCTTTCGTCTCTTGGCCACAGAGAACCACCGCTGAATCAGAGCATTAGTATATCCTGATCGCAACGCTTGAGGACAACATCACATACCACCATGACTAGCCAATGCCTTCCCGAATGTGTGCACCCGGATGAACATGCGATCCTGGACACCCAGCTCCTGGACAACCCCAGCACCCCGAGGCCCAAACACGCCGGTTGAATGGGCCTCGTCGACCATGAAGTACCCATTTTGGTGAGGTAGCAGATCGTCCACCACTTGAATGAAATCCCTTATTGGGGCCACATCACCATCCATGCTGTAAATTGACTCAACCACAATGAACACATTCTTAGTGCCATTTCGAACAGACGGATCCTCATTGATCTGTGTCTGAAGGGCATCACGCAGGCCGGCCGCCGAGCTATGGGGGAACATGATTCGCTTTCCGGCGCGAGATAACCTCATTCCCTCATGCGCACTGGCGTGAATCAGCTCATCATACAAAATCACATCACCGGGTTGCGGAACGCTCGACAGAACGCCGACATTAGCATCGAACCCAGAATTGAATAATAGAGCAGTGGGAGCTTGGTGAAAATCCGCCACGAATCGTTCCAGTTCCTCTGCATAAGCGGAGTTCCCATCCAGCAATCGTGACCCCCCCACTCGCAAAGGGGAATGAATCCGGTGCATTTTTGAGGTGAGTCATAAAACGACCTCGATAGGCCGGGGATGTCCCCAGCGAAAGAAAGTCATTTGAAGAGAAATCAACGGTTTCCTGAGGTAAGACGGTCAACCTCCGGCGGGCGGATTTGGCTTCCCGACGAGACAGCGCACGCGACAAGGCATTCACGAGCGATTGCGAAGGAGGCGAGGAAGATGGCACGGGTATAACCCTAGAGTCAGACATGCTGGAGTCGATCAGATGAAGATCACGAAGCGGAGGGACTGCGAATATAGAATGACGTGTTCGGGTTGTCAAGTTGGATGGGGCGGCTAGGCTCGGAGAGATGCAGATGCAGTATCTCTTGCGCGAACGCTGGTTCCTGTGCCTGGGCCTGCAGATGATGATGGGACTCGGGCACGGCCGTCAGCGATCCGCACTTTAATTCTCTAGCTCGAGGGCGGACCACGGACGAATCCGGGGAGGTGGAGAGAGAGCGGGAGTAGAAGGGCGTTGCAGAACGGAAGAAGCGGAGGGAAAAGAGGTAATTGAGAAAATGAGTCAGTCCGGGGTCAAACTTCCGATTCAATTCAATGATCAAAGTCAATTCCAATGTTCTGTTGATTTACGGAAAGCGAATGTTGACCTCGGTGAGGAGGGAGTGTGGAGTTGAAAAGGAGGAAGAAGCTTGGTGATTGGTTGATTTGGCCCGAGGCCGGAATTGACTTATTATACTCTAGGGAGGAGTGTCCCATGCAGACTACTCTCACGGTACTACAGATATCTAGGACATGTTTAGTCAACAGGCATATAAGTAGACAAATCTGTATTTTTGATATCTCCGGGCACTCCAAGTATGCAAATGTAAAGCGATGCCCTCGTTGATATCACATGGGGAAATAAGGTCACCTGACTCCGACCCGCGGACAACCGCGTCGCAGGTTGGTCATGTACGGCCTCAACACTCTTTCCTTGGGCTTTATTTTCTTTAGCTTTGTTGAATGGTAAAGATCTAGTCTGATTATATTGGGCCATGAAACCTTTGGAATATGTTGACAAGGAGCTTGTATAAAGTATATAAGGTGTTCGTATATTCCTACTAACTACTAACCATTTGTTGACTGTGACTCAGCAAATCAGTTACTGCATAGTATGCTTTGGATGCACTATACCCCACACAGAACATACGGGATTATCTACCCTGATTATTAGTAAATATTAATTTCAATTATAGTTTAGTGGTCTACTGACTCTATTCCGTACATACGAGACTTTTCCCAAAACGTTGGGGTCGGTCGATTTCGGCTGGACTGAACTGGTGGACCTTCCCGCATTCCTCTCGCTCCACTCCACTTCTCCCCCCCATCCACCTCAACCTACTTTCTCCCAACTTCCCATTCCTCCCCCTCAACAATTGATATATTGAATATTCAACTGTATCAACTGCATCGATTGTATCAATTGAATTGAATTGACAGTGCCACTTCACGATGCCCCCCGTCGGTGCTGGGCTGTGGCGCTCCTTGCCCGCTCACCAAGTCTATGGCGCCAACACTAACGTCGGCAAGACAATCGTCTCCACCGTTCTCTGCAATGCCATCCAGAACCAGAGAAAGAAGGCCGCCTTCTTGAAACCCGTCTCTACTGGCGCTCTAGACGATGCCGATGACCGGTGCGTGCTCTCATCCGCGTTCTATTGATCAAAACAAATACGGCTTAACTGACTCAATGACAGCCATTTGTCGCGATTCGGAGCTGGTACCCTCACCAAATGTCTCTACCAGTTCGATGAACCGGTTAGCCCACATCTTGCGGCGAAGCAGAAGATGGTGAGTGGCTCACTGATCTACCCGGGCCGATTACCTCAACTAACTTTGTCAGATCCCACGAGATGATGATCTACTCGCCTCAATCCACCAGACCCTGTCTGACTGGGCTCGGTCAGACATTGATCTCGCCTTGGTGGAAACCGCTGGTGGAGTTCACTCACCAGGTCCTAATAGGAATTCTCAAGCGGACCTCTATCGGCCCCTCCGGCTGCCCATTGTCCTAGTAGCCGATTCGCGTCTGGGAGGCATTTCTTCCTCCATTTCCGCGTATGAATCATTGGTTCTCCGTGGTTACGACATTCAGTCTGTGCTGTTGTTCCGTGACGACTACTACCAAAACCATGAATATCTAGCCGACTACTTCAACAAGAAAAGTATCCCGCTGGTCTCGCTCTCCGCACCACCCCCGCGGCCCGCAGTGGAGAATGTCGACACCCAAGCCAAGGACGAGGAAGCCATGTATTCCTACTACCGTCAAGTCTCCGCGGAGTCAGACATCCTTCGTTTACTCGAAGAATTGAACACCAAGAATCAGAGCCGTATCGCACGATTAGAGGAGATGGCCGATCGGGCACAAGATTTGATCTGGTATCCTTTCACTCAACACCAGGGCATGAAATCAAAGGACATCACTGTCATCGACTCTGCTCATGATGATTACTTCCAAACTTTTGGATCGAGTCAATCGAAGAAGTCGAATGCGGAATTGAGGCCAACCTTTGATGGTTCGGCTTCGTGGTGGACGCAAGGATTAGGCCATGGCAACCCTGACCTGTCTCTCTCGGCTGCCTATGCTGCTGGTCGCTATGGCCATGTCATGTTTGCCGGTGCTGTTCATGAGCCTGCACTCTCACTCGCAGATCGCCTCCTGAAGACTATTGGCAACCCGCGCTTCACGAAGGTTTTCTACACTGACAATGGCAGCACCGGAATGGAAGTGGCCGTGAAGATGGGCCTCCGTGCCGCTTGTGATCGATATGGCTGGGATGCTAGTCAGGAGAAGATCAGCATCCTTGGCCTCAAGGGAAGCTATCATGGTGATACTATCGGTGTGATGGACTGCTCGGAGCCTTCTACCTTCAACCAAAAAGTCGAGTGGTACCGCGGTCGGGGTCACTGGTTTGACTTCCCTCTGGTCAAGATGGTCAACGGTACCTGGAAGGTTGAAGTCCCTGCCGAGTTGAAGGCCGAACTGGGCTCCGAGGATGCCCAATTCGAATCACTTGGGTCTGTGTTCGATCTCGAGAAGCGTTTGAGCTCAGAGGCCGCTGAAAGATACAAGACTTATATCCACAGCACAATCAAGGACCTCGTCGAGCGCCACGGTATGAAGTTTGGCGCTTTGATCCTAGAGCCCGTTATATTGGGAGCAGGTGGCATGTTATTCTGGTAAGTTCTCCAATATGTATCACTCGACCGTTCATTTTCATGCTGACAATTTCACACAGCGATCCTCTTTTCCAACGTTGCTTGACCGATGTTGTCCGTGATCACCCAGAGCTCTTCTCTCCCAATGCTTCGTCGCCAAAATCAGCCCCATCCTGGTCTGGCCTACCAGTCATCTTCGACGAAGTTTTCACTGGTCTCTACCGTCTCGGTCGCCCATCATCTGCATCCTTCCTCGACGTGCACCCCGATATCGCTGTAAACGCCAAGCTGCTGACGGGTGGCTTGATTCCTCTTTGTACCACCGTGGCAAGTCAAGAAATCTTTGACACATTCTCAAGTCCGGAGAAGAGTGACGCTTTGCTTCATGGTCACAGCTACACGGCCCATGCCGTAGGCTGCACTGTTGCCGTTGATTCTCTCCGGACGATGGACGACATGGACAAGAATGGGTCGTGGGATGGTTTCAAAGCGGACTGGGATTCTAAGTCAGCGAATTCGACCAGTTCAGGATCCTCCGACGTTTGGAGTGTGTGGTCACAAAGCCTCCTTCAAGACCTCTCTCGCGCTGAGGCGGTCGAGAGCGTGTTTGGTATCGGTACAGTTCTCAGCGTCTCCTTGCGGGATGCTCAGGGTGGAGGTAAGCACAATTCCTTTGATTATCCATCAAAACGCAGTCTAACAAATGAACAGGTTATACATCCACGGCTGCAAAGGGCCTTCAGCAGAAGCTGGCGGCTGGTGGAGATCAATTCAACGTCCATTCACGGGTTCTGGGTAATGTTCTCTACTTGATGTCCAGTGTCACGTCCAAGCCTGAGTCACTCCAAGAACTGGAGAAGCTTCTCCGCTCGGCCTTGATTTAACGAAACGAATCATATCATCAGGTCGCTTTGCGCGAGGCTAGGAAATACATAAACCATCGAGTTTCAAGGGGACTGTACATAGTATGTAAGGCAAGCAATCAAAAATCATTTGACAATCTTCAATTCCTTCAATAGCCTCAAGTTCCTATGGCCCTAGTAGTGCTAGTTGTAAATAAATACTAGTTATACGTCATAATAGGTACTGGTATAGGTAACAATCGTATAGCTAGGTAGTTATATATTACTGGTACCTACCTACCTACCTACTTTGGTAGGAGATAGAGGAACCCCCCCCCTTCCGCTCCTTCCAAGGTTCTATATGCCAGCGCGCCTTCCCATTCTAGACCAAAGGTTCATATATGTAGAGAATTGCCCCCCAAATCTTCTTTCCCCTCAATTATTTCCTCCCATCTCATCAAGAAACCAAATCTACAATTCTATTTCGTGACATCCAAATCCCTGTTCTATAACCATGAGTGACTATCTTCCCGGTGAACACTGAGCTGGAATCTGTCACTGGTAGGAGGGGGAGGATGGGCATTGCTCGTGATGAGGAGCTGGAGTTTTCGACAGCTCTCTACTACATTCGGACTACTCCGTATATCTCTCATGATAAGATGGGTCTCTCGAAGCATTACCGGAGTCTGTGCAAAAGTACCCTTCGGCGGGACGTCAAGCCATCGCGCCGAAACTTGGCTAAATGGCCCTGTGGAGGACGGTGTGGCAAGGAGGACTGCGATCAAAAGTTCCCGACGAGTACTCTTCAGATCGCTCGCATCCACCACGCCAAGGACTACACTGCCGAGTGTCGACTGGGCTGCGGGAAGGTATTCAAACACCTGTACAGCCGGGACAGTCACGAGAAGAAGAGCTGCAAGAAACGCCTGGGTTACGTCGAAACGGAGAAGCCAAAGCGTGCTCGAAGGCGCAAGGTCGAAGCACCACCATCTCGAACCTCTGATAGTGGCCGTCTCGATTATAGCGGTGTTATTGCCAATTTCATCCTGGTCCATAGCCCGCAACGTCTCATCACAGATGAAGCAGCATTGATTGCGAACGGGCTACCCACCGACGCGACTCATCGAGGCGACCCGATTTATCGGAAAGAACTTGTTTGTCGATAGCCAGGTTGCATCAATCGCAGGAAGATATATGCATCTGCCGAGACCTTCAGGGCAGCTTCGCTATGAAAATAAAGAGAAGCATGAGCTCGATACTCCAGCGCACACCGTGGGGAAGTCTAATGCCTATATTGACAGGCAACATGCGGAAGAACTCCAGTCTCTTTCCTTGTCGGCACAGGTCTTGACCATAAGAAGAGAAGGCAATCCTTTTTTCTTGCCGGATTACTGCTGGTTGGTTCCCTGCCCCCTTCATCCGTCGAAACCTGGTTTGGATACCGGAAATAAGAAGGAGGATGAGGATGAGAATGATGATATTGTATTTTCTTTCAAAAGTTTCCAAGGTCAATCTTTGGAATGTCTTATACTAATATTTTCTCTGTGTGTTTTTTGAATACCTGATGATATCCGATCTGTTTGTTCTCCATCACACTCTCACTTCTCCCGTATACTGAGTTACGATTCTAGCCCAATAATTGAACTTGGAATTGAAAGTCGTAGAGGAATAAAAAGGGATACGGACAGCAGTTATTTTGTTAAGGGAAAATGGGTGAAGTTGAAATATTTCAAATTGTGACTAAAGCAGGCGTTCGCATTGATCCTAGTGTAAAAGATACATCGAACATTGACTTTTAAGGGAGCGTGCCAGTAGTACACGTGTGGCTGCCTATATCTACCTAACAACTCGGCTCTCATATACACGTTCTTCTGAAGCAATAAAAAAAAACCATGCTCAGGGCAACTCGATCATCACTCCCAGCACCGATGGCACTGTCTACCTCATATGCAACCCCCGACACCATTGGAAGTGCATGGAGAAGTAGAAGAAGAGAAAGGACAAACTCAGGACCTGCTTAGGTATCGATGCCTAAGTAGATGCTATCAGGGTGGGTACCAGCACCATAACAACAGTGAATAACCATTTGGCTCTATACCTTGTGCTTTTGGTGGGTCACGTGTCGCCATAGTGTAGAGAAAGCGATGGCGTACCCGGCACCTTCCTCTTCTCAACCAGTCGTCCCATTTCTTCAAGAACCCAGTTCGATCTCTATTTCGTGATAACTGAATCCCTGTTATTGTGACAATGAGTGAATTTCTTCCCGGTGTTAACGGCCCCGCCACTGGCTATAGCCAAGCTGAGGCTTCTGAGCACGCGGAAGACCTGGTGCTGTTGGTAGACGCCACGGCGAACGACTCGGATGGGAGTACAAACCAGGTCGACGGTGAGTTTCCCGAAGAGAACATTGTCGAAGAGACCTACTTTGTTGCTGATTCGCAGGATACGATCCTTTTTGTGGCCCGGGCAACGAGTTCAGATCTGGCTGGAACCGACGCCATTCACGAGAGGCTCAGAGAATCGCTGCTGCTCACTAGCCGAGAGTATGAGAAAGCTTATGCCGAAATCCAATGTGATGTGGAGTACCTGACCTTCGTGCAAAGCTCGGACCGTGCCTTCGTCCCATATGTGGAAGCCAAGTTCGCTGAGCTCTTTGCGAAGCAGGATTCAGTCGATGCAAGACTGATTGCTGTGATGAATGTCTTCGATGGGCTAACCACTCACGAGGCTTCTCTTTACTACCTGCTCGAAGGCCACACACACATGTGCGAGTTCTTCGTTTTCGAGGACCATCCCGGCGAGGAGGTTTCCCGAGGTCGAAGGTTCTTCCAGGTGGACACTGATCAGGCTTGCCAGATACGTCGAGGGGATAAAATTCTTATCTATGATGCAGGAGTTCTTGACGAGGTGGAATCCGATACTAGATCTGGCATTGTCTATGACGATGATCTGGAATTCTCGACCGCCCTCTACGTTCGGGCTATTCGGTATATCTGCCAGCAAAAAAGAGGTGTCTCGAAACATTTCCAGAAGCGGGTCTCTTAGGAGAAGCATCAGAATGAATGGCCAAAGCAGACTGTGGGGAAGCCTAATGTCTATGTTGAAAAGCAGCATGTGGATGGACTCCTGTATATTGCCTTGTCGGCACAGGGTTTCGCTGATCTGGAGAAGATGTGGCCCACTCGCAGTTGATGTGGCGTTTTCTTCTTATTTATTTAATCTTCTTTTTGTTCTAGGATGGGGGTGAGACCGGGCCAGACCAGATGGAGAGTGGACTTCGGGACCCCACCAGTCTGTGTGTGTTTATGTGTGTCGAATGCTGTCATGGGCGATGTGTCAGACGCTGAAATCGGGCAGCGGCTTTCAGACCTCACTGGAGTGGATGTCGGGCAATGCCTTCGGGCAATGGCTTTCAGACCTCACTGGTGTAGATGTCGGGCGATGCCTTCGGGCAATGGCTTTCAGACCTCACTGGTGTAGATGTCGGGCGATGCCTTCGGGCAATGGCTTTCAGACCTCACTGGTGTAGATGTCGGGCGATGCCTTCGGGCAATGCTTTTCGGATCTTACCCGCGTGCCCTGATACCACCCTCAATGATTAGCATTCACTAGCTCAATTCGTTTCTTAGTCTATTTTGACGAGGATAGAATGAAAGAATTTGAAAGCACAACCCTTTTCCTGAAGTAGTTTTCGATTGAATCGTATATGAGAGAAGGTTTCGTCGAGCTCTTACAGCTACGCATCCGTTGTTGTGACGCTGGCACTTTATGAAATTTGACCTATACGCGATCCCAGATGCCATCTTATCTGATGTGATTTGATTTAAGCTAGCAGTGCGAACAAAGACTAACGACACTAGAGCAAAAGCCCGAGGGGCCAGAAATACTTCCTGCTCCAATATCCCTAAGGCCAGAAATGTCAAAATTTAAACTACGGACATTCTTAGGACGAAAATATTGAATTAGGCCACTACACTTTTTCGTGAAACGCAAGTATAACGAATCTGAGCAACGCATGGAAGACAACATTCAGATCATGACACGTTGAATGAACCTAGTCTGCCCCAAAGATCTTACTTGCGCTGCCTCATGTCATCCATGTCTTCAAGACAGCGACGACAGTAATGTCTTGGCTCGAAAAGATCCTAACAGTCCGCATTGATCTTACTACTGCTATGCCAGGTACAGTGATATTCAAATCAGATTTACCTCTACACTCTTTGAAATTAATTCCCGAATTCTATTTTCAAACACGCTAATCCGATTAAGGTAATTCCATCGATACTCTGCTTCCTAGAATGGAATCCGTATTTTACATAACGCGGGTGACCTAGTCCTTTGTAAGTTACAGGAAACTGCTAAACATACGACACCACGCTACTCATGATCCTTTCGGAGTTCGGCTTGGTATTTATATGCCTGAGTTCAAGGTTATTCCCGTGGCTTTCCACGTTTTGTTCAATGTCAACTAAGTTTGATTTGAAATAGAAATTCCACCCATGACTTCTGCTTTACAAGACTTGGTGGGGATCGAATCCCCGTTTGGCCCACGGGGCCAGTCTTCGCTTGCCTTTTGGCCGGCGTGCTTTCGTACGTGCTAAAAGTAGATTTCTGAGATACCAAAATGCTTCAGCTACTTCGACCAGTTCAAGTGAGCTTTTGGCTATTACTCCTGCAATCATAGTGTTGTGAGTAGACCTTATTTAACTCAAGAGCTTTTTTGAAACACAGCTTGCTAGAGAAGGATGAAAAAATACCAGCTAATACACCAGATTGCTATTTGTCCGCAGCATTCACTCAATTTTGCTTGCTTACATGAGAAAGGCTATGTATCATGGGCGGGTAAGTAAACGTTCTTCCGGATCTTTCCTTGTTTGGTATCACACCGGGCTAATCTGGATATGGCATGGTTCAGGATCCCTGTTTGAAGAGTATGTCGCCGAGGGCACGTATCCCTTCAAAAAATCTGTGATCATCGTTAATAAAAGAGACCACTAGAATTTAGTTCAGCAAATTGAGTCCGATATCTACGTAAAGAACGCAAGCTAGAATATTAATAAGGCCTGGGTGTTCCTGTTCCACACTGTGCTTTGCAAACTAATGTGCAGTAATTGAATATGTGTAGTTAAACGATGATCCGCTGTGTGACCAATTTGCATCAACGTCAAAATAATTTAATCTATAGAGGCCATCTCCTAATGTAAAAAATCTTGGAAGAGCATGATACACATTTCAAACACCGAGAAATTCAAAATTGAGTAAAACTTTCAGCAATATACTCTTAGGCGGCTTAAATGCCAAGTCACCAGAGATAAACATCAAGAAATCCTTCAAGGTGGCGTTTCAATACTTACAGGGGTGGTGAGGGGCATGAAAAGGAGGAATACTACGCTACCCCCAGAATGTCACTTCCCCTCTTTTTCACTACCCTGTTCTTCACTTTTCACTACTTGACAGAGACACGATGCCAAAAATTCTGTGTTTGGAAAATCCTTTACTTGGTAAGACATATTAGTTTCAGTTTATAATTTTCGGCTGTAATGACACCTTCATTAGATATTCAGGCCTTCGGGTATGACTGCTGCCGACGCGAATCTGGTCTAATTATTCTTCTAACGACATAAAAGGACTCTGGAGCTTCTTGATAAGTATGGGCTAAAAGCCAACGATGCCATTCTCGCCGCAGAGTTCCACAAGGGTCTCTTTGATGACCTGATTGATAACTGGTCGGCGGAAACGACCGCAGGTGGTGGTGCTCAGAACACAGCAAGAGGGTCACAAGTATGACGACAATTTCTTAGCTTCTTCGCCATCTTTTTCTTTACCTCCTTGGAAGTGACTGAAAGTTTCCCTAGTATATGCTTCCACCCGACAGTGTCGTCTATATCGGATGCGTCGGTAATGATAGTTATGCTGAAACCTTGCGAGAGTCGTGCCAAAAAGCAGGGGTTCGCACGGAATACCTCGTCGATGGGACACATTCAACAGGTCGATGCGGCGTTATTATCACAGACAAAAACAGAAGCCTCTGCACCGAGCTAGGTGCCGCTAATCATTACAAATTAGAACATCTGCAGCGGCCCGATATATGGAAGATTGTCCAGTCGGCGCAGATCTATTTTGTCGGTGGATACCATCTAACCGTCTGTCCCGAGGCGGCTTTGGCCCTGGCGAAAGAAGCCGCTGCTAAAAACAAAGTATCGCTCGCTTTTCCGTCTTTTCTTAGCCCGTGCCAACGTGTTGACTGGTAGTTTCACTAGATTTTCGTTATGTCGCTATCTGCTCCCTTCATTCCAGCTGCATTCAAAGATGCGCTTGACAAGACCGAGCCATTCTGGGATTACATTGTGGGTAACGAGAGTGAAGCCCTGGCATGGGCACAATCACATGGAGTAAAGGTAATAAGTAGCCGTCTATTGAAAGATTGTCTAAAAATGAGGTCTTTTTTCACAGAACTAACGTGAAGAAAGTCCGAGTCTATTCCTGCGATCGCCGAGCATATTGCCAACCTACCAAAAGCAAACGTTCAAAGACCCCGGGTTGTATTAATTACTCAAGGTTCTTCTCCCACGGTCATTGCGGTATCTGGAGCTCCAGGATATAAGGAGATCCCTGTTCGCAAGATTTCTGCCGAGGAAATCATTGACACGACCGGTGCTGGGTGAGTAGCCCTAGGTTTTTGAACGGGTAACCACATTTGAAAGATCACAAGGCTAATATAATTACTATCTATCCAGTGATGCTTTTGCAGGAGGACTTCTGGCCGGTATTATAGGACAAGAATCGCTAGAAACCTCTGTCGACATGGGACATTGGCTAGCACACCAAGGGATAAAACAAACGGGCCCGAAGTAAGTCAAAAGATCTAGCAGTGCCTACCTTTGTCCTTACTGAAAATTATAGCTATCCGCTTCCAAATCAGTCGTACACAACGGCATAAAATATTTCATACAAATTCCTCGGCTGTTAACTGTCCAGTTTAACAAGGCAGAAATTATCCATTGACAGTGAAGCGTACTGCGGGTTTCAACAACTATCTCTCATGTTTTCTTCACAATTGTCTTCTGATAGTGCTAGAAACCCATTGATATAAGCTGATTCTAGATTCCAGGGAAGACTATTGACATCGGAGTAAGGTGTGCAATTCATATGAAACCTACTCACATTTATATATAATGGATTTTGGCTCCAGATGGGTTGCAGAGAAAGAAACTTTGGCCGATCCGAGAATATTCCCCGCGACGGCTTTTCCGTCGATGGGTCTGCAATATTATGACCCAAAATCTCCTAAACCTGTCGCGTCATGCAAAGTTACATTTTCAAGCTCGGAAAAAACATACGTCATCGGATTGATAAGATGCGTCGGTGGTCAAAAAACGGTGTCAGAGGAATGCGAGGACATGCGATGGTGTGTATATGGTAGCCCGTGCCTGTATTATGGGCTCAAGAGCCAATATGGCACATTTATTCTTCATTACGGTCAAAATATGACCTAACTCACCAAAAAAGCCGCGTAGCAGAGCAGGCCCATCCAATTGAATTGGCAGAATAGCCGTGGGGAAGACATTGTAATGTGACTAGAGCCGAGCGAAATGGAGGGACCGAGGACGACTAGTCTTGGATATTTAGAACGGGGAATTCGAAATTGAGTGGCCTGAAGAAGGGAAAACAGAGGAAATGCAACTTTTATAGCGCTCTCCTACACTTATAGTGGAGACATTCAACCCCGCTACGATTCAGAAGCTCGTTCGTGTCTAGCTCCTAGGAGCATCAGATGGCTGGTATCTCTGCTAGCTTATATCCTTGGCGTCCGAGGATCTATGTTGAGAAGGCCTCCCCATCCCCCCTGGGGTATCATCAAATCCTCAACACCCCTATCAGCCTCTCTGAGCCATGAACCTACCAAGTATATTCATACTCCAACCCACATTTTCTACTCTGAAAAATCCAGTTCCTCTTTATTCCAGATAACAAAGCTCCGATATTCGCGCCTGGGTTGAACACGCTCCTATTACTCAATACAATCACTAGTGTATGGCTTATGG